CTCTTATAATTCGGGTGCAGCGGCCCTGCTTCCTTATTTTATACTCGGTTTGGTCTCATCCATAACCTTGCGTTAGTTCAATCAGGCCGTTATCATTTTTATATTTGCTAAATTGAGCAGCCATGGTCTTCCCTTTCGGTCTCGATTTGTGCCGTACCCATCGTCCGCAATCAAATGCGCTCGACATTCTTCACATTCCGAGGCCCGAACATGGCAAACAAAGATCCCCCAGTCTTTAAGACTCGCAATCGGACGCGCGAACGGAAATATCGAAATTTTGGAATCCAAAAAAGTGGAGCTTTGGTTGCAGGAAAAGGTATTCTATGGCGGCAAGGACCAGGGAGTGTAGAGGGATTGACTTGGACACAAGAGCCAGATAGCAAGGATGCGGACAACAAGGTGATGCCCGGGCGTTTGCGGTTGTTCAGCATCGGATACTCCAGCAGTGTTACCGAGTGGGATCTTGCGACAGGACTCCCCCTGCGCCACTCCAATGGGAATCACAGCGAGGTCTGGTGCTTTGCTGCCCAGCCACGACAGAAAGGCAACGCGCACCAGAAGATTGTCGCAGGTTGCGCGGACGGCACCATTGTCCTGCTCTCCACCGAGGACGACGATCTCACTTTCGACCGGTTCGTTTCACGCGCAACGAACAAGAAAGCTCGCGCTTTGAGCATCACATACAAGGACAACGACACTGTCTTGGCTGGTTTCGCGGACAGTATGATTCGAGTCTTCGACACCAGAAATGGGAACGTCATTCGGAACATCTCATTGGGCAGTGGTCTTCATGGCGGGCCCAAAGAGATTCTCGTCTGGAAAGTGAGATGTCTGTCCAACGGCGACTTCGTGTTCTGGCGACTCTACCGGCGAGATAAGAATCTACAATGGCAAGAATTACAGTCAGACGCAAAGAATTGCTGGACACGAGGCAGACATTCTCGATTTGGCAGTTTCGCGAGATGGAACTAGCATCTTCAGTGCGGGCATGGACCGTCGCACATGTTTCTATACCAGCAAGAAATCCACGACAAAGGTCGATGGCCAGCATGGAAAGTGGAGAAAGGTTTCACATCAGCGATACCATCAACACGATGTCAAAGCAATGGCGACCTATGAAGGAAGCAAACTGAGCGTCGTAGTCTCTGGAGGTAAGCAGCTGCATAAAGTCTTTGTATGACTGAGCTAATGCCTCTTGTCAGGAATTGACACCCAGCCGATAATTGTTCCCCTTCGTCAATTTGGCAAAGAGCTCACTCGAGGGCTTCCGTCACTTCCTGCTCTACCACCTTTAACCAGTGCTCCCGGCGCCCGACTTCTGGTGAGCTGGTGGAACACCGAGGTGCGGATATGGCGTGTTAAACCACAAGACGATGGCACAGAGAAGCCCAAGGTCGTTGCGCGCTTAGCACTGCAAGGGGAGGAGAACATCACATCCGCCTCAATCAGTCAAGACGGTGGTTTACTCGCCGTTTCCACTACCAGTACGGTCAAACTATTCCAATTGATCCAGCCTCAAGTTGGAGCTGGCGCAAGCCTCCGTATCAGAAAGGTAGACATGCCTTCAATTACCGGTACCAGGACTGTGAGACTGTCGGCAAATGGCAAATGGTTGTCAGCGATCAGCGCAATGAACGACGTCCAGCTGGCTCGAGTAGTGAGGACAGGGGATTTCAGTGACCCACCTCGTGTACTGAACAGAGTCCAACATCTGCATCGTCTAGATCGCGACGATGTTCCAGGCACTCAGTTACGCGGAATGTCGGGATCATACGAGCGCTCTATTGCGCACGCTGAGTTCTCGGCAGATGCTAACGTCTTTGCCGTCGTCGATCTTGCCGGCTATGTCGACACGTGGGTTGTTGAAGGTCATGAGGATGCGACAGCACCGGAGGTGGACATCAACGAACTCGCTCCAGCTAACTCTGGTGTGAATGAGTCTGAGGAAGATGAGGTGGAAGAGCGGGAGCAGATCATCTTCCTAGGCCAGCACTGGATCAGGAACCCGTCTGGACATCTGGTGCCTCGCCTAGACTCTACGCCAGTCCTGCTCTCATTTCAGCCGGGCTCGAACGAGTCCAAAGAGACAGAACCGAATGGCAACCCTGCTGTACATCCAACAAGACACAACCCACACCCGCATTCACACGAGTTGCCTACGGCGGACTATCGCCTGCTCCTAGTCTCTGCGGAACACCAAATTTACCTTTTCGATGTCATGACTGGACGTATGTCAGGATGGTCAAGAAGAAACCCGCCATCAAGCTATCCGCGGGAGTATCAACTGCTCGACCTGCCTGCGAAGGGATGCGTTTGGGACGTCAGCGTGGAACAGCAGCGGCTCTGGCTTTACGGCGAAAAGTGGCTTTTCATGTTTGATCTCACCAAGGACTTTGACATATCTGGCGCGGATAGCGGAGCTTCGTCCAAGAAGCGTAAACGGAATGGCCAGAAGGACAACAGTGGCGCCGGCGACGTCATTCCTCAGAGTGATGTGCCTGTCACGAAGATGCGCAAATACGATAGTAGCAAGAACAACGAGGCTGGAAAGGCACAATGGGTAAACGTCGATTCCGCCGGGCCTGTACATACCGATGAAGAAGATGATGCGGAAGGGAGCAGCCGTCCTCTAGCTATCTTACGGAGAGGCAGCAATCAGGGTGGAGAGCAGGCCAACGGTCAGCTGACAAATGGTGAGGAGGGTGGCGAAGCTGCCGAACAGCAAAGCCGCAGCGAGTCGTGGTGGCACACTTTCAAATACCGTCCTATCCTAGGTATATTGCCGATAGGCGGGAGCGTGGATCAGAGTCCTGAGGTAGTTCTGGTGGAGAGGCCGTCGTGGGATCTTGACCTGCCAGCGAGATTTGTTGGCTCGCACGAGTAGCAAGAACGCGATCCGGGCTGTTTGGAGATGTTAAGATACCAAATCTAATTTGCGTTGCATGAGCACAGGCTATGCTCTTCTCTAATAAGATTGGCCATATCTACACTCCCTTTGTCGTTTGTTGTGACGTGAAGTGAGCGAGGTCCCTCTGCCGCGGCAATAATTCGCGGAGATAGCGGACTTCAGGCTAATCGATAAGGACTACCCGTAGACTCTAGCTCCAACGCTGCAGCTAAGCATCACCTTTATGTTGCCGGCGACGTGCGGCGCATTTTGTGTATCTCCTCGAGCTATCGCTGCAATGAGTTCATCGCAGGCTCCAACGAGTCCTCCGAACGAGAGGGAAGATCCACAAACTGTTGTATACGACCCGAATGATCCGTTCTGGCGGGATACGGACGATGATGATGACGACATGGACTATCAGCCTGCAGAGGGTGGCAGCGAAGAGGACGAAGATGGAGAGGAGGACCTGAGCTTCCACGGTAGGCTGGAATTTCTCATCTTTGGTCAATTCGTGTTCTCATCTCACTACAGATGCTGCGGAACGATTAAACGATCTGAGTGGGGTCGAGATCGCCTTCGGATACACCGACGACAACGAGGAAGACGACGACGAAGGTGAGGACGAGGAAGACGAAGATGAAGACGATGAAGAAGACGATGGCGATGGCGGCGAGGTTTCTGCGGCAGATGGCGGCCCACGACCAGTCTACATAACCCGCGACCAGATCATGCAACTACTCGGACATGCGGGCCTGGGCCGGATATTTGCCTCGGACCTCACACCGCGAACTGGACGATCGAGGAATCTCCGGACAGTGCCAGAAGACGGCCTCGATGAAGGCGAGGATAACGATCCACGCACAGGCTATAACCTGAGACCCGATCGGCCACGATACCGCGGCCCGCATGGCAGAGAGGCCTTCGAAAAGGTGCCGAGTGAACAGGGCAGGGAGCTTATGAATACCGGTGCGTTTGGTTCAAGCCCTCGATCCGAAGATACTGTCAAGAGGAAGAAGAGGTTAGCATACGACATCATGCGGAGATCTTTGGGTCTCGGTAAGCGAAGGACGCCAGAAGAATGCGAATAAACTGCTCAGGCAGGACATGATCCCGGAATCGGTCGCCGATACTATCATACACTATAACGCACGATGCTATTCCGGACAGTTCTCGGATGATGGAAACTTCTTCTTTTCCTGTGCCCAGGACTTCCGGGTACGGATGTATGACACCTCCAATCCGTATGATTGGAAATACTACAAGGTGAGACATCGAATGCGGTGCTCTTTAGGCGTGGACTAATAATTGGCAGTCTGTCGTGTATCCGTACGGTCAATGGACGATCACGGATGCCTCGCTCAGTCCAGACAATAAGTTCTTAGCTTACAGCTCTATTCGGAGCATAGTATGTCTAGCATCTACGGATCCAGAAGATGAATCCGAACCAAATCTTCTCGACTTCGCCAACATTGGCACCCGCAGTCCCCGTGGCTTTCACACATACTTTGGTGTAAGTTGCCAATGCAGCATTGTCAAATTCATGGAATCTAACATCTATAGATCTGGTCAATACGATTTTCCGGAGACGGAAGGGAGATTGTGGCGGGTACGGGCGATAACTCAGTCTATGTCTACGATATTGAACGACGACAATCGATCCTTCGCATCCCTGGCCATCAAGACGACGTCAATGCTGTGTGCTTCGGTGATGCCCAATCGCCACATATCTTGTACTCAGGCTCAGATGATACCACTATCAAAGTTTGGGACCGCCGAAGTATGGGAGATGGACGCGAGGCTGGTGTCTTCCTTGGTCATACCGAAGGACTTACCTATGTCGACAGCAAGGGCGACGGAAGATATGTGCTGAGTAACGGTAAGGATCAGACAGCCAAGTTGTGGGATCTACGGAAGATGATCTCGACGGACAAGGTCGATCGCATTGATACACAAGCTTACACCACACGATTCGAATACCGGTCCAATGCGTACGATGAAAACGACTTCCGACCACACCCTCATGACTGCTCACTTGTTACCTTCCGCGGCCACAAGGTCCTGAAGACGTTGATTCGATGTCATTTCTCGCCGCCTGGAAGTACCGACTCGAGATACGTTTACTCTGGTAGCTACGATGGCTCGGTCTATGTCTGGAACATGGACGCCACGTTAGCAGGCAAGGTCAATGTACTCAAGGCGACCAAGAACTCAAGACCACGGGATCCTGAGCTACTGGCGGAGACGTACGACTACTGGGGCCGCAATGGCGGTAGCTGGATGACGTGTGTGAGAGATGCTAGTTGGCATCCGCATGTGCCTATGATTGCTGGTATGTTGCCATCCCTTTCTGCTCTGAGCATGCTTGCTAATTTCATACTCAGCGACCTCCTGGAATGGATGGGGCACCTCGCAAGGAACTTGCACAGTCCACACTTGGAATGACGGAGTCGAAGAAGATGAGGCAGAGCCGAGGGTTGGTAGACGGGTCAATGCTCAGTTTCAACATGATGAGCGCCTCTATAGGACTGCTGACGGCAGGTCGAGGAGACAGCCGATGTGGTACGATGACTGGATGGACGATGATTGACTCGGCCGGATGTCACTATGAGTATGATTTATGGATATGGGAGTTCCTGGGCTGGGAGTTTGGGGCTGGGACTGGAGGCGCTCTGGGCGGTCGTGGTGCTGTTCAGGTCTCGTCACAACATGTTTGCTACAAGTTGAAGCATTTTGCAATACCACATCCATGATCTCACGGGTCACATCAGATCTCATCCTAAAGATTCTTTGGCAGGATTAATCCAATTAGATTTGTTCAAACTCCCGCTGACCCTATGCCCATATTGTACAGCATTTTTGGACATTGCTCCATGCCTAGTAATTCGAGCCAACCCATCCGGATCCTCTCTAAATGCAATACAAATGGTATGATGAATGATGTCCCGTCTCGAAGATGCGAAAGCGGACGAAAGTGGTATTGGTGTTGACGAAGAAACTATGAGCCACCGACGAGGATGTTGTTTACGGGGATGTGCACCAGCTTGACGATGTAGCCGATGACGCCTGGAATGACTGTTAGTCGCCGTCCAATGTCGCGCTTCCCATGATGGCAACTACTGACCCATGATCAGAAAACCAATTCCGACTGCTTGCGAGATCCTGATGAACTCCTTCTTGTCGGGCTCTGTGACACCGTGTTAACATGGTGCTCGTATTTTGATGTCAGAGATGATCGTACTGGTGCAGCGGTTCATGAACAAAGTACCCTCCTTGAGGAACTCAGCGGGCATACTGTGTCGCATGTTAGCAATTCATCGCCCATCACGTGCGGCTGAGCGCATACTCGGCAAACTCCTTGACGTTCTCCATGACTGATGTGGGGTTATAAGTGTGAAGGGTGGTGTTGTGTGGTAGTCTCGTATGATACGTGTATCAATTGGCAGTCGTTGTGGCAGTGAAGGAGGTCGCGCGCTCGAAATGTCCCAGAAGCCCCAGGGTGTCGGAGCGAGCAATCTGGCCTTGCGGAGAAGGCCGAAAGCGGTTAGCGCTGTGCCAAGAGTGTTCGAGCTTCTTTGGGCTGGATTCGACTCGACAGCTCGCCTTCATTCTCCCCAATCACTCAGTCAGCGGTAACAAACTGAACATTACGCGCATTCTTCCTTGAGAGTCGCTCATCTGGTAGATACTCACTGCAATATAGGATCGACATAATACTCGAGATTAGTGCTAGGCTGCTGCATTGCACCGACGCGCCGAAAAGGGGAGCTATCAACGATCAAAGGAGCTTCACCTCGACGTGAGAGCGCAAACTACATTCTTCGTTCCTTTTTCATTATCGGAAGTGCGCACCGTCGCATGATCTCAGGTCGCTGGAGTCATTGTAACACGGGAGACGCACTGCGCGCAAGCTGTACTGGGAGCAGAAGAGCAAGCACAGGAGTCAGGCTGAGGTTACACATCACATCTTTTCCACACACATCCTGTACCTTTTACACATCCGCATCTGCCAGGGGCGATCGGACTGTCACATTCTGCGCATAAGCTGTCTTTCTGGACTTTGTTACTACGCCCGACAGCGGCACTGTACGTATTGCCTCATTCTGCGCTGTTTGGTCATTTCTCCATCGACGCCGCATTGGATTGGGTCACAATTGGAATACTCCCTGTATCACAAGCACACTCTTCTAATAGCTCGCTGATTTGTATAGCATATACAGAGCTTCTTGTACTTTGGCCTAGAGCATTGGCCCATCAAGTATCTACAAGCCAATCAAAGACAAAATCCTGGAACATACAATCACCACTCACTGCAGGTCTCACTTGATTTGAAACAGCAGCAATGGCCGACGACGACAATTTCGATATCGACATCTACGGCGATGACTCCTACCAAGACACCAACGCGCAACAAGACACAGCCGTTTCCGACGCGAATACCTCGAACGCGAATACAAACGGTGGTGAATCTTCAGACTCGACGAACATGAAGACTGAAGGGGATCAGGCGGCCAAACAAGAGCCCTCAGGTGATGCCTCCATGAATGGTGACACACCCCAGGAGCACAGCACACAGCAGATCGCCAGCACGGGTGGCTCGACAGGCAACCATGAGGTTCACAAACAGGCACCACAGAAGCAAGGGACGAAGCGCAAGCAGGGTGAGGATGACGACCGTCCAACAGACCCTGGAGCCACAGCAGCATTGATGATCAACGATGTAAATTGGTGGGTCAGTGAAGAAGATATTCGAGGCTGGGCCAACCAGAGCGGATGCGAAGACGAGTTGAATGAGGTGACGTTCAACGAGCACAAAGTCAACGGCAAGAGCAAAGGGTGAGTGTTGGGACCTCCCAGATGTAGAAGTCCTGCTGACAGCTCGCAGACAAGTCTACGTTCAATTGCAATCGCCACAGGCTGCGACCGCGCTCAAGCACCAGATCGACAACCTGTTCAAGGATCAAGCACACGCGAAGAAGCCTACCGCAATATTCAATCCTCCTCAACACAATCCATTCAAGACGTTACCGAAGGATGTTCCAGCACGCGATAAGGGAAGAAGCGACCGCGGTTCGTCTGGTGGCTATGGTGGCCAGACCGGTGGCTACAACAACAACCGAGGTGGCTATAATCGAGGCAACTACAACAACAGGGGTGGCAACATGGGTTACAACAACAACCGTAACTTCTCTGGTCCTGCTGGCGGCAACATGGCTGGCGGCATGGGATTCGGTGGCCAACCTCCTATGAACAATTTTGGTGGTAACCCAATGGGCGGCGGTATGAACAATTTTGGTGGCGGCTTCCGCGGTGGCATGATGAACAACAACATGCGAGGCGGCGGTATGGGCGGTCGAGGCGGCCGTGGTGGCATGGGTGGGATGAACAATATGGGCGGTATGGGAATGAACATGCCCATGGCTAACAACATGATGGCCATGGGAGGCGGTATGATGGGCGGTATGGCCAACAACATGGGCGGCATGATGGGAGGCATGGGTGAGTGAAACATATGTCTTGGTGAATCAACCTTGTTAACAGTTTCAGGCGGTGGCTTCAATAACCAGGCAGGCTTCCAACCACAATTCTTCGGTCAGCCACAATCACAACAAGGGGGTGGTGGCGACTGGGCCAACAACCCTCACGGTGCTAAGCGGGCCCGACCAGAGTAGAAGAAAGGGACTCGTTGAGAAGTCCCGGCGACCACTATACCGTCCCGTCCCTGGTACTCGACATCCCTTGGCCATCTTCGCTACATGATCTCTTCGTTGAGATGAAAATACTTCATTCTGCTTGTCATATTCAATCTCGTTCGGCGTTCTCACGCGTATGGGACATCTCTTAGGGAATGAAACTTGTTCGCTCATGTCTTATTATTTTCTATGATCTCTCCGGCGCACGTTTTCTGGTCTTTTGGTTGGGGATTTCAAGTAATTATCAGGTACTTATTTGGGAATTTTTGGATAGTCGCAATGCGCATTGTGCGCGCAGGCCTATGTCGATCTACAGTGTGGTTGAGGTCGTTGATGTACACGGAATGGCTCCACATCATGATGCTATATTTGAACAAATAATCAGCACAACACTCAATCTCGAAGTACTTTCTCTTCGCAACATTGACTCTGCCTAGGTAGCGGTCGAAGTACTTGGTGGAAAATTGGAGTGGCCCTGGCTAATCTCCAGATAGTGTAGCAGGGATACATACGAACACCGCAATATACACTCGGCCCACTTGCACTAAGAACGACCTGACAGCCAATCAATAGAGACCTCACCTTCTAGAAGTCTAACACGTTCCGCTTCTACAATCGGAACCCGGGTCAGGAGTGGTCTTCACAATATAAGCTCATCAATACCGAAGCTGGATGGTCGCATTAGTCCTAGGTGAGCAGAATCCGGGGACTAGATGAAATTCGTCACGGATGAACATGTAAATGGAGAACCAATGTGGGAGTTTATTGGCTCAGATGCATAAGTTCATACCCTGTCGTCTCGTGACTGGGAGTATATTTACTCGACACTCGGGAGGCACTTCAACCTGTGTAGCAACATCTTCGGGAAGTCGTTCAGTTATAGTAACCATGGGGTGTTTCGCAAAAGCTGCGGTGCTTGCATCTGCGATAGTACAGGGTGCTTTTGCTCAAGGTATGCGTACTATGTTCAGGTTCGAATAAAGACACTGCTGAGACAAAATCCTTAGGCAATAGTACCGGCAACAGTACAGTCAAGTGCCCGTCTACTGCTTCTTTCAGTCCTATCTCTGCAGGATCTTTTCTTTCCAATATCAACCCCGGGTGGAATCTTGGAAACACACTGGATGCCGTCGAGACGGAAGGATCATGGAATAACCCACCTGTTGTCGGGGCCACGTTTGACGACGCTAAGAAGGCCGGCTACAAGGGCATTCGTCTGCCAGTGACCTGGGCTTACCACTTCACTTCCCAATCTCCGGACTACACCGTCGACGCAAAGTGGCTGCAGAGAGTCGAAGATGTTGTCGACATGATCCTTTCCCGAGGCTTCTACGCTATCGTCAATGTTCACCACGACAGCTGGACGTGGACGGACCTCACACAGGCTAACACAAATGTGACTCTGGTTGAAGAGAAAATGTACAAATTGTGGTACCAGATTGGAACAAAGCTTGCTTGCAAGAGCAGTGCTTTGGCTTTCGAACCTATCAATGAGATCCCTGGAACTACAGCAGAGCATGGCGCGACTGTGAATCGGCTAAACAATATCTTTCTCCAGGCTATCAATGATGCGGGAGGTTTCAACTCACAACGAGTCGTGACTTTGGTCGGAGCGGGCGAGGATGGACTCAAGACAACACAGTGGTTCAAGCGTCCAGATGCGAAGTTCAAGAACCCCTGGGGAATCCAGTGGCATTACTACTCCCCTTATGACTACATTTTCAATGCTTGGGGCAAGACAACATGGGGCTCTGACGCCGATAAAGCTGCGCTCGACGCAGACTTCGCCATGGTGCGTGGCAACTTCACAGATATCCCTCTCATCATCGGCGAATGGGCTGCATCTCCAGTAGCAACCGAGACAGCAGCACGCTGGCGCTACTTCGACTTCCTAGTCCGCACCGCTGCTAAATACAATGCCTCCACCATCCTCTGGGACAACGGCAACGATTTCCTGGACCGCGCAGCACACACTTGGCGCGACCCCGTCTCCCACGACATCTACCGCAACGCCGTCAAGGGCATTCCCAACGCGCTCCCCGACAGCACAACAGACGGCAGCACAACCCAAAAGTCCTCCGCCTACATCTACCACAAGAAAGGCACAAATATCACTGACGTGACCCTTGGCTTCTACTTCAACGGCAACAAACTCTCCAAGAACATCGTCCTCGCTAGCTCCAATAAGTCTCTTAATCAGGGCCGCGACTACACCGTCTCGGGCGAATTAATCACGTTCAAAGCCCCTTTCCTCGCTTCAATATTCACCCCCTCTTCGCCCACAGGCAGTCTCGGCTCCCTCGCTTTATCCTTCAACCGCGGCGCATCGCTCAGCATCGATATGGTGCACTACTCCGTGCCCGAACTATCCAGCACATCATCAAAATTACCCGCCGTGTCTGCCGACCTGTTGATCCCGTTGAAATGGGCCGGGCAAAACAGGCCCGCGACGGTCAAGGCGACGAAGCTTGATGGCACGTATCTTGTGGATGATTGGACGCAGTATTTGCCTGAGTTGCAGAGGGGTAGGGCGACGTACTCGAATCACTGGAACTGGGCGCCCGAGGGTGTGATACTGACGGCGGCGGCGTTGGAGGCGGTTAGGACGGCGGGATTGAGCACGACGTTTATGATTGAGTTTTATCCGAGGGAGCCAGGGAATGCGGTGAACTATACATTGACTGTATAGGGGATGGTTTGTAAGTAGAGAATTGGGGGTGTGGAGGGTTGGATTCAAAGGTTGTATATATTGTTTGATGGTTTGTCGAATAGAGGTCGTGGTTGTTTACAAATATACGATTGATCTGATGCTTAAATCACTCTCAAGTGGAATCCCGAGGCTGATTCTCTCCGACATCCCTGAAGTGATTTCCATAGCAATATCAAAGATCGCAATACATTGCTACGTTTCTTCTCGTCTCCTTTGCCTATTTTACGCTATATCCCTCCAAAAGTGCTACCAGACTCAACTCTGGACCAGTCGCTAATAAAGTGTTCAATGCAGCACTGCCCAAGAAAACCGGGCATTTGATCTCTTGTGCCTTGTCCACCGCAATCTTCAACTTCTCTGCGTACCCCCCTAGTACGCTGGCCTTTCCATCGCCCTTCTTCTCCAAAACCTCAATCATTTTGCCACCAGCGTCCTTGAACATTGAACTTCCACCGGCAGCATCACATGCCAACTCGTAAAGCTGTGGAAGTGGGATGCCAACATTTTGCGCTAGTGAAATTGACTCGGCAGCAGAAACAAGATGGATGCCAGTTAGTAGGTCAACGACGAGCTGGAGAGCTGCGTCTTTGTCGGCAGCCGATGTGTTGATGGAAGAAACAGGTTCCGAGGTCCAAAGACGAACGAGACCGGCATCGTCGTTGGCACCCCAGCCGCGGTCCAGAGCGGAGAAGTAGACTTGTTCCGCGACGGAGCAGAGTTTGGCGGGGAAGTTGAGGCTGCGGGACATGTATGTTATGATGCCCTATCGAGACGATTAGCAGTCGAAACCGATTTCTGAAAAGGAATGTTGACTTACAGTGTCTTTCAAAATAATCGTCACAGCACTCGCACCTGGGAAATAATCCTCCTTCAGCGTCCTCTGACTCCTATTCTCAAACATCCAACTCCACCCCTGACTCTTGAGCACTGCATCATGTACCTCCTTGCCGTTCAAGCCCAACCTAGCCGCAAACCCATACGCTTCCGAGACAGCAAGGATCTGAATCGCTGCGAGTACTTGATGGACCATTTTCATATTACTTCCCGCGCCGATTCCACCTTCTACAATGAATAATTTGCTCGGCGCGCTCATCTCTTGAAGCAGCCATTTTCCCTTTTCGAACGCTGCAGACGACGCGCCTGCCATGATCGACAACGTACCATCTGCAGCCCGTCCCGCACCGCCAGAAACAGGCGCGTCGATGAAGAAAATGTCTCCCCGGCCTACATCTTTCAACTCTTCCTCCACGCTCTTGACATACTGGCTCGCTACCGTCGAGCACAAGATCAGCGTGGCGCCTTGGGGAAGTGCTTTCACGATGCCGTCGTCGCCGAACAGCGCGGGTTGAGCCTGTGGCGCTGACGCTACCATGACGATGTAGAAGGCCTTGTCCTTTGCTGATTCGGAGAGCGATGACGAGGGCTTGCCTCCTGCGTTTGCGAATTTTTCCAGAGACGGAGGGTAGACGTCGAAGCCGGTTACGGGGTAGCCTTGCTTGACGAGGTTTGTGGCCATGCCCATTCCCATCGCACCTAGGCCGCAGAATCCGATAGCAGGTTTGGAAGACATTGTTGCAGTGTGTATGATGAGGTACGAAGGTGGATATGTGGGAAGTCCCTTGACTGTCTTCAATGCCCAAAGTCCAGCTCAAATTGTCGATGTTGAAGTTCGGGAAAATGAAGTCAGATGGTCCTGTTCCCTACAAGGATATAAGGATTTGATCAAAGTCACTAAACTCGGCCTTCTTCCCGAAAACTCGGTTGCTGTATCTCAAAACAAAAAACAACTGTTGAGACGCGAGATATCAAGCATTCTCTAACCTCAGCTCATGACTCCAATACAACCATTTCTTCGGTCCGTCGTTACTCTCCGTCCGGCAAAAGTCTACAAGCTGCTGGGCAACCACCGACTATGCCCCGCACTATCACGGATGGGGTAAGCGGGGTAGCTTGAACCGGTAAATCTCACGCCGAAGGTGGAGCTTTCGGCTCATGTGGGCAGATGTGGTGGGTTGCTTAGTCGAGGAAGCCGAAAGGGTATCGTGACTTTACCTTGGAGTTGCGAGATACTTGTGAATTAGATCAACGTGAGTGCTGCGAGCCTACTACGATGGCCCACCAACACAACGGTACATACAGTGGGAGTGGACCAAGGTCTACTAGAATATACTCTTTGAGTTTGTAAAGACCTCAGATGACGAGCGGTATCGTAGTTCTGTGCTGTGTCCAGGTGTCGAAAAACGAGGCTACTTGATCGAGCCTTCTCGGCCACTTGAACGTACGAGCCAGACTCTGTTCTTGGAGTCGAAAATTGAGATAAATGTAGTGATGTAGTTAAGATCTGCATTTGAAGTCATTCGGCGTGATCGCATATGCTCGACTAATAGGCGGACGCCTCCTCCATTCCCTTGGGTGCAAGACAGCTGTCTGGTACAGGGTAGCGGCACTCTGCCAAAGCCTTTTACTATAAAGAAGCCTGACTCCTTTGAACTGTTACCTCAATAATGGTTGCGATGTTACCTTGACGAGGGCATACAATGCTCTGAGGAAATAGCTTGCTCACATTCTGTGAGCTGACATGCGCTATGCGTCGTATCAGTGCTGTCATCTAAAATAGATTAAGGCGGGCAATTGATGTCTGAGCTCCGACTGCTCACTCAATCCGTCTCAAGACGGTGCTGCAATCTCCATGGATTATGATAACGTGCGTATCTTAACCTCTGATGTCGGCCATATATTAAAGCTGAGGTTGAGGCATATCCACTTGAACGCCGCTTACCTATTGCAAGATCAGGCATCCCTGTGCAAACGGGGTCTTCGCAATTGACCCTAGATTCAACCGTGAACCGAGCACATCTCATGCAGAGTTGATTGAGACAAGTGGACCAGGTCGTCCCCACCACGTGGTGGAACGTGGGAACTTCATCGACCTTATCATGATCCTTAATATCAACGCTTACCTCCGTAAATGAGAAAGATCACGAGGTGAATCCTTGTTCGTTCGAATGAGGCATTATGCAAGCCACGAGCATGCGAAACACCAGAGCCGGCTAATCAGTCTGCTTGTAGGGAGAAAGAGTACCAAGGGTCCACAGGTCCGCCTGAAGCGCGACAAAGAATTCCCTCAATAGCGAATTGACGCATGTCAGAGAACAATGGCATGTCGAAACGGAGTGCGGAATCCGAAGAAATGCAATAGCATGGCGCGATATCTCTAGATCCCGCGGAGCACGTGCTGGCAAGTGCGTTTCAGGTGAACGAACTGTGGCGGCCAAAGTGCGCAAGCGAGCTCGTTTTCTTCCAGAAACGCCCCTTGTATGATCTGCATGAGCGGACATGGCGGGTAATGGCTGCTTGTCCTCACGGCAAGACTTTGGTTCGCGTGGGGAGTCGATGGGGCGTGATGGTGTGGTGACACGGCTAGTGCTCCACACAAAGAAGGCTGCAGCTTGATCGCCATCATTATTGCAAGCTACTAGACGTGACGACAAGGGGTATGAGATCAGACGCGGAAGAGTGCCATGTTGGAGCTCGTCAGCGAACTTAATGGTCCGGAGATAAGGCTCGAGCGGTAAAGTAATGCATCTGGGGGATGTGATCAACAGGAGGATCGCAAAGAGTTTTGGAATCTTTAACCAAGTGGACATTGCGATTTGCTTTGCTAGTACCGCGATACTTGGCGGGTGTTGAGTTTGGAGATGATTTTCAGGGCGACTGCAGCGAGCAAGCCACAAGTGCAGCCACAGATACAAAGCAAAATAAAAGTAAGCCCTTACTCATGCTCCGAGCCTCGGAACAGGTGATAGCTTGGCAAGACGGCAACTCTGAATGCATGTCAGCGAGGTTCGGCATGTAGTCCTTTGCTACCGCTGTCACCGAATCCGATGACCTGGTAATTTTGGGGTGATGGATTGCGATGTTGTCTATCGTGAGCAATCCTGCCTACACCGCTGACTGTGACTCAGAGACTAGCGACGGGCTTGTCAAATCGACGGGCTGACCGCTTAACCCTCTGAACGATGTGGTTGCCGTAGCGCTAGTTCAGCAAACCTGCTTGGGGTGCACACGTTGTAATGTGCGATCATGATTTGCGGACCTGCAGCTTGAGATCTGCCGGCAAGCAACGCAGGAGTTGGATGCACATGTGATTGATGGGCCTGCGTTCGCTGCATCGAAGGCTGATAGTAGATTCCACACGTACAGGTACGACATGGCGCAGGCAATCGCGCAGCATGCGTGCGTTGAAGGCGCTGGTGTGACCTGCTTCATCCAGGAAGACTGGTAGTCTGCCAACACCATAGCACTGCAGCATCCCCAATCTTTATCGACGCTGTGGAACATGTGGGTAAGCTGTTGCTGTTGCTACCCATGATAGTGTGATAGACTGGGCTGCCCGTAAAGCAGCTCTGCGCTACCTGACCAGGAAAGCAGGTTATACGGGCAGTTGCCCAAGGCTAGGCAAACACAGTCTAGGACCATGTACCGAGCATGCAAGCTGACCTAGTAGCAGATGCAAGATTATGGCACAACGTGAAGCCTGGCTGTCGAATGACTTCTGCCTCGCCAGAGGAGAGCAGCACCGTTGCACAGGATCTCCAAGGCTCGCTGCCTTGGTATTTGCAGTCTTCAGATTGTTCGGCAGGGAGATCCGAGCATCGCTAATGCTAGCCGTTTTCACGGAGGATCTGGTGTGGCAGGCCTAATTCCAAGGCTGTCGCAATGCGTACGGCACCGCTCGAAGCGGCGAAAGCGAACACCGCACAGCCAGGTGCGGGTTGCGCTGCAGGAGGGAGGGTATAGCAGTCGGAGTATCATTCCAATAAACCACTTGCCAGCAACTTGCAGCCAGGCTACAACGCCCCCACCGCCGAGCGGTGAGTGTAATAAATGCAGTGGAACCCAATGCGTGCAACCATCGAGAGGCATATTGCATGATGGTACTGATGCGAGAAGAACAGATCAAGTGGGGTCCTGCATTGGTGTCGAATGTAGTGTGTGTAGACAACGGTTGGCAGCATGCATGAAAATTGGTGTGGCTGCGTTAGTCATCTGTCATCTCGAAGCGGAGGGTAAGCGCAACCGAGAAGCATTTACCCCTGTGAGACGATGATGAGGTGAGACGTAAGTATAGTAATAACTTGATTTTAATCCTGAAACAGACGTATGTTGCCGTCGCCGTGATGCCTGCACGAACAGGGCCCAGGGATGGTGAAGTCGACTGTAAGGTTGGGACCGGTCACGCGGAAGGCGCAGCGGCATCGAGCGGGACAACTGGATGTTGGTAGGCTTAGAGCACATCGAAGTATTGGCTCTGCTCCTTTAGGTTGCTTCGAAGTATACGTCACTACAAGCTTAGAGCGGGACATCATGCAACTCTCGTTCCACGGTTCAACTAGATCGTGCACGAAAAGTGACTGAACGACGCTATCAACTTGCATCTTGGCAATATGCTCAGGGCTGTGTGGAGTATCGCGGCGTGCGCCTTTGGAAGGGCGGGATTGGCGATGTTGCGTGGTTATTACCATGAAATATGAAGGACCACGGCAAATGCCGCTACTCGATATTGATTCCACCGCACGCATTGGGGCTCAGACCAATGCAGGATGTTGATTTTGGGGAGAAACATCACTTTGGAGATTTGAACGAAATTTGCGTGAAGTGATCTTCAGATCAGATGATTAAAAACTATAAGCATGTTGGGGTATTCGATGTCCTTCCTGGCTGTGAAGCCTCCGTAAGTCAATAACTCCAAGTCTAGTCGTATGCCGGCAGTAATGTGCACGAGCGTTGACTCCATGATCCCAAGCGCCGGTTGATGCGTGTTCTATAAAGCAAATAAATAGCGCTGAAATTATAAGTCATGCTGTGCCAATATCCAAAGAGGCGTCTATGAGAAGCGAAGCTGCGGTTGCCCAGCTACCGAGGCCAGCGGGTGTTCGAGGGTCGCAGCGATGTGATTGCCCAAGGTCGAGTGAAAAATTACTCGAAGGGAGTGATAGTGGTGAGATGCTCGATTGCCAATATGGCACAGCGGATGTGCAGACCTTGATAAGGCAGCAGGGGCTATTGTCCGATGACCTGATTGGCCTTCTTTTACTCGCCTCTGAACATGGGAGGCGAGGTAGATGAAGAATTCGTAGTTTGATAGGGACACCGAAGATCAATTCGTTCTGAATGCCGCAGTAAGCTGGGTTGAAGGCCGCGGGCCAGTGAAATGTGCGTTTCGATGTTGATGGTGGTCGGTATTAAGATGTTGCAAGATGTAGATGATGCGAATGATGATGCTGGTAAATATCGATATTATGCGCCAGAAAGCCCGTTGCGTGAAGAAGAGATAGATGCAAATCAGCTCTATTTCGTTGGGACTGGAGGCAGAGGGCGGGTCGGTGGTGGTCCTGGGCATGGAGGAAGGTTGTTTGATGCCATGTTGGACTCGTCGTAGTTAAGAGCAGCCATTGTATTGTTGGAGTATGAAGTCAGGTAGACAGGAGAGTAGTGTCAGGTTGGTGTGTTGAGCGTGGATAGAGTGTAGTGTGTCGTGGTGTTGGACTGGTATATACCGCTGGTGAAGGTGTGCTGTAATGAAACAAAGTTGTCGACAGTGGGGGCACGGGTGTACTTATGTATGTGCTCAGATTACAGAAGCCAAAAATGTCGGTCAGCTACGTACTTTTGACGATGTATGCAAGTATGCTAGGCAGCGCATGGCACGGCCCAAGCGGTGAATGGCGTTGGGCTGGTGGACTAAGAAAGGGGTGGCTCCTGGCTTGTGCATAAGCTAAAGCATGCCGAAACATCGCTCATCAAGGGTCAATTAGCGAGCACGGGCTGCAAAATTTACGAGAAAGGTGCCTCCACCGCTTGTCGTTTCATCGCCCTCGTGACTGTGTGAAGATCGTTGTTGCTCCAATACCGTCGCAGGACTGTCGCCGTCGCAGGGTTGCCGTTCACCCCTTGCATCATCCGCAAAGCGAGTCGAGCTCGGCAAACGTGGATGACTCCCAATATTACGAGGGTAAAGTGTATGTCTAAGTCTGACATCACTGTAACCCTGGTCCTGGCAATTTATTCTTAGCAGGCGATGCTGGCAGCCTGGTGCGAACGACTGCGATTAATTGAAACGCAGCTCCCCTTTTTTCGCGTTGCAATGGGCCGCTGACTAGAGCGCAACGTTGCTTCATAGCTCCGCGTGTGTAAGAGGGCTTGCCTGCGAGAGATTCAGGCACAAGCAGGTTTACGGCCGGGTCCTGGACGGGAGCAGTTTCTGACAGGCCGACCACTGCCGGTGCATGTAAAGAAGCAGCGGTGACGAAAACTTGACACCCAATTTGCGACGTTGCCCACTCGTCCGTGCCTAACACTCCACCAGAATTTTGACGATCTAGCGCACATGCGGAGTCTTCTCCCGTGCTTCTTTCCTTCCATCTAATTTCCAACGAGCCCCGGACTGCTGTGCAGCTGTGGTCCTGCGAGTATCCGCTGGCGGTGAGAGCTGCACATATGTCCTTTACTCCGAGCCCTGATTCAGCGGCGCCGAGCGTACGGCGTACGTAAAGACGTAGCCGTATGCACTCATAGGGCTTGATTATTTTTGTCTGCCTGCTTGCCTCGTTGGTGCGACTCGTATTAATCCCGGCATGAGCGTGAGCTGGCGCTATGCCCTGTCTTCTTCCGGTCGTCACATGAGGCTGGTAAGCAGAAGCCCTTAAAGCTACTCTCTTATGAGCCGGTTGGTCCGGAGGCTGCGGAGGGCAAGGAACTGGATGGGAGGCTTTTGCGCAGCCACAAGCCGCATTTGTCCAACACACCCTAACAACCAATTCCGATGAACCGGAGAAGGGTGCCGCACCTTGCAGCTGATGCTACTGCTGCGCCCACGTGGAACAACAGGGATGATGTTTGCTTCCTAAAGTTGGCGTTGTTTGTCTTTCATTCGCAATTTGTCCCTCCTGACCCCTGCGGGTCCGCCAAATGAAGCCAGATTCTGCTGTCGTTTGGCTGGCGTAAGTGTCCATGCTTTCATGCTCGTCGCAGGGACCAATATTTTAACCATCCAAAGCCACTGTCGCACCTTACCCTTTTTGGTCTTTCCAGCGAACGATCGATCTACAGGGGCGCCGATTGTGTCAAGCCCTCATGCTGTGTCTGGAAGGTCGTCTGCAACTCGCCACCACGGCTGGCTGTTGTCTCAATTCGACCAAAATTTCTGTCGTTTCATGGCAGTGGGGACGTTCTCTTTCACTGTAACAGATTGATGTGACATATCTGCGACGCTGGCGAAGGAAGGTTTTGGCCGTTTGAGTTCATGAAGCTGACCATGTCCCGGCAGATTGGACGGTGCGGAGAGACGACAATGACCGAGCGCTGAGCTACCGTTGACTGACAGATCGGTTTCATCAAACCAGAAAAATTGCTTCAGGGCTGCATTTGAGAATGGTCCTGGCTCAACAATGCGATGCGACCGAGAATGTGCCAAGTAGACGGGCGTTATCTGTGCATACCGTGAAGCTTCAGCTCTCAGCCCTCTGTGGGCTGGAAAAAGGCTCATAGGCCAAACTCTAATCCAAGGTGATCGGTAATACTCCAGACTGGCTTTTACGCGTCACCCTCTTGCGGCGACATGAAGCCGGCGCATATCGAGAAACATGGGGATAATTGCGATATACGTCTGAATCGTCATGGATGCCATGGACCAAGCAGCTGACCGTTCGCACACGGTGGGTCTGATTTCTGGTGCGCTGCTGCAGGTACGCGCCACTTCAGCCCCTGCATTATTGGCTCGTTCCTGACCATCAGTCTTGTCAAGCGACCCCGAGTGCCACGACACCCTGGGCACGGTGAGTCCGAATGAGGTTGGTATTTTCTTCTGCAATGGTGAACTGGACGCTGGATAGGCAGTATTGGCTCGTTGTCTTGATGTACATTCATGGGTGAGGGCATGGACAAGCCAGAGCAACAACTGTGGCATTGTCTCTTATGAGCAGCAATTCACTCATTGTCGCACGAAATTATTGATCATTTGTGGCTGGAGGGCGATCATTGTGGGATCGCCGTGCTTATTCTTATAGCACCGAAAAATCCGTGATACCTAGCATAATTGTACACGTGATCACCTGCGCTTCACGATCAATTTGGCTGACCACGCGTTGCGTAGGCATAGAGTCACCTACATCTGGACAGAGACTATTTCAACGCCGTCGCTCAATACGCTGTCCTATCAAAAGCGTACAGTAGACGTATTCCCACGCGTGAATGGCGTGTCGTCTCATTTGACACTATAGGTGAGAATGGTGTAGCGTGAGCCCACTGTTGATGCCCTGCATTGACGATCCTTGCGCCCTATGCCGTGGAGGAATACATAGTGAGATCTGTGACACGATACGATTTCTGCGCTCGTGATCATCCGGCATCTTCGTCATCCTCGGGCTCCGCAGCGGCTTGCGTAGAAACCCAGTTTTCCAACATCTGTTGACTTGAGGCTGGCCCTGGAAGTCTTGCGCCGCGGCGCTTCACCACAAGACACAGAATGCGCCCGTAGATGCTGAAGCCATCATACGAGGTATTCAGTCCAAGTTTCTTTTTGTCATCTCCGGCCTCTTCGGCGTCTTTCTCCTGACTGGGTTCGGCGATTTTCTCGCTCGTTTTGCTTCGCTTGCTCGGCCGACCAGGAACGAATAAGGCTGAGCTTCCACTGTCACCCCTATCGCTGGATGCATCGTCTTCTGCGTTTTCTATTGGACGCTTGTGACGTGCTGATCGCCTAGAGGAGTCGAGCAGTCCATCTGCTTCAGGAATGTCGGCAATGTCAACATCTTCGTCGTCTTCTTCTCTGATCACGATCGGCTCCGTCGAATCTTCATTGATGACCATAGGTTGGTCGCTTGTTCCAGTGGTAAGCCAATTGGTCAGCTTCCCTGAGTTACTCTGAATGCGAGCCTTGTCCTTGAAAATCTTCTGTTTGGTCAATACGGAGTGACGGGAGGAAAGTTCCGTCAGGAAAATAGAGACTTCGAAATCTTCTGAGATGGTATCAGCCGTCTGAGTCAGAGATGAGGCTCAAACATGAATCAAGCTTGACCGTTAACGTTTCGACTTGACTGACCTTCGACGACCACATCCTTGACACCCTTCTTCTTAGCCTTTGCTCCTCCTTTGCCCTTGCCTCGCTCGTTTTCCTCGCGCAATTTAGGCAGAACCAGCGGTCGAACTGCCTGGATGACGCGTGGCAACGCTGGATCGTCGCGTTTCAAGAGCCATGCATCTGCGTCAGCTGGCCTGTCAAGGTAGATGCGAACTTCGAGGACTGAGTATTTTGTGATCCTGAGATATCGTCTAAGCGGGGCCATGGCGGGTAAGGCGTAGTGTTATTGATCGAGCCCGAGGGAGAGCGGCGGAGGTTGAGTGGGGAGATCTGGCAGGGATGCTCGTTAATGTTACGCTGTCACGTGCCATGCGATTATCTTATCGATTGCGTAGCGTCGAAGTTCTGATACAAAGACAGCTATGTTCACGATTTGTCCGTACTGACATTGGAAATGATGCTGGAACTTCACACTTGGGGCCCAGCCTTTGGGCTACCGTCAATTGACCCTGAGTGCATTGCCACCATAGCGTATTGCCGACGCGTGATACCGAACGGGTTCTGGTCACTGGTTGCAGACTACGATACGACAGTTGGGGCTACGGGTACGCCGAAATACCCTGCGCTTTCAATGTGAGTCTGACGTAACGGACAGGAAGCTTACCAATATTGTACGATGACGGGGTAGCGACCGCGACTGGCTTCGAAGACATTGTCGCATACCTTCGGAACCACCCAGAGGTCACTGAAGATCTCGACTCCAAGCTTACGAGCGGGCAACAGACTGACAAGACGGCGTTGGTATTTCCGCAGACTTACATCAGCCACTGCTGACAACTCCTTAGCTTCATTGCTTTCCTTCAATCGACGGCGGCTCCACTGATTGACCTCTTGTTATACGTCTCTGCCGAGAATTACAACACCACCACATCTTCTGCCTATACCGCCCTGCTCCCATGGTTCGCGAACTACACGATACCACCAAAACGTCGGGATATTGCCAGGTCACGGACCGGGCACATGGGCTTGAGCAGTCTAGATGTGGATACCACGACTGGGGAAGCTTTTGCACCAGGCCGAGGTACCGCATCGTCGGACTATGAAGCTGCCAAAAGAGCCGCAGGAATACCAACAGGCGGCCAGCCCAGCGCATTGCGCATGGGACGTGGCAAGGGGATCGGTGGATTTCTAGGCACGCCGGCGTATGCTGCGCGCTTCAGGCTCGACAGTTTGTCCAACGAGCTTTTAGACCCAGTGGCTGATCTGCTTGGAAAGACAGACTTCCTCCTGACCGAGGATAGAATCTCTAGCCTTGATTGCCTCGCGTTCGGCTATCTGTCTCTGCTGTTCTACCCAGCAGTACCTCAGGCGTGGGTCAAGGAGACCATCCAGACAAAGTTCCCTCGCATCGCTTCGTACATTCGTAGATTGCGAAAAGACATCTTCTGCGACGAGGACATCAAGCCAGCAGATGTATGGACCATATCTTCCGGTCCACCACAAGCCTCGAGTGGAATGCTGCTACCATGGCAGCCTCGGTCCCAAGGTTTTATGTCCAGCGCCTTGGATGGAGCTCGAGAGATTGCTGGAAACCTCCCTCTGGTTTCATGGTTCACGCAGGGCACGTCTGTCGTGCACATGGACTATCCGCTGTCTTCAAAGAACATGCGTTCGTCGATGCCCTCTCCCGTCTTTATCAACACACTACTGGGCGCGACTGCAGCCGCGACCATCGGGTTTGCTTCGCTTGCAATCCATCATCGTCGCTCGCCGCGCGAGGGCGCTCTCATTTTCTGGGCACTGCGCCCAAGTACTGGCTTCGGTGAAGCTGGTGACATCTTGAGCATTTTCGCCAACCAAATGCCAAGTGGGGCATATTCACAATTCTGAATAAGTTGCACAATACCTGCATTCTAGCGGCGTAAACAAACGTGATACCCAATGACACAATCTCACTTTCGTACACAGCCACACACAGTGCGTGCATGTCTTGCGGCTAGCCCCTAGATCGACAGGGCAAATGATTTGAATAAGCTCCGGTTGTTGGCATCTACCGTAGCGTGTTTGTTATTGCGGCCAGACGTCACAGGGTCTTTCGAGGCTTAGCCACGACGCCAATTGACCTTGATTTGAGACATGGCTAGCGCACCTCTCAAAGCAGAACATCTGCTTCTTTGCAGACATCGTGGGGCAAAGTGGAGAGGACAATCTGTACGATCAGGGTAGGAACCCTGGGACAACCGTAAGGCACAGCACCAATTGGGACATGCATCCGCTGGCAACAAGCCGCTTTGAGACTCGATGCCCAGACGATTCGCGTGTTCGGTGGAGCGTGCGCGGCTAGATCGACGGCCCGAGCGCGGAGACCAACTGCTCGACGTCATCGAACATGAAGCATAACAAAAGCCGCCCTCACCTCACCTCGACACCTGGACGCTCTCTGCAAAACAGAACACCAACAACTTCGTCCTGATATACCCAAACCTTTCTACATTTAATCGAACCCCAGCCAACAAGATGCACCGAACATACAGCATGCGCCAGTCTCGCGCGCCCACGGCGTCGCAGATTCAGAACCCGCCCCCTCCGTCCTCGTCGACGAAGAGCGGACGTTTCTTCGGAAAGGCCAACATTGGTACGTCATGCAACCAATCTTTGCGTGCTTTCCCCTCCGAGCGCTGCAAGTCCGAATTTGGCCGTTTGCGGTGCCTTTGTGTATCAGTGTCGTCATCTGGTATACATGACCCGTGGACCTGGCGCAGTGAGGCACGAAAGACTGTTCTAACAGCCGCGGAATACGATTCTCTGCATTTTCAGCTCCTACTGGAGTGAACACCAATGCTAATATGGACTTCTTGTCACAGGCCACACGTTCCGCCACAAGTCCGCGGGCGCATTCGGGCCTGATCTTGCAAAGAAGCTCTCACAGCTCGTCAAGATGGAGAAGAACGTCATGCGCAGCATGGAGCTGGTTTCCAGGGAGCGCATGGAGGTTGCTGTAAGCTTGTGACAACGCGGATGTAACCCCGTACCACGCTAATTGGCCATTCAGCAACAACTCTCCATTTGGGGCGAGGCCTGCGACGACGACGTGTCTGACGTCACAGACAAGCTGGGTGTGCTCATCTACGAGATTGGTGAGCTCGAGGACCAGTATGTCGACCGCTACGACCAGTACCGCGTTACCATCAAGAGCATCCGCAATATTGAGGCTTCCGTCCAGCCCAGCCGCGACCGTAAGTTGCCCGTAGACTGTCTTGCCATGCTTCGCTGCTCACATGTAAACAGGCAAGCAGAAGATCACCGACCAGATTGCGCAATTGAAGTACAAGGAGCCCAACTCACCTAAGATTGTGGTCCTTGAACAGGAACTTGTGCGTGCCGAGGCCGAGTCTCTCGTCGCCGAGGCCCAGCTTTCAAACATCACCCGCGAGAAGCTCAAGGCCGCCTTCACTTACCAGTTCGATGCTATGCGCGAGCACTGCGAGAAGCTTGCCATCATTGCAGGTTACGGCAAGCACCTGCTCGAGCTCATCGACGACAACCCAGTCACTCCTGGAGAGACTCGCCAGGCTTACGATGGCTACGAGGCTAGCAAGGCGTATGTACTTTCGACCCGACTAGTGAACTACACTAACACACCACAGCATTATCCAGGACTGCGAAGACGCCCTGACCAACTGGGTCTCCCAGAACGCCTCCGTCTCTTCCAAGCTGTCCCAGCGATCGCGTACTCTGTCCCAGCGTCGCCGCAACGCTACCCGCCGTGGCGAGGGTGTTGACCTCTCGGGTCAGGATCAGACCATGGATAGGGAGTCTGGACTTTGGATCCCTGCCTCAGAGCACCAAGGCAACGGCTATGACGACCGTGACGAGCTCGACGACGATGAGGCGCACTCTACTATTGCTAGCGAGCAGCGTGGTCGCGAGGAGGAGAGGGTGATTGCAGCATAGACGTCTTACTGACGTACTTACTAGCACTCGCCTCCTCGTCCTCTCTTAGTACCCCGCGGCTGACGATGTATACCCCCGATGGAGTGGCCGATGTTGATGGTACTGCGAAAAACTTGAAACGTGAGCGGGAAATGAATTTCTCGAGTTGAGAACTGCCTTTTGTATACGAGAACCTTTTTGATGATTTACGATGTCATCTCGCAATAATAGTGTAATGCAAGTAATTATTCGATCTCAGACTCTTACGCACTCTCACTTTGGCAATGTGTTGATGCTGCCGCGCTATAATCGCTTAACCCCTAGAGTCCGACGCCCCAAGCAATGCAACAATGTCACGAGGAACAAACGTGAATACAGGGATATTGATCCAGTTCTTAGTTCGGTGACACAACCGAATTTGAACATTCACCCCGATTTTTTACTAACTCCATCCAATATCCGCTCTTCATTCAAGACTCTGGCTCGTCGGCCTAACAGCCATGCCAGCTTTTTCATACGTCTGGTCAATACTCTCCATCTGTCTAATTGAGTCCTCGCCATCGACCCACGCCCTATTCTTCCTCCCCTTGACCTTATCCACAAACCCCTCCATCATATACCGATACGTCGGCCACCAGTCCTCTCCTGGGCCCTTACCCTCAGGCCAGACATACTGCTTCTTAGTCTCCGTATGCTTCTCCGTCCTTATAACCTTATCCTTCGCATCGCGATACGTCGTCGTCGTCTCGATGACGATTCTGTGCCAGATATGCGGGCCCATGAAATTACTCATCGTGATAGTTTTCTGCGTGGTTATGTTTAGATTTTCCTCGACGCCGTGCTTGGGCCGCAGCACGACGCTGCAGACTGGTGGCATGCCTTTTGCCGTGTAGTTCGGCCATGTGTCGAAGAGCCAGGACCACCATGTGCCGCTGCTTTTGGTGACGCGCGCATCGAGGTCAGCGAGGAGGGTTGCTGTGCCACCGTTGGGGAAGGCGTAGGTTGCGAGCATAGCGAGGTCGCATTTGCTGTCGTGCGGAGGGGACATGAGGCGGGGGCTTGCGGATGTGACAGATGATGGGTCGGAGGCGAATATTGCGCGTAGGGCGCTGAGGTTGTATGTGCCCAGATCCATCAGTGTGCCGCCGGCGAGGTGGTATTTGAAACGGATGTCGTCGTGAGAGAACATGCCGCCTGGCAGCGCTGTTGTCGCATCTGCCGATTCTACATCTTTGGGGTCAAAGAGAGAAAGGAATGCGTGCCATGCTGGATGGAATTGGTAGTGTCGGGCTTCCAGCAGGACTGGGGCATTGGGAGAAGAGAGAACAGGATGGTGGAAGAGTGACCGCGCTTCTTCGGCGTTGGAGGTTGCGGGCTTCTCTAAGAGGACGTGTTTTCCAGCTTTGAGGGCTTTCAAGGTCCATTCATAGTGCAATCCGTTGGGGAGAGGATTGTAGATGCAATCGATAGAGGGATCATTAATGAGATCTGGTAGATCGTATTAGTATTTTGTACTGCCGATGAAAAGGTAGTACTTGCCATCGTAGCTTTTGTGCACAATTGGGATGCCATATTTCTTCGCATATGCTTGTGCCTTCTTCCCATCTCTTGCTGCAACAGCGGCAATGATTACTTCAGGATGGGACCGTGCTGGTTGGATCAAAGCTGTCAAGCTATCGCATGCTTATTAGTATGCTTCCGCAAATTCTGCTCCCTGAATTCAGAGGCACATACGCAATGTTCGCTGCACCAAGAATGCCAAATCTCAATGCATCGTCCTTCTTCGGAACATTTGGCCTACTTGCCAGCCACTCAGCCCACTCCCCCAAGCCATTCATCCAATCATACGGTGATTTCCCCATTTTGTGCACGTGTTGATAGTCTCGGAAAGTGAAGGTAATGGCGTGCACTTCTTATACCCATGACGTCGGGCGTAAGATTGATTGGCTTCAGCCGGGCGTTACTGCATGCGGGGGACTTCGCAAACTGGACACCGTTTCCTACTAGCGTGTCTGACATTCTGACCTATGGTTCTGACTTTCTGACCTGCGATGCGATGAAAATCGCAAGTTCAAATCTGGCCATGCATGCAATTGGTGCAGAGGTCCAGGAAGTTTGTCCGAGGTCGACTAAAACCTCGTACGAGACTCGCAAGGTCAACCAAATGTGCGAGGAATCTTCTAGTGTACATCTTGTACCCTCGTAAGAGGCCCTGCCGGTATATCCACCGGCGATCTATTCTATTGGTCTGATGTAGCCAACTCTCATTGCGACGATCGCCTGTGTTTCTCCAAGACACGCAGATAAAGCGTACCATGGTACATTGAAAGACCGCGGAGGGCACGTGCTTTTCTTGGCATATATTTCCTCGAACTTCACCACCATAATCACCATCGATACCCAGTCCACAACTATACACCCCGACAAACCCACCAAAATGCTCCCACGGTCCCTCCTCCTACCCCTGCGCCGCATGCTGTTCTCGTCTTCCCGCACCTTCCTGCGACAACGCCACATCCACACGGCAACATGCGCCTGCAACACCCTACTACGACCGAGCCTGCGTCAGGTCTGCGCACAGCCGCTCGAAGACCTCACAGCACGCTTTAATGGCCTGCGGTTACAAACGGCGCAGCAGTCGCGGGGCATGAAGGTTAGAAGCTCAGTCAAGAAGCTGTGCGATGGGTGCAAGAGCGTGAGGAGGAAGAAGGGACGATATGTGTATATCATCTGTAGCAAGAATCCGAAGCATAAGCAGAGGTAAGAGAAATTGAAGGGAGTTTGAAGATGAGTAAATACTGACCATGGGTAGGCAAGGATAGACGACGAATACCAACACCCGAGGGCCTACAAGATGGTTCCGGATCGGATATGGCGAGAAGAGCATGCGGGGCGCAGAATTGTAACATATGTATGCATACCCAGCATCTTCGGCGTTTGGGAAATTATATCACTTTACAAGGAGGATTCATCTCAGCTTTCGCATGAAGCGTACAAGAATAGAGGTACTAGACTCATAGCAACACGACTTTTACTCTCCAAGCAATACTGTTGCATAGTCCATCTCCAATCTTCAATGCCCTCAGCCCATGCTGCCCCCAGATTGACTGCCGCCAATGATCCCAGCCATCTTCAACAACTCCCTGTCTAACTCGACATCCCCCGTACCCAAATTAATCCTCCTCCTCGCCTCCGCTTCCCTCTCTTGAAACGCCCACTCCTTCCGCTGCGCCTCCGCAACCTCATCACCACCACATCCCCAGACCTCAATCTCTTCAATCTCAAAGCGGTCCTGCCAGTCCTTGCCTTTCCGACACGGCAGCCCACTTGAATGGAATGTTCCGCCACCACCCGAGATGTGTGTGAAGATGCCAAACTCTAACGCGTCGTCGAGATGCAGAGACACGACGCCAGGTTTGAATGTCTCTTGCGAGTGCGAATGCGCCGATGACTGAAGTGGTATCTTTGTCCCGAATCCAAGACCAGGTGGATGTGTTGGAGATTTGTTGAAGTACACATAGTTGTCAGCGTATTGTGAAGGCGAAAAGACGTCATGTGTGGGCGATAGCTGGAAGAGTTTGGTGTTTGCGTCACCGAAGCACGCCTTGCCAGTATTTTTCCACTGCGACGGGACAAAGCCGCCATAGACGAGGGACTGGTTTGTGGCGGTCTCGGGAATGCTGCTTGGATAGCGCTTAGGTGGTAGGAGATTTTCAAGCGCACGCTCTCGTGTACTCGATGCTTTTGCTGGCAGGAGGCGGCCTTTTACGAGGAGTATGGTTGGGGCGCGCCAGTTGAAGACTTGCTTCTCGAATGAGCCCATGCTGAAGCCGTGTTGGTTACCTCTATATAAGGGCCGGAGACGCCGGAAGAGCTGGTTGCCATCGATAAAGAAGGAAAGCTGACTGAGTATAGTGAGATTAAGTATCTCGCCCGGATCTCGCAGGAGTGGCTCAGGCTCAGTGACGGGTTTCGGTGGCGGTATCACGGGCTTGGTCTCCGCCGTTGGAGTTGTAGACCCGCCTTTTCGCTTTGATAGGTCAAAGTCTTTCGCGAACAGGAAGTGCTCGAAAAGTGGGTGTAGTCCGTTGAAGAGATGCGGCATGCAAAGTGAGACAACTGTATTGAAGGTGTTGTACGTGACGCCAGGATGGTTCTCTACACCAAAGGACAACATTATGACATTTGCTGCTCGTCGTAGCTCCTCAACTCGGCCTTGCGACAGGTCGGGGGAGAGGCTAGAAATGCTCTGCTGTGGATCGATGGGCGCAATGAGTAGCAACAACTCCACAAGCTTGAGAAGGTTGTCGGTGGGTATTATCGAGTGATGTACATTCGACTGCTCGCCATGTTTAAAAACCTCTGTGGCATCCATGGATTCTAGGGCTGCGAGTACAAGCTCATCATCTTCCTGGTTGTCTCCCTCGTCACCATCGTCTGGCGCATCAACTGCGAAGCCGAGGCTACTGTTTGTCGCGGCTGCTTCTGTTTGCTTCTCATTTACGGTCCCTTTTTGTTTGTCTTCAATCTCTGGTCGTGCACCTTTGTCGTATATAGCCAGGCTCCGGTATAGCTCTCTCAACCACAGCTCTTTACTTCTCTTCTTCAGCACAACACCAAATCGCTCAGTCATGATCGTGACTACCTTCAGCATAGCCTCATACGTGAGGATAGCAGGAGCTTGACTCGGTAAGGGAAATGCCCCTAGATAACTGGCCATTTGAAAGACGACAGAGCCGACACCCAATGCATCGGGAAGTTCGAGAAAGCGACATAATGTTGCCTCGCTCCAGTACGTCACACCAGATTCGGTATCTGCGAGCGAACGGAAGACCGAATTGAAGCAGTATAGCTCGAGCGGAGAGAAACTCTTTTGCGCGAAGCGTTGTGCAAGCAGTGAGCTGATCTGTTCTGCCTAGTCTTAGTATGATAAGGAAGTGAACTGAGCTCAACGCAAGCGATGAGAAGGGGCACGAATTACCAGAAGTCAAGTGAGCATGCTCTGACGAAGACCCTTGACCCATGTCTGCGATGTTTGGCTCCAAGCTAGTTCGTGCCGAACGAAGAGCTGTCGCGTTGCGCCATGGTGTATCGTGGGGGAAGGTGCGTCATCGCGCTACCCCTAAAGCCGGATACCTCCGAACTTCACTCCCTACCGGCATCGTGCACCTAACATACACCATGCCATTTCATTTTCACTCGGCAACCAGTAGACTATTGCAAACATTAACATTGCTACCAAAACTGTTCTTCGCTGCACAATGCCTCGACACAATGCTGAAAATGGCATCGTGTCACGAGAAATCTACGAAAGAGCTTCTAAGAGCCAGTAACTGTAGCGATTCAAGCAAACGCCTCTTTCGATTTGTACACTATATCTGCACATCGTACGGTATATTCCGTGCGACTGCTGAATCACCCCTCGGGCCTACGTTCATATCATAACCCTCCCCACTAAATGAATGCTTAACCTCACTACGACTGCAAATTTGTTTAGTCAAACCTAACACTAAAGGTTTATCAACTCTCCACCAGCATGTTTTCTACATACAATTAGTTAGTCAGATATGCCACTGAACGCTCTACTAATAGAAGTTGATGATATCATCATTGAAATTCTGGGTGCTTCTAATGACTACAAAGCTCTGAGCTCCTTGTCATGTGTGTCAAAGTACTATAGAGGACTAGTGGAGCCTGTCTCATATCGAGACCTAAAGCTCCAAGCGGCTGAGGAAGTCCCGATAAAGCGTCTACTCCTGACCTTACTGAGCAAAACAGATTTAGCAAAGCACATTAAAAGCTGTAAGGCTGCGCAGCAGGCCTGTACGATGTATACTATTCTACATTGCATATTTAATGTTCATTGATCATTATAACCTTTTTGGGATGCTGGCGCAGTGGTGTGTAGACCTGCGTCTGATATTTTTCAGGTACCTCAGTTTCACCAAATACATTAGTACAAGATCGGACACTGATTACATAAGAGGCCCTCTTGTATAAATAAATAGCTCTCGCTACCCCCTGCGGGGTAGTGATTCGTCTATCTTACAATACACCTGCTACTTTACCTTCTCTAACACTATCAATCCTGAGTCTGACTCTATTTACCTGACAGCTCCTTTGTTTGGCAGCTTGCACTCGAAGAAGTCGAGCTTGTAGTGCAGCTGAAAGATATCATTCACGACGAATGGACTCTTGTGGAGATGTATGTGCAGACATTGAAGCTACTCAGACTTTTGGCAGACTCGTTGATGGAGGGTGGAATCGAGTTGAGTGTTGCGCGTATTCCGACCAAGTGGAAGAATAACGTCAAGCCTTTCATCAAAGCAGGCTGGAATGCACCTATGCCTCACGCTGGCAACTATGGTGATTCATGAAATGAGGATAATGATATATAAGGTGGTGTCATGCTGCCATTAGGGCGAGGAAAGGGCATGGGTAGCTACAGGTGTTCGGCAACATTTGACAAAAGTGAACTGGTAGCAATATATGCTATACGAAAATCGAACGATATACCAAATTTGTGCACCAATTGCCACCCGGGTGAGTAAGTTAGGCCCCAATGTAGTTCTTGGTAATGTTGGTATCCGTAGCGCTCTGAGCCTAGGTAAAGGTGAGTGCAAAGGTCACGTACCAAAGCGCGGGCAGCAAACAGCCGTTTGCACAAAGGCTCCTGTAGAATCCCTATTCTCACCTCTTTCCTTACTCTGTACCCCACTTCAAGTAAATACTTCGCATCATGGACAGCTCCCCGATCACACCGGATGGCCGAAGCAGCGTTCCGAGACCCAGAAACTAATGGAGTACATGACGGACATGGTCTGCTGTGATGCTATCCAGCTCATCAATCCAGACCTGCTTCTCGAATGCGACTTCAAATACCGCCTAGACGCAATCCACATCAACCGCGAACGGGTCCCGGCACGCGCGAATACGTTGACGATTTCCGCGAGAACCTCGCGACACTGAAGGAGAACTACAACAGACAAGGCCAGACCTTTGACGGAGAGAACATCACCATCTGCATCACAGTCTTCAACTTGGTCTACAGGTTGGAGTCTTTGAAGGAGCACGAGCAGGACATGAGGCCGAGGCTCGTTGAACGCCTTGAGAAGGTGCGAATGGCGCGCAAATAGGATCCAATCCATAAGACTGACCAAGGAAGAAGAGGAGCTCGCAAAGGCAACCAGACACAGGGACGCTCTTGCGGACCGAAGCAACAACGTGCGCGATGTCGAACGACAGGAACGACTTCTGCAAAAACAGCTCGGCAACATCAACGCACGCACAGACAAGCTGAAGACTAAGGCAGACGAAGAAGCAGAGCATGCTCGGGAACGCATGGAGGGTCCTTGACATGGAGGAGAATTTGCAAGAGGGCTTGGATCTCGGAAAGGCAAGGAAGCAGTATGGGAGGAAGGCGAAGAAGGACAATGGTGCTGGCGGATGCGAAGCTATGAATATCGACGGCTGAGCAAGAGGCCAGTTTGCAGCAAATGAATGCACCCTTATCTCTGCCTAGGTGAATGCTGCTAAGATTTTACAGTTATATCTGCACAAGCAGAACATACAGGGCACTTACACTGCATTATGGAGCCTTTTTGTTTACTACTTATGGTATTTCCCATCTTCCTGTCATTCGGTTTCGATCATTCTAGCACATTGTGCTCCAGCTTGTTCATGTCTGCGCCTCTTGTGTCATTCCGAAGAACTCAGAGTATGTGCTGTCAATATAAAGAGAGATACACTGATTTCGTCCCCTTTGACTACTGGTCTGGCTGGGTGCCGACCAGCAGGCGAGTGTTGCACCAACCACGAACGTTTAAAACACGGTCTCCAATACGAGCGCACCGGCGCATTTCCGAGAACGGAGCATGGTAAGTCGGAGTGGGGCAGAGCGGTAGATGTGCACCGCGATCACCGTTGGATTGATGTACATGCATTCTAACTGTGGTCAACACTAGCGCAACCGTGCTCCCGGATCCCATGGGTGCTATTTTCGCCTGTCGAGCATCGCAATGACCAACATAGCCACTATCGATTGCTCCCTTCGCTGACGTGAGATACGCCCTTTCGGAAAACGTCCCTTGAAACCCCTGGCCGAAATGCTCGCTAACGTTAGACATCACAGATATGCTTAGGCTTCACTCGGGGTACTGCTGTCATCGCAAGGTAATCTTATGTTTGCATTACCAAGGGCCAAACGCCCTTATCCCATGCTGTCACTTCCCAAGTGATATACCTGTTGCCTAACTCTATGCTATGCCCTTTTTGGGACTGTGATCCTCTCTATGGTAAACGGAAATGGTATCATAGACGGAGAAACAAGATGCTCGACGATACCGGCGCTGAGCGAACGAAATTCGTAAATCGTACATAATGTGCCTGCCTCTGTAGATGCGCTGGTCCAGCACTGCAGTTGCCAAATAGGAGGCTTGATGCAATGTACTATGGCGTGTCTCTACGTGGCGTGGGGTATCGCATCATCGGTCTCGAGATTCCATCGCTCGCGGGGCTTACATGAAGTTGGACCTCCGACGTCTTTGTGGTAGTCATATCGCCCTTCCTGGCATCATCCTGGCTGCCCTTTTTGCGAATCCCGTGGGATGATTTGCCGCTCTTCCCGCTCGATGAATCGCCGTCTTCCAGAATACGCTCCTGGCTCCCACGCATAGTATCGTTCAAAGTGGCCCCATGTTCCAGATCATCCCACTCCTTCAATTCGTAACTTCTGCCCCGGTCCTTCGCCAACTCCGGTGCTCCTTGTATTGTGTCTGCTCTTCGTTTTGATGAGGCGGAGTTGTTCTTCGACGGGGTTCCGGTGGACTTGTGGGAGGTTTTGCTGCGGGAGAAAGTCTCAGAAAGATTGAAAGGTATTTTCGATAGCAATGGCCGAAGTACTGGCGCCGATGCACATATCTGGCGGACATGTCAATTTCACTCCTCAAGTTCGAGAACAGGTGTCTTACCACTCCAAGATCAATCTCAACGGCTGCAGCAATCCACAACGGGTACGAGTACCAGGTTTGATCCCACTCATTGAACAAGCTCCGATAGATGTACCAGGTTCGAACAATACCAGCAATGGTGACGATGATACCCAGGCCGAATAGAAATCCTACGGCGAGACGCTGCTGACGAGGCATGCGCAACTGTGTGAAGTCAGATGTGGTCACATTGCTAGCATGACTATGTACTTACGCCCATGACCAACGGCATAGGAGTGATGGTTGTGATGAAGTCAGCCACACAACTTATGATGCCACATATGAGAGTAGCAACACCTTCGTCCAAGCAGTACGCTCCAGGGACGCCACCAGGTATCCAATACGCCCTTACGGGGACGCACAGAAAGATTGCAATGAACGGGTATGAAATGAAGATTCCGAGGGTGTAGGCGACATTTGCATGTATGAGCCACCTGAACCATGTTTTGCCTGTGTCTGTGACTAGTCGATAGTAGAAGCAGTGTAACGACAGCCTTGTGAAAGTTGCTGCGCATGTGAAGACGATCTTGGCAATCATGGCGATTTTGGAGGCCGGCTCGATTATGTTGAAAGGTATGTCGTAAACATGTCTATCCTGTGGGTGCACGATTAATTATCGCCTTCTAAAAAGTTCCACAGATCGAGTCCCTACCCAGCCATATTTCTGATTTGCAAGAAGGACGACAGCCGTCAAACCAAGTGTGAAGATCTATTGCACGTTAATTTGAGACTTTTACAGTTCAATGGTTATTATTACCAGGGCCAAGATAATGAAGACATCATCGAGTCCAAACCACCTCTTGATGAACACGCGCGTATATAGTCGGAGTGCGACGGTTATGATCGTAACTGCAGCTAATGTATAGTTGACAATGGCCAAAGCAGGGCCTCTAGTTTTGGGATTCTCGTAATTCGGTGTCGGCCATGACAGTAGGACATCAACTGGGGGCAACCGCATGGTGGAATGCCGTCTGCCTGAAGGGGAAGAAGAGACATGTAAACATGCAGGCCTGGAGAAGAGGAGAACCACAAGTGCGGTAGATCAACGGCACGAAGTCATGTAACCACAAGGAAATAACAAGACCCCGGCCGCCCTGGGATATGCAGGGATAGCAGATGCGGCTTGACCGGCGCCGAACCACGAGGTGTACCAGAATATCAATGTCAAATCAAATGCTTTGCTTCGCTAGTCCTGCCTTCATTATTGGTAGAAAGTCACGGCACATCACGACGGGCATCACCGTGCACGCAAACTGGCCGCGTCCTCGAAAGATGCCGACGACTAAGGCAACGGGCCCGAGGTGGATGGTCTGTTTCTCACCCCAATAGAGTTTTGGTTGGCGTCACGAAACTGGCGTGGCATGGGTGGCGGGAGCTGTAGTACGACCCTCGTCCCGAGCACGCCGGAGGACCACAGTGATGTCGTTATTCGTGGCGCATCAGTAATGGGAGCCATTGGACTGGAAAGTTATCCGTAACGCGAGCGCATATGCCGTGCTCTTAATGGTGGATTCTGTTACAATCGCGATTGATCACCCCCAGGACTTCAATGTTTACCCAGGTACACCATGCCCGGAGACACAATTTTTGTCGACCATCTCCACCTGCTTCGATATTGACTGTTTGTCCCGGTTCGTTCGGAAGGGAGTTCCTTGCAACGGATGCTAGCTAACAGGAAACCGGTGCTTATGCCCGAGTCGTGTAGAGATTCGACCGCTCAACAGGTGATAATGAAGCTGCTAGACACTTGCCTTGCGCCGTCTGCAATAATCCACTGATGGTTCCTGACATGTGTGCCCTATGATGAGCTGGCGTATGTAGTGCAACCCTGAGATTATCGTCCTTGCGGTAAGGTGCAGGAGTGTTGGAAGGGGTGTTCGGTCGAGATCGGCAGTGCCCCACGGTGATTCGCGATCCAAGCCGAACACTTGCCCTCTTTTGGCTATCCACATGGTCATCTTCTTTCGGCACAGTTTCTTCCCACGACGTTTTGAACTCTGTACAATGGATGCGGAGAATTGACTGGTGGTTGCAAGACCTCTTCACCGCGGCTGCCGACTCCCGGCTATACTAATCGTTTGACCCCTCAAACGCTCTGTCAAATAGGTTTGGCAGTCATCAGGCCAAGCCAGCAGAAAGCATATCACTACCTTCCAAGACTCGTCGGCTCCTCGGATCTCGACATAGAATTTGAACACATCCTTTCGGCCATACAGTAGATGTCTCATTCCATACCTTCGTGGTGTGCCTTGCGTGTAGTGTCTAGGTACTATGTACCAGAAGACGTGTCAATGGCCAGTCTCGATTTAGGTGATGTGAAGATATTTGTGCAATGGCTCCTTAGTCTGCTTTCACAAAGTCGTGAGGGAGTTTGTGATCTCTTACGGGTTGTGCAACCACACAATGCATGTGGCTGCCACGTTGCGCTGCCAGGGGCTCAGGGCATAAGGGTCAACCTGCGAGACGTTCTCGGCAGTGGCTACGAACACCCCAGCTGAACCGGACGTCTGGTACAGCGAAATGAGCGTTGAATTGGTATCGCCGGCCTACCTCTGATTCTTCGGCAACAAAAGCAATCCTGCCCCGACTACTTGGTGACTGGTCGGCACAAGGATCGGCTCTCATACTTGACGCAAAGGGCTGAACATGCTTCCAGTCCTAGGTAGCATAGTCCACAATGCATACCTAGGTGTCTTGCGTACATCACTTCAGCACTCCTATGACGAGTAGTATGATGAAGCCTCCAACCAGTTCTTGGAGTAGATTTTAGCAGCTATGATCGTGAACCAAAAACTCAGGACCCGCGCAAGTGCATTGCGGTAGCTCCAAAAACATGGGCTGTCTTGTTGACATGAATCGTGGTAAGTCGACGGACCGCTACTTAACACAAAACACTTGGACACCTGTCTCCACACGGTCCGAATATTGACGGGTCTTTGGCAAGGAGAAGATCTGCATTTTCCCTTCGAGCGACTCTCTGAGCACCTCTGCGGCACGGAACGTCGTAACCACCTCTTCTCAATTAAAACACATGCCTGTGCTATGCATATGCAACATTTGCCGGAAATTCAAAGCATGTCGGTTCATGTAGCCGTCCGAGTGAACTGAGAGGCTCAAAGATGGTGATAAGCTCCCAATTAGAACTGGCCATTGCTTAGCGTTCGCTTGGATCAGCCCGGCAGGAAGGATCGTTCCAGGGGCATGGCCGTAGGGTAGATGGACCTGGGACACACTTGCTCTTAAACGCAACGGTGATACACCAGCCAACAACAACATATTCCACATTTGTATCGATATATCTTTGCCGCTCAGGCGCAGCTGGAACAACAGAACCACAATTTAGAGCCTTGTTTGCAACCTTCGCAAGGCGGAGGCGCCGACTGAGGCGCCGACGTGTTGCATCAAGCGCTCACCCCACGGAACTCAAACACCACCAACATGGATCTCGCGGAGATGCATCGACAACGTACTTGACATTACAAATTTTTGAGATGTTGCGCATCGCACTGATCACGAGGCTTGGAACTCTTCAACTATCCAGCTGACTGTCGGCTTCGTAAAATCGCCCGGAGTGTGGAGAGCCTCGTGCCTCTCATCCTCCGGTGTCTTGACCGCCAACAGTAGGCGCTCCTCGTCTTTATACACCACCAACATGCCACGGCGTCGCCTTGGGCGGTCCTTTGATCCAATTGCTCATATCGAAAGACCTGTTAGGCGCTTTTTCCGTGCCGCTGAGGCACCACTTCCAGTAAGTATGCGGCACGGCGTCAGGCTGCCTCGCAAGGCGACCAGACCAGGGCAGTGCAGCGTCTGCGGCACTTCTGTAGAGCTGCACAACACTGCGCTGCGCGAGGCACAGGCGGGCAGGACAGAAAGCGAAAGCAAGGCGCAGCTTTCAGAAGGATGAGGATATCTATCGTGATGATGGCCGTTTTCTTTTCTCTCTCTGGAGTTACACGAAGTACCTTCTACCATACTATACTGCGACCCCAATCCCAGTAGCATCATATATCCAAGCACGCATATACAATGGCTCCTCTCAACACCCTCACGCACCATAGTGTCAACACAATCCTCATATCCCTTCACAAACGCGACGCGGACTGCACATACTACGACGCATCATGTAGTTATCACCGCCTCGCCATCCTCATCATCATCATCGCCATCGGCATCATCGCTAGCGCAATACTCTCACTCCTATACGTCCGCTCGCGCAGAAGCAAAGCTGCAAAGATGCGCGCGAGCATGCAACAACGCCCCAAAGCCAACGCGCCTTGGGAAAACTACAGTGCGCCAGCGGCGTACACCTCGCCCACGACGGATTCTGCACCCCCACCGTACGAGCCGCGGAGACCCGAGAGAGCGGCAAGGGCGGCGGCAGAGTGGAGATGAGTGAAACGCCGTGTTGGATGGACCGCATATTATGGTTGATCCTGAGGAAAGAGAAACACGTTTCAGTTGGCGTTGCGCACGATCCAGTGCCTGTGCGCTTTTCTTGATGATAGAGTTACGTGGGCTAGCTGCACCAGTGCCTGAGAAGAGGCTTCAGAGTATTCGCCTTGATTTGTTTTTGCGGCCGGCATCGGTGCAGCTCGGAAGAAGTTCATTGACGAAGTTGGAGCCGCGGAGATGAGGGGAAGGAAGATGAACGAAGAGCCTGCATACGCGAAGACTATGCGAGGCAAGCGACAATTAGAAGAACGTTGCGGGATAGTACAACGAAGTAGCCAAGTACCAAGAATGAATGAATCTCTCATACACACATCCGCGGTACCTCCAAGCAGCTCAAACACATATGGTACCCTCAAATCTACTTAACATATCGACAGAAGAGAAGTACAACAAAAGAAAGAATAAGGTAATATGACACCAACAACTCCGCTTCGCTATGTGAACTGTCATTCTCCCTCTTTCTCTTGTTAAGTGCCTTGCAGCCCCAAGCCCACACCATCAACACTACCTTCATCTCTACTCCTATCTCTTCCTCCTCTTCCCATCTCACGAATCCGTCTTCCTTCCATGAGGCCCCTCAATCCTCGTTTTTGCAATCCTACGACGGCGCTCATTTCGCCGCTCCAAACCTCTCGGTCGGAAATTCCACTACCATCACCATAGCCACTGTCGGAAGCGGAAGCAGATGTCGTTTCTGATACCGCCGAGCTCACTTCATCGTCTTGAACGCGATCGACGTCGGTATTGAGCCTCAGTGAGCGAAGCCCAGCATCAAGACTGCGCTCCAGATCGCCTCCAGAGCTTCTGTTACCACCAGCGGAGCTGGATGATGGTTCGTGGAGACCATTTGAAGTACCGTTTGGTGCGGACATACCGTTGACGCCAAGGAAAGCGATGCCTGAGCCACCACCGGCTGCCATGGCTGCGGCATTGAAGATGGCAGCGGTGTTCCTGTTATCTAATAGAACGTGGAGTCGCTCAATGATGGCTTCGAGAAGGCCATCGATATGATAAGGTCGTGCGAGTTGCAGCAAGGAGCAGAGTATTTGAGGCGTGCAGAGCTGCGAGTGTTGTGATGGTAGAGCTGATGTATAAAGAAAGTGGATTAGGGCTTGGAGTGTAAGATGAGTATGTGGCAAATACAGTGTTCGTGGTCGTTGGGAAGGAGGTTGTGACGAAGGGTCTGGTGGACTCAACGACGAGAACGACGTCGAAGATACAGCCGTTGCTTCAGATGGTGTAATGGTATTTGCGGTGAGCGTTGTAGCGGCTGAATAATTCGTCCTTATCGATGGTGTGATGGTTATGCTCGAGTTTCGCGAGGGATGCATCTGTGCTGTGGGGCGTAGTGTCGCTGCATCTGCGCTCTCCTTTTCTTCACTGCGAGTGCTCTCACGAAGAAGTTGATTGAAGTATGGACCCCAACGACGCGCGATGATATGTGAGTTGACGGGTATGCGCTCGCCATGTATGGCAAGGAAGTCCATGTCGGCAAACTCTCGCATGCCCAAAGCCATCTGACCAAGCTCGGTCGCTACAGGTGACAATGTCCGCCCGCCTGCTAACAGATCCAAGCGATCATGTTGTGGTGGAGAACTGACGGACCGAAAAGCCGAGTTGGGAGTCACCTTTCGGGGATTGTCGTAGAGCCCAAAGGCTTCTAGTTCGACCACGCACATGTTCGAAAAGTTAATTCGACGGTGGTTATAATCTTCCACAAGACTTCGCTTGCGATTACCGAGGATGACAAAGCTGTTGCGGCGATTCCATAAGACTCCTCGATTCCAGCTTCCCTGACTGAAGATATTGCCACCAGCTTCTATCCGGCCCCAACTTAGTGTCCTCAAGTCCAGAGCCCATAGCGCATACTCTTGTTTCGAAGATGTCAAGAACGTACCACTGACAACGAAGTGGTTGTTTATGACGCCTCCGTTTGGAAATCGTAGACCGGGTGGTGAAAAGTTGCCTTGCATAGGCTTCTCGGACAATGTGCCATCGGGGTGCCGTACTTGTAGTTCGAGCTTGACGTCCAAAAAATTATAGTTCGAGTAAATGAGCATCGATGACTGTCCGTTGGCTCTTGAGCTGTTGCCATCAGGCGTCCGGGGTTCATTGCTCTGCCTTGATCCGGCACCTATATCGTTCGGATTTATGCTGGTAAGAGGAGCGACGACACTCCTGTAGGCTCCACAGCTCCTACCTAGTGTACTTGTCTCCGTCCACTTCAGACTTCGGAGGTTGAAAACGCTGACCTGTTCAATGTAATGATTCGCGCTATCCTGGCCACCAACAACTACCATCTCTGCGCCACCATCGCCTTCCAGCTGTACTCCTAATGAGCCTTGATTTGGATTACCAGAGCTTGGGTTGTGCCGAATAGCGGTAATAGCAGCGCTCGTAGAACTGAAAACTGCAGAGGACGGCAGAATGGTTGCGCAATGAGCATAACGACCTTGAGGAGCCTCGTCTGAGGCTACGTGCATCCATGTCCGAGTGGGAGCGTCAAAGATGTGTATGTCTGACATGACCACCACTTCAGGTTGCGCGTCTGCTGGGGTTCCCTGCAGCACAGCTGTTGCCTGGTTCGATTGTGGACTCGCAGGAGACATGCCTCCATAACAGACCAGCTTCGTATCTCCAAGCGGACACACACTATGAAAATAACGCGCACTCGGTATATCTCCTTTAGCATCGACCTTTGTCCAATGTCGATTTACTAGGTCCAGCTCATACAGGTCAGAGGTGAGTTGCGGCCTCGTCCGCGAAAGTCTCCTCCCGCCGAAAACATACAGCTTATCGCCCAAAATAGTGGTGGTTGCGCCAACAAGAGGATGAGGTTCGCGTCCTGTGGTCCGATGGACATTGCATACCAATCCCGAAAGACCGGCGGTCGAAGAAGTCGGAGTGCCCAAACCTGCTATCGCCGGCGACGATGAGTTGCCTGCTCCAAGTGTCCGCGTGGAGGAAGGGTGAGGTCTGTCGTCTTGGCCATCTTGTGGGTGCAAACTGGTTTGACTACCATTTACACTTGAGTTATATCCTCCAGCGTAGAGCTGCGATGCGGATGGTGCAGAAGTCTGCGAATCAAGGGTATTACTACGGCTCGTACTTGACGCGGCCATGCTCGCCGAGCCCCTGGAGCTTTCCGCTGGCACAGAAATGCTCTGGCCCTCCGAGCTACTACTGAAAGAGAGATCGATTGGCGACGTTGAAAAACGTTGGATAGGTAAGGCCCAATCAGGTATCAAAATCTCCACATGCCGGGACCTAACGCTTGAGGAGTCGCCGATTGACTTTGGGCTTGGCAGTGGAAAACTAGAAAGACTGGGACGATTGCTCGAAACAAATGTCGATGTCCTCGAAGAACTGAAGCCAATCGACGTACAAGGGCTTCCTGGTGCTACACCTGGCTCATAAGATGGAATGACAATAGGAATGTGCTTCGCTCTCGGTGGACGGGCCGGACCAGTGCTCGAACAGGAATAGCGAAGAGATTCGCTAGGGCTGGAAGTCGTAGGCGATCCAAGTTGGTCGCGGGCCAGAGGTTCCGGTGATTCGATTGATGTTCTCTTCCTGCTCGTGAATAAGACGCGTTTCAACTTGAACGCTTTTGGACGCCTGGGACTGTCGTGTAAAGGTGTAGTACTAGCGCTCCACGCAGGATAAGATAGACCTATCGGAAGTGACATTGTCAGCGCCTTCTACGGACCAATCGAGCGTAAACGCGGAAAAAGAAATACGAAAATGCAAAAGGACACTGAAAGGGCACAGTCCCTGAGTTTTCAACGGCTGTAGACCAGGGCAGCTGTGAGAAAGTCCTATTGCAGGCTCTTGCTGCAAGGTTTCGGCCACGAACCAAGCGATATGCGTCAGGTGGAAAAGCCATGTTCACAGCTCGGCTGCTGTGCTACCGTATGTGATGTTGTACGAGGACGGGCTTGCAGCAGCGAAGTAGGACAAGAGATGTATCAAAGCAGGCAATTTTTTCTGACGAACACGCAAATTGGTTCGCGGATCCTCGCGCCGATGGTATACACTGCGGCAACGTCTATACTATTGGCGGAGAGGGTGGTGGGACGGGTGACGAAAGGACAGGGAGATGATATTGAGGGGTCTTTGTAAGAAAATCACGAGCCTTACTTTGGAAGGGCTGCAGGCGCTCCGCACCAGCGAGCGGGGAAGCAGCGACCGGCTGTACGGTAGGAGGCGTTAGAGAAGGAAAGAGCAGTGCTCAACGGCGTTTGGTCTCGCGGCGTGCAGACAGAAAGCGAGGTATGAGGTGGGTGCAGAGGCTCTGGTCCAGTCCGAAAGGGGCTAGGGGGCTGGGCGCGATGCAAGGGGCTGCCGACGGACGGGGATAGCCTGGGAGGGTCGACAGCAAGACGTCTTTGGTCGAAGGCCGTTGAGATGAGAGTCGCAGTAGGGTCCGGCGCTATGGCAGTGACAGGAATAGCAAGGGAGGCAGGCTGACAATGCGTAGAGGCTGCCCACGAGGCGGAACGGAGCGCACGGATTGTCAGCTCCGAAAGGCACACGCTTTGTGACTCGCCCTTTTCGTCTTTCGTCACTTCAGCCTCCTGTTGGGAAAGCCAAGCATCGACGCGAACAACGAAATGGAATCCGTCAGAGATATGACGTGCAGATTTTCGGACTCGAAGAGAGGTCGCACAACCTTGGACGGGTGTGTGCTGCTCCTCTTTAACGCCCGTCTTGGGACAACGTCCGCGCACGGTCCGGGCTAATTGCAGTCGCGCAACTGGCGAATAAGATTGGAGATGCGGTTCCATGAGCTGTGAAGCCTCACGAATCGACAACAGCCTATTCCCGAAGTTGGTATCCATTTCAGCTGGTCTGGCATCTATGACAAATATATGGGTGGCCGGCGTGGTTCTTCCAGGGTTGTTGCGGCTTCGACCTGCAAGGCGTCTTCGATGTGCTATAGGCATCCTAGATATAGTCGCGACTTGGGCCCAATAATAATTTGCTTAACATGTTCCACGCAGATCGTCGAGATTGCTCAAAATCAAACATCACAGCAATAGACATCAGTGATGGTCGTCATTTTTGCATTATTACTAGGACGTTTCAGACCCAGCATGGGGATATCGAGCATCTAGCAAGATGGACCTCGAAGCATTCCTCTTCCTTCCAGAAGCACGAACACCTACATCAGCGAGCCATCCCTCCAGTTGCGTCACCTCATATTTCCAGTATGATACCGTCATGTCCAACCAGTACCTATCACGGTACCGTATCCAACCTTCAACTTCACCCCCGGGGGTATTATGCGATTAAACGTTGGCGCTGGTCTTCTCCTTGGGAAGAGGAGTGAACCTCAGGTAGGGCTTAACGATGCGGAAGTCTGGGAACAGAGTCTTCGCCTCGTCGTTCTTGACCGAGGGGTGGACAATGACGTCGTCACCGGGAACCCAGTTGATTGGGGTGGTGATGCGGTGCTTGTCGCCAGTCTGCAGAGAGTCGAGCACGCGGAGAACTTCGGCGGTGTTGCGGCCGGTCGAGGCGGGATAGGACAGGATCAAGCGAATCGTCTTCTTGGGGTCGATGATGAAGACGGAACGGATGGTAAAAGCAATGCCCTTGGAATCGACATTGGTGGCATCCTGGTGGTCAATCCTGGGTGCTGGGTCAGACTTGTCTCGGACAGACGCGCAGTGTCGCAACTCACATGTCGTACGCCAACGCAACCTTCCTCTCCTTGTCTCCGATGATGGGGAATTTCAGGCTGCTACCCGAGATCTCATCGATGTCCTTGATCCAGCCGCCATGGCTCTCTACCGTGTTGGCAGAGAGGCCGATGAGCTTTGCGCCGCGCTTGGTGAACTCGGGCTCGAGCTTCGCAAAAGCACCGAGCTCAGTGGTGCAGACAGGGGTGTAATCCTCAGGATGCGAGAAGAGAACAACCCATTTGTCGCCAATGAACTCGTGGAAGTCGATTGGGCCCTGGGTGGTCTCGGCCTTGAAGTTGGGAGCCGTGCTTCCAAGACGGAGAGGTTCGGAGCGGTCAGACATGTTTCTGCGACCCGGGTCAGCTCCATACAAACAGCGCAAACATGAGGGGTAGCGGGGTAGCAGCACACAGCTCCATACCTTGCTGATATGTGACTTCGACTGCTAATGTGCTTTAGGAGATGATTCTCAATTACCTTGCTGGAGATGTTCAAGTTCTTGTAGCTTTGAAAAGGCTTGAGGAGGGGCAAGAGGGGTAGATTGGCGCCGCAGTCCTTTTGTATCGTCAACCACAACAATCTCAACGACTGTTCTAGCTAGCGCATATTGCGCAATTCTCACGTGTTGTCCACCAAACATTTTCTGCCATGATTCCTCCCACGTCAACCTCACCACGACCAATCCCGCCCCCGCTTTCTTTGGCGGTATCGGAGTGCCAATGCTTGCGCCCCGTGCCGAGCAGATCGCACTTGGAAATCAAGAAGAACTGAGCACTGCCGCCTTTGACACGATCTATCCATATGTTGGCGTCATCAGGGGCGTAGCAGTACAATCTATGTCTACTGCTCGAGAATTAAGATCAACCGTGAGAAATACGATGCTCGTTTCATAGTCATCTCAGCAGAAGATACAGGCATTGCCTATTCTAAAATACACGGTGCAAATCCTTCACGCCATATCTGGCCATGCTGGCGCAATTGCTATACGGCGCAGAGCACACACAGTATATTACGTAGCGAAGCATGTTGTCCCTTCACGCACACACAGTGACGAATGTGTGAATACTTCTTATCATATGGCCATCTGGAGGGAACCAGACAAAAGCCTGGCATTGGCATATGGCAGATTTGGGCTACAAATACGATGAAGGATCCTGATTATTAACCGTCGTCGACAATTTGCTCTACGTTGGGGCCCGAGTGGAAAGGTACGTTCGGCCCATCGCGACTTCCACGACAGACCGATCGCACCTTTCCCAAAGCGTCTGCCCGACGCCTCGAGCTTCTTGCTCACCATCCAAACGTAGCGCTGTCACCAACACCAGAGCTTAACATCAGCTTATAGGTACGCATACGCCTTAAGCAACATTTTGACAAGTTCTAAATGGAGATGTGCACCACGCGACCAAAAAAGCAATCGCACACCTTTTCAGGTTGTTTGAAGGGCAAGCTGCGATCACAATCCCTGCCTATGTGTGCCAGACTGTAACACTCATGCTTTCAGTTGAAGCCTCAATTTCACGGCAAGTCCTCAGTATGTTCGCCGTTGGCGACTTGGGCGTGCGAAGAGTGTGGTCATCACGGCATTACTGGTCTCTCACATGACGACACCGCTAAACACAAACCGACGCTGTTCCGTGGGTTAATGACAGGGACGATCTCATTGTGCAGCAGCCAAGATTTTGACCAAGCTTCCCAGGCAGCACACCGTACGTCTAGTCCTGGCGATCACAAGCAGGATACACTCTTGTCATCAAGTCTGTCGGGGGAGCTCTGTGCATCTCCGTATTCCGAGAGATTTTCTATCCTCAACAGGGGTATCTATATCAATACTCACCCCCAATGCGCTTTGCATACACTTACGCCTCGTGACGCCCTGTTTGCGAACCGTCCAACCAACAACTCAGCTTCAGTATGTCCTCTAGGTCGGTAGCCTTCCTGTCGCAGCGCATATGCATCTAAAGATATTCCCTATTCCCGACCACTCCCACAACGTTCAACCAGCCCACCGGGATCCTACCGTTCCAAGCTTTCTGTCCGATTGGGCAGCTCAACTAAAACAGCGTGTCTGTGGGTCGTACCCGCACCTCCCAACTGCGAGGCCTGGATCCTTGATATCGTCACTTGACCCGATATTTCTCTTTCTTCTCTCTTTTTCAGTTAAACGTTGCCAACCTCTCTGGGACGTCTCGAGCAGTTGGCTTCGAGAGAGAGGTAGGCAATCATGGCGACAAATCCCGAAATCGATCTCCCGCACCTATCAGAACTGGGTTCGAGCGACCAGGATAGCCCGGGAATAAGGACGCATCCGAGCGACCAGGCCAGCCGGAGAGGAACTGATCACCCCGCTTCCGACGATACTGAGAAAGAAAGGCAGCGAGAAAGAGCAGAACGGGTCAGATTCGACGGTAACACGCGACGAGCATGGGGACATTGTATGGCATTACTTGACGTTCGAAACTGATCTCCCCCACCCAACGAGTATACACCCGACGCTAGCCGATCAGAGTCCACCACCAGAACCACCGAATCTTGTGAAGTATGCGGATCCGTTTCAGTGGTCGGGGAAGAGGAAGGACTTGACGATATGGGTAGCCTGTGTTATTACGGCACTTACCGCGTTTTCGGCAGGATCATACAGTCCCGGTGTTGCACAGATGACTGCAGAATGGGGTGTTAGCAGTGTTGCAGCACTTGTGGGCATCACAACCTTCACAACTGGCTTCGCGGTAGCTCCCATGGTCCTCGCTCCCTTCTCAGAGATCAACGGCCGGCGACCCGTTTTTATCGCTTCTGGGATTCTGTTCGTCATATGCCAGCTATGCAGTGGCCTCACACAGTCCTACGCCGGCATGCTTGTCGTTCGCTTCTTCGTTGGTATAGGTGGCTCAACCTTCTCCACTATGGTGGGCGGCGTCGTGGCCGACATCTACCAAGCTGAAGACCGCAACACGCCCATGGCCCTCTTCTCTGGCGGCGCACTCTTCGGTACAGGCTTCGGGCCCTTGGTCTCCGGCTTCGTCGCGCAAAACGCTTCGTGGCGTTGGATCTTCTACATGCAAGCTATTGCAGACGCGGTCCTCGTCGCCCTCATCATCATCATCTTCAAAGAAACGCGCGGCTCGGTACTGCTCTCGCGAAAAGCCAAAACCCTGAACAAATACTACGAAGCGCGCGAAGAAGCAGGATATTATGGCTTCAACATGTCCGTCGAAAAACATACCGTTTCGCAACGCATACGCTGGAAAGTCAAAGCGGACGAGGAACGCGCCTCGCTCATGCAAATGATCAGTCTCTCCCTCTACCGCCCCTTCTACCTGCTTTTTACCGAACCTGTTGTATTCTGGTTCTCGATGTGGGTGTCATTCTCCTGGGCCGTGCTATACTTGACCCTCGCCGCCATTCCACTTGTCTTCCAAACCAACCACGGCTTCAGCCTACAACAAGCCAACGCAGTCTTCGCCTCCATGTGCACCGCCTCCATCCTCGCAACCATCCTATCCATCTACCAGGAAAAAATCGCGCGCAAGTACGGCAAACTCGCCAACTCGCCGGAGGGCCGATTGTACTTTGCCTGCGTGGAGAGCGCGTGCATGCCCATCGGCCTGTTCATGTTCGGCTGGTCGAGTTTCAGCAACGTACATTGGATCGTCCCCACGATCGCCATCGGCATCGCGACAATCGGCATTTTCGCAATCTATTTGTCTACTTTCAATTACCTGGCGGACACGTATCATCGGTACGCGAGCTCGGCACTCGCGGCGCAGAGTTTCTGTCGGAATATGCTGGGTGAGTTTGCAAAACCCTTTCATAGATCTTAGCATCTGCGGCTGCTGACGAGTAATCTAGGGGGCGTGTTCCCGCTCATCACGCAGCAAATGTATACGCGCCTTGGCTACGGGCCCGCGAGTAGTTTGCTGGGTGGTATTGGCACGCTGTTGACGATTGTGCCGTGGATCCTGGTGTTTTACGGGCCGAAGATTCGGGCGCGGAGTAAGTTCGCGAGCGAGATTATGAAGACACAGTAGGAGACGTTGTTCATCGATACTGGTATCAATTATTTCCTGATTTAGATAATTCTCAAAAGAAGTTACAGGGAGTGGAAAGTAGACGGAGACAAAGCTGGGAAATAGTAGAAACGCAGGAAATGGGAGACGTGGAAGATACCCCAGTGCTATGATTTTACGATGAGATGGCAAGTCTCAAAACATATTTCAAGGCATATTTATCGTCTGTAAAAAAAATAAAACCTCACTGAACATGAAAGACCACGACTCCATGGCGTAAAGACGTGAAGGATACATTTCGAGATTCATACACGACACACCACGACGCATGCTATGAAAACAAACCAGCTCAAGTTTGGAGTACTTCTATACACCATAAATCCCACAACGCCATCCCATGCAAAACTCCATGCTACCAAACCAGATCGCACACCCTAAACAGCTTACACATCAAGATCTGTCTTCGCCAACCTCTTCCACCCCCACATCAACAAGTTCCACAACGACATTGACAACCCCATCAGCCCAGACCTCCCGACTTCTCCGCGCCAGTAAGTCAGCCCACTGCTCTGCATCCGCGATGTATTCCCAGCCAGTCGGGCCAACAGTCTTGATGACATGTCGTGGGAGGAGCGCGGCCTCGTGAGTGGGCTCCTTTGCAAGCGGGTCGGTGTCGTCGCCCTGCATTGCATTCGCAGCTGCGGCGAGCTCTTGCAAGTTGTCAGTGAGTGTGTCTGTCTTGGCTGTGGAGCTGCCTTGCCGCATGGCGAGACGTGCTCGGATGGCAGGGTAGCTGGTCTTGGCTTTGGTGAGCAGCTTGGTGACTTGGCTAGCGAAATCTTGCCATGGGTAGGTGGTAAGCTGGGGGATGTGGGTTGATGAGAGGCGTGTCTGGTCGAGCTTCACGCTAGGCTTGAGTTCATCGCCAGACGGCAAATGGGGCGCAAAGACGAGGAATATGTTGATGTTGCTAAGGCTCGGTCTTGTTGCGTTGTCGGTTGGAAGCTGTGTTTGAGTTAGCATGTTCCCCTATATTGCTGTACTGCAGATGGATGCAAGGTAAAGACGGTACTTACTCGCAAGCCACTCGAATGGTGAGAGTCGTCTTCCACGCTTAGACTAAGAGCATCCATGGGGGTGGTAGATGTTAGCCTTGCTGTGATGGGCGTAGGCACTGACGGCGATACCGGCTGCGAGATTTCAGACCGTTGGCGAAGGTTGGTATCAGAAGCTGACAGCAACTGTGCATGTTCATTTCGATCTGACGGACTCTGAACCACCTGCTGAGCAACAGCTTCCACGCTGCCGTCCTTATCCTTCTTCTTGGCACCTCCCTTTCTCGTCTCAATGGCGTACATGCGCTGGCGCTCGTTTGTGACCATGCGTCTCATGAGCGGCGTAACGAGACTGATGATCTTATTGCCATCTCTCGGCCAGGTCAATCTCTCTTCGTGGCCTGGAGCGTTGTGTTCACCGAGCGCACGAGCAGCTTCGATCGCATCCATCTCTCCTGGCTTCTCGACATTCTCGCCGAAGAACTGCTCACCAGCGCCATCGCTCAGGAAGTCCCGCACACAGTTGAATAGACGCAACTTGACCATGTCAGTGTCTCCCTTGCCACGGTTTCCAACACAGTTTTGCCTTTCCGGGTATGTTGTATCGAGCATGTACGTCTTGGCCTGAGCTTGGAGTTGTAGGAAGTTCTCGGGCGTGAGCTGTAGAGACATGAAGAGCTTCGACATGGGCGGTCTGGTGTATTTGCGAGTCGCTGTCTTGTCTGAGGTGCGGCGGAAGAGGGCTGCGGCGGAGTGGACACCTGTTGAGCGAGCTTCATTTAGCAGGGACTCACCAGACAGCGGCACACTGTTACTCTTCGAACTGGCGCGGGACCCCTGTTCGGTAGCCTGTAACTGAGGATCTGTAGGCACGTCTACTCGTCGACGCTTTGTAGTGCCAGCAGGTTCCGTTTGTGAAGTCTCGGCAGCAGCGCTGGCATGAGAGTCTAAGTTTCTCTTCCTCTTGCCCTCTTCCTGCGCCGCTCTGGTCGCCGCGCCTGCATCCTGAGCGTCCATAGCTTGAGCAGCCTGTCCTGCAGCCGTGGTAGCTGCTTTCAGCAAATCGGCAAGATTATGGTTCTCCTCAGATGTATTCACCGGTGTGTCCGCTGAGGTTTGACGAACGGGGCGTTCGTAGTACGAAGCTGAGGTATGTTCATGTGGCGAGGCGACATCGGAGACGGAGGGATCATATTCATCATCCTCAGGAACGAAGTGGGACGGCGTCGCGTTTGTACTGCTCGGAGTGGTGACGAGTCGGCCGGAGCGGATCTGAAAGTAGGGTGCGTTTGCCGCCATGTTTGTTCGTATGCCACCAGATTAGATCCGGGTAATCAAACAACGCCAGAGGTACTGGGTATTGAGCTGTCAAGACACAAGTGTAAGTAGCTGATTGGGATCAAGATCAGGTAGCGAGCATGACAATGGATTGAAAGACTCGATGTAGAGAGAAAGACGCAGGGTAGCATCGAATCGCTTTTGTATTTAGGCGTCCACCAAGTTTGGTTTGATCTCGAGACGGACACATTGTTTGGCTTGACGAGGAAATCGAGGCATTGTTTGGGCGTAGCGACAAGGGAGAGCACAGTTTGGTCGGATCAGAGCAGATTAAAAACATGATTTGGTTTGATCGCAGCGAGAAGTAGTAAAAATCGACATTTGCGCACCTGTTGGTGCTGGTGTTTGCCATCGCATGTTTTGCCATGTAGAGTGACAAGCGAAGAGACAGCAGCCGACCAGCAGGCTGGGTTCTAACGTGACGCGAATGGTTTGTGTTGTTTGCATCAATCTGCGTGACGCGCAGGCATGTGATCGCCCAGCTGCCCAGGTGGATTTGCAGCGAGGATTACGTAAACCATGCTCCGTCGGCACTCTTGGAATCACTGCTATGCTAGAAGCCAGCCCCATTAGATGATCATCAGCGCATTATGAGTTAACAAAAATTTCCTCGAAACTGTACTGCCTTGGAATGAACAGGCTATCCACATTAAAAGTTTGTACTGCCTCATCTCTATTGATAATCTCCGATGCAAATGTGACTGTACGAAGCCATCGAAATAACGCCATATGCTATATGTCCCCAATGCGCCGTTCGAACAAACTAAAGTAGGAAACTAGTAATCATCTCCCTCAAACCAGTCTCGACCAGCTTCCAACGCTCTGTTTCGTGGATCCTTTCCCCGCTCATCAGCATCCCTTTTCAGCCCTTCCACGATCGGCCGTAATCGATCGATCTCCCTGCGGAACTCCGCGTCCTTGCCCTCTTCTGGCTTCTCGAGCGTCTTCAACAAGTGATCCTCGCCTTTCTTTTTTGCCTCTTCTATCGCCTTGCCTTTTTCTTCCCAGTCCCGGAGATCCCGCTCGCGATCACTGAGTTCGTTCTTCAGGACTATGAAGTCTGACCAGGCCTCTTCACCTCCGAAGCACAGGCCAAATTGGTCGCAGAAGCAGATGTGCTCTTTCGGACAGTTCACACTTTGACCAGTGAAGACAAATTGCCATACGTACTCCCATATACGCCCAGACATGGAATCGGGGAGTTTGGTGTTGAAGAGCCAGTCGCGGTACCAGACATACTGTGCATAGGGTTTGGCTTGGATCCGTTCGCGAGAGAGGGCAAATTGCGCACAGCAGGGCTGCGCAAGCACTGAGGGAACTTCGTCGAGGGGGAAGAGCTCGCTCCAGGATTTAGCCAGTAGGACCTCCTCTGGCTTGAACGCGTTCTCCTCCGACTCGCCGGGATGCATCCAGTCAGGACAGCCAGGATACCAGCTGCATCGCATGTTGACGAAGCCTTCTCTCCATACGCGCTGTCGGCTCAGGCGCGTGACGAGTTGTGCGGCGTCGTTGCCTAGTAGGTCGTCGTTATGCCAGGTCAGCTGATGCGCATGCATGAACATGGTGACATCCGGCAAGTTGTCGTAATTGTCAATGATCCATGTGAGGTACACCATGACCTCATGTCCCTTGTTTTTGGGAGGATGAAGCGGTGCCTTGGGGTCGTCGGCAACATAGACAGCCTTGGGCTGATCAGGCAGCGCCTCATCCATCCAATCGATGTTCTCCTCCTTGGTCTTTGCGATGACCAGAAGCGAGGTATAGTTGTGCCCTGGCGGCATTGGCGAGCCGGGCTTGAAGTTGAGCCGTGGGTTCCATTCCTCGTAGTGCGGATCTTGTGCGCCCTGCGCGGGAGAGCTGGAGCTACCGGGCGCATGGCTCGATCCAATATGATCGCCTAGGCCGACCCGTTGCGGAAGGCCCTCCCATGTTTCGCGGCCGGCGCTGCTCGAGTAGAAGAAAAATATTATAAACAGGGCCAGTACCACAGCGACGAGTGGTGTCGATATGGTGCGCCGGATCATCGTGTGCGCGGCGAGGGAAGGAGCGACGAGGGTGAGAGGGTGCGTTTTGAGAGCGGAGCAGACAGGTGTTGGCTCTTGCAGATTCTGATCTTCATTAGCTGGCTGGTTGCAGTCGTTGTATCGCGGGAATGGCTGCTTACCAGTGACGCGCGGCGCTCGCTCCGCAACAGTGAACAGGAGGACCGAAGTCAGCAGAGCGACAAATCAGGTCGTACGTCAACACAAAGCAGTCAACACCGGCAAAAGTGAAACGGGTGACACCAAGGAGAGGACAAGTGGATAAGAGGACAAGAGGACAAGAGGACAAGAGTCGCACTTGCGCCTTCCCTGAGGCTTAACGGCATCGTCTCCGCCGCCATTTGATGCGAGCTGAGCAACGTGAACTACATGTCCAGGGCTGAGCTGCCTGCGCTAGCTTAATCCCTGCATGTGGTCTAGCCCGCCCCAGGAGGAGTCTCACGTGCACTGCCATCTACCGACGTCTCTGACTACGTGTTTTCATGGTATATATAGCTTTTCTTGCATCTAGCAACATCAACTCAATCTCGCGCATGGCTTCCAACTCGTCTACTCTACGCTCACTTGATGACAGTCTTGCATCATACCGCGAGATGTGCAAAGTCACTATGCATCAGGCTCCCACCGAATGGGTAAATGCACATTCTCAACGGGAAGCGCATTCGGTCACACAGCCTTGATGCTTGATGCCGCTTTCTCACGCACATTTGCTCTCTAGTGTCGGGATGCATGCCCGAGAATATTGTTCTTGTATTGCTGGAATTGATATAATCTCCGAACTATGGTAAAAGACAAAGTGCTGAATCAAAACCTTATATTTACTTTTTTGTTCAAGACGGTCCTTGCTCGCTTGGCTTGCTGATGTCTCTGCAAGACCAGACCCATATAAGAAGAATGATGCCAGAAGCAGGCTCATCGCCTCATTTGCTTCCGTTAAATCCATCGTTCTTCGCAAGAAATCATTTGTGACTTTTCATTTGCAACGCCGTTCGTGTCGGACGATTCATGGCTTGACACCATAGCCATGACTATAGGGCAAGTATAGCTAATTATGGCGTCTTCTGGGATTGCGCAGCCGTGGCAGTCGTCACGTTCGGAAACGCCTACCATGTGCTTACCTTTTCCTGAGAATTGCAATTTGATGGCCCCCAAACATGTTTGGGCACGGGCGGGTAAAATGAGCGAAACGGAAGGCACGTAGGACTGAAAAAGGAAAAGGACAAACAGAAAACCGGGGCACGCACCTTCTTCTGTATTCACCACATGCAAGCACCCGCAAAAACATCCAGCAGCCGCAACACGTGTGATAGCGTTGAAACAACTTTGACGCATTTGTTGCATGCTGTTGTAATGATCGTGGGCTGCATGGTAAGACATCCATCTTACGCGTCTCGTAGAACTTGGCGTTACTAATTTGGGCGGAACGGCATGCGTAACGTGCGACGACGTGTCTTGATGATACGGATTACGGTGTTATAGATGCACGGCGACTAATGCTCAGACAGGTCGTGTGCCGAAAGCGCAAGCCCATTACGGATTACTGGCGAGGGCTGCTGTTGACATGGTTGCGGTCAAGATGGTTGGTATTGAGATGTTTAAATGTACGGGTGGGGCGGAAGTGGTGTGGACTGATTGCTTGACGTCCTGGTTGCATCGAAGGGGCATGATATACAAGTACAATTTGGTGTCGAGGTAGATGATCAAGACGAATGCGCGTTCAGAGGGCATCGCTGCTGCCCCGAAAGCCTTTACCGATATGTTGAGAACCGTTTCTCCAAGGAAAATTACCGAGTCGAATAGGTATAGGAAGAAGTCGAGCTGCAAGATTGCAGACTATCGAAGTTTGCTCCCTCGCGCGCCGCGAACCATTTCGAAGAACTTTTGTCGACCATATCCCCGTGATGTAGAAAAGCCGAATTAAACTGCCCCAGTGAAGTAGCCCTAGGATTACAGGAGTGAATGCTGAGAAAGCGAGTGCCTGACAGCGGAATAGCCATGAAGACCCTAACTTAGTACCGTTTGGGTTCTGGCAATGTCAGTGTGGAGCTAGCGGTGAGAACGGTCGTAGTCACCATCGTACGAGCGGCCTCCGCTGTACGCCTCACGAGGAGGAGGTGCACTATCGTAGCTACCAGCACCAGCAGCCGGGGGAGGAGGACGGTCATAGTAGCCGCCGCCGCCGCCACCGCCACCGCCTCGACGGTCTTCGCGGCCACTATCCCGGCCGCTGTAGCCTCGGTCAGAAGCATAACGGTCGACGCCTCGCGGTCCGTAATCATCACGACGAGATCCGTATCCGCCGCCGCCACCACCACCACCACCACCACCATAGCCGCGGTCGTCGTAGCGGGAGCTGCGGGAGCCGTAGTCATCGCGACGACCATAGCCTCCGCGACGATCATCCGAGTAACGGTCACCATAGCGGGAGCCGCCTCCTCGTGGACCTCCACCACCACGACCACCAAACTCTGGGACTGGTGTTAGTAGACAATAGTAATCGGAGGATTGATGAATGCTTACCACGCTTAGGTGGGCCATAGTACTTGCCCGGGGTAGGGGTACGAGGACGAGCGCGACGAGCCTTCTCGATGCTCAGTGTCCTGCCTTGATGAACCTCGCCCTGGAGTCCCTCCTTGGCGGCATCAGCCTGCTCAGCGGTGACCATCTTGACGAAACCGAAGCCGCGGGAGTCCTTTGTGTGAGGGTCGCGCATGATGTTGCACTGCTCAACCTCGCCATACTTCTCGAACAGACGCGTCACCTCCTCCTCAGTCAGAGAAGGGTGGATGCCTGTGACAAAGAGGTTAGAGCCCGAGTTGCGGCTGCCTGGGTCGTCATCTTCTTCGTTGCGAGCTGGGGGTGGGCCGCTGCGGCGGGTTAGCTGAGGCTCGTGTGTAGCATACAAAAAACATACCGATCATCGCGACCGCCACCAGGGGAAGCACTGCGAGCACGCGAGCTGTCTACGTCGCGACGCTCACCACGGGGCGACCTGCTACGGTCGCGTTCGTAGCCGCGAGGCTCGTCTGCGCGTCGCTGTTAGCAAATGATCAGGTATCACAGAGCAGATTAACAAACCATCGTAGCCGCGTTGATCATTTTCGTACTCCATGATGTGCTGATGTTACTGGGCGCTGGAGTCGATGGTTGGTTGGGAGAGGTGAGGTGTTGTTTGTGAGAGAGCTGCTAGGCCTGGATTTTTTGGCAGGGCGGATCGACGGAGCCGCGCCTCTATTAAGTAAGCGCCACGCTAAATTGTACTGACGCAGGCAACGCTGCAAGTAAGTGGAGTCTGGGGTGAAGGCGGGTCTATTGCTGAAAAAGTCAACGACGAAGAGTATGCTCTGTCTTGCTGGCTTTATAATATAAGATGAGTGGGGGCGAAGCTACGCGAGGGCTGGTGGAGGACAAAGAGGCAGGCATTAGGCAAGAGCTGAGAAGTGAGGCAACTGCCAGGGGGCAATTTGGCCCTATCCGATCAGCTCAACAACGGGCGCGAAGTTGTCATGAGGCGCAGACACTCCATCAATCACATCATGTAGCAGAAGGTGGCGCTCACCGACTATTTTGATAGTCCCTCGGAGTCCCTTGGAAAAAAATGGTAGCTTGCATAAAGAAGCATTTCCGTCACTACGTGCCCCTCTCCGTCCATCCCAGGCGAACCGTGACGCCCTGTAAAATGCTATACAACCTAATTACTGTCCGAAGTAGCACCATCTGCTTGATCCTGATGTTTCCGTTTACCCAGAAAATGAGGACACCTTGCGCCGGAAACAGTACATCCGTCAAAGCAGTATGTTACAAGTAATTCAGATAATACAAGTTAAGAAGAAAAGTGATCAACAATGCGGCCAGTAAATTTACCAGTTCCTTGCTCGCTTCTGCTTTTTTCTAGCAACGACCTTCTTGACCTCAGCAACGTTTGAGTCCGATGCGTCGGCTGGCCTAACAGGGTCAGAGTCGGCAAGCCCATCCAGGATATCGTCGTCTAGTTCACTGAGCTCTTCGCTCATGTCCCGCAGTACATCCCGTCCCGTGTATCGCTCTTTGTGGATGGTAGTGCCTGTTATGTCAAAGTATTCGAAGTACCAGGGTATGCCACCATTGCCTAGAACGTTGAGCAGGTTTTTCTCGGATCGAGGAGGAGTGAGTGGTTGGACATTGCCCTGTGTGTCGTCGACATCCATAGTATCTGTCCGCGACTCTTCGTTGGAAGCGTGTATGGTATCTTGACCGAGCTGAGCAGCAATGGCTGCTTCGTCAGCTGCCTCATCATGCGCTGTGCGATGAGGATCTGCCGCATTATCGTCTGGTGTGGGAGCAAGCTGTATATCGTCCGCCTTGTTGACCACCATCTCTGTGTCGCCATTGATCAAGTGTTCATTGTTTCCTTCAGCCAAAGACTGTCCAATTTCGGTCGTTTGGCGGATGCTCTCGGCAGAAAGTGCACTGGCCCTGCGCTCCAGTTTCTGATTCAAAAGTGTTTCGAGATCAGGCAAATTCTCGTACGGTCGTCCAGCTAGGTCAGCTTCTCGGCGCTGAGCCTCTTCGAGAAGTGGTTGGACCCCTTTCAGGATACGTTTTACCAACTTTTTCGTCTCCTTTTGGTCTGCTGTGAGAGTACTGTGTGCGACTCTGTTCAGATCGATTTCGGCATCTCCTCCAATGCTAGACACTGGAGCAAAGCCTACCTCGCTCAGCACTACCGCCATGTCTGCCTCAAATGCTTGCACAGAAGTATAAAACTTCTCATCCAGGCGGACTTGAAGGTCGCTGAAGCCATCCGTGAAAACGCCTTTGCTATCGAGACTGTGCGAATAATCAGCAAATGAAGTGGAGGTTGATGTGAAAGTGCTTACCTTATTGCGCGGTTGAGAATGGGTTCCACAAGCCGAGGGATCGGGAAGTAGATGCAATCCACGATGCGCTTAAGGATTAGCACGTCTTGAAGTTTTTCTGCCTCTCGTTGCTTAACCAACTCAGCCATCACTCGGATCTGTTCCATATCCTTTTCCAGATGCTCTGCAAACTCTATACGGCGCTTGAGCCTCGGGCGACCAGCTGCACCCATGCCCGCGAAGTTGCGACGAGTAATCTCCATGGATGAGAAGGCCTCCATTTGCAGCTGCAGACGCTTCAGAAGAGCTGCGCCACGACGAGACTCCCTTTTCAAGGTCCAGTACTTGCAGGCTTCTTGTACAAATTCCTTGCGCTTCGCCATGTTGAATCGCTGAAGGGTGGTTTCGACGTTATTGTACACAGATTGAGGTACAACTGGGGCGCCGGACGGTAATCTCCACGACTTTGTGGTCTGTCCGCGCTTGCGCTTGTTGCCACCCGCACTATCGTCGTCATCCACGCCTTCAATTGAAGGCATTGCGTGGGTGGAGCCAATCGACAAGGCATACGCTTGGCTATCGGGCCATCGAATATGGCGCATGGTGTGTCGATAGAATGCTTTTGCGTCTGCCACTGCTCTCTCCACATCAAATTCTCGTTTCCAATCAGATGGCGAATGTCTGTCGCAATATGCCTTGAGGACAGTGGAGTCGAGAGGATTTGAAGCTTGGGAGGACTTCATGCGCAAGCAAAGCTTAGCCCTTCGAGCGCAGGTCACGTGGAAAGCCTCGAAACATGATTTGTGCCCGCATTGAATGCATGCGCCCATCTTCTGCTTGCAGATGTAACATGACTGGTGTTTGTGTTAGTCGTGAACAGGAATGCAAGCTAGTGAAGTACTCACGAGTTTCCATCGTGTCTTTGGGACTTTCTCGACGTCTTGTACCGGCTCTTGGAAAGTTGCGTTGCCAAGGGAGACTTCCGGAATCCACATGGCGCAGAGCAGATGCGCCCACTTCATGGCGGTGGTCTGCTTAAAGGCGCCGTCTACGTTCGGACAGAAGATGCAACCCTGCAACGATTAGCAGTAATTATGTGTGTGCCTAAGAAGACTTACCGGTAGTTCGCTTGCAGGTGTGCCACGGCCCACTAACTGGCACCGTCTGCAAAGCCACTGACCCTCGGGTATGAATGGTACACCGTAGCATTCCTGATGAACGGCAAGATCACAGCCATCGCAGAACACTATTGCATTGGTGTTCTCGCAATCACCGTCATCGCAAATGGCACATTTGGTATCCTGCTCTTCTCCTTGACCAGTCCGGCTCTCCATTGACAGCAGCCGCACTACTAGATCGGGGTCTGTGTGTCTGTGGAGGTTTTGGGTTTGGTTTGGGAATGCCTAGGACGTGTTAGCTAAATATCTGCAAGTAGCCAGTTTCTTGTCACTCACGCTTTTCCAGCGCATGCCACTCTTTCTCAATCTGAGTGATGGTGACTTCGAACATGGCGGGTTTTATCGCTGGCAGCTGACTCGTTCCCTCCGCTGCACATTCAGTGCTTCAAGCCAGCGGTCGTCCTGCTCGTCCATGTCGTATTCTACACGGCCAATAGCAACTGCAGTGGCAGGGCCGTCAGTCTCTGTTTGTAGTGCCAAGTCTAGGTCTTCCTCGATGGAGCCTTCGGGAAGGCGGATCATGTTGTTTTCGGCCCTTGCGAAGATCTCACTTTCTTGGTAGCCGACGTTGGCCATGGTGCGGTCCACATAATTGACTTTGACGCCCTCGCTCTCCTCGTGGGCTTTGAACGGATCGACTTGGCGCACAGAAGGCTTTGGGAGGTTCAGCTTCTCTCGGGGGTTCATCGTCGGAAGCGGGTTGATTCGTGGTCGGGGCGGAGAACCAAGGCCAGCAAGCATCGAGTCCTTGTTCCGTGGCGGGCGGCCTGGACGTCGTTTGGGCGTCGAGAATGCGCCATTGCCATTGACGACTTCTGCTTCTTGCTCGGCATCGTCAACCTGTTGCGCGCGAAGACCGTCCAGCACGGCGGATATACCGCTGTCCACGGCATACTGGCCAGTCGATGGGCCGTTCTGGGGAGTTCCGGGTGCACTGTCTGGGGGGCTGATGCCGTCTATCTGGTCTGCGGTATATATGGGGCATTCTGCGTCGATGTCGAGCTCAGGGTGAAACTCGTCCCAGCTCCGCTCCTCCCTCGGCTTGTATCCGTCATTTTGCGCCACAGCGGCAGCGACTGCAGCGGCCGAACTGGAACGCGGTCCAGCAGGCGGCCTTTCACGTCGCGGTCGTGAATATGTCGAGGGGGAGGGCGCGGGCAGCGCAACACCCTGTCTTTCAGCGTTGAGCCGTCCCACACGACCCCGAGGGCCTATATACGCGTAGCCGCCCGGGCCAGTTCCTCCAACGGGTATCTCTATGCCCTCGTCATCAATGTACCTGCCCCCGCCTCCTGGTCCGCCGGGGATATACTTGCGCCTCTTGCTGGGCGGGGCCGAGTCGGAGATGTGTCGCCTTGGGGGTCGTGCTGAGCTTCGAACGCGTGATCGAGGAGTATCGGGAACAGGCGCCATGTAGAGAATCGTGGAATGCGGCCAGCAAGGGTGAGGGTGCAGTCGCAATCAACGCGCCGGCTGTCGAGCAAGCTGCCAATGGGGCCTAGGGTGAGCGCGTTTCCACCAGGTAAACAGAGCGGCGAGTGTTCATCAGCGTTGGCGGAAATGGGTAGAGAACGCGCAGGCGGGCGCTGTGATGGGATGCGCCTCCACGTCTCAATAGTGAGGTTGCGACGGGCACGCGAAAAGCGTTAGACTGCCAAGCGGGCTCTATCTCTTAGCGTGCCTTCCCGTGCTCTCCACACTGGCAGGCATGGACGATCTGTGAGAAGCCGTTCTCTAGGGCTGCCCGCCGCACCATCGTGTCGCCTCTAGTCTGCCGCCTGTTCTTGGAATATCTCGGAACTATACAGCCAAACAGCGTTAAGCCTGCATCACGGTCGTCCTCGCTGTCTCCAAGCCACTCCTTCACATGTCGCAGAGGACTAGGAAATCAGTCTTTGCAACAGACCTGAGTTCCCAGCTAAACAAATGAAGATCGATATCCTCATAGTGTCTAATTCTTAGCGATGCACAGCACCGGACGTGACTACATCCTCAAGTCGCACTAGCGAATCATCAGGCACTGCTGCAACTCGCCCCACATGTCAGACACCACAGCAGCTTATGAATCTTCAGGCATTTCTAGTCCAACGGAAGAGCACATCACGGGTGCTGGGATATATTCAGCCTGCTCTAGAGGATATTATAAATGCTGACAGCGACCATCGCTTGCACAGAGCCGCTGCCGCTGATGCTAGTTGCAGTACGCAGGGCGCACAGTTGCGCCACTGTCTTTCTGCATGATTGTCGAGGAAGTTTTGCCTATCTTTTCGGCACGCATCAGCCTTCTAGGCCACCCCTTCAAGCAAATACAACTTCGCTCTTGCATGCTGTTCGGGGGGTTGTTTCCCATACACGATAACAGCAGGTTTTTAAATTGACCATCAGATTTACTCAACGCCAAAGAATACGTTCGCATGCAATAGCGCCATGGTGCAATCAGACCAGAGTCCGCAAAGGCCGTTCAGAGTCGTCATCGTGGGCGCAGGCCTCGTCGGCCTCTCACTATCCCATGCACTACAGCTCGCCAACATTGACCACATCGTCCTCGAGAAACACAAGGAGATTGTATCTTTACATGGCGCAGCACTGGTAATGTCGCCTCTCACCTGCTATGAATGAGCCGGCCATTGATGTTACAGGTGCTCTATCCTGGCGTGGCACGCGTGTTTGATCAGTTTGGTATCCTGAAAGGCGTTCAAGACTCTGCCACACCAATGCAGAAGGAAAGTCTGCGCTGGCCTGACGGTAGAGTTCTTGCTCATCCGAAGAGGCTGTCGGCATTGTCGGAAGCCTTTGACTCACCACCAATTTTCTTCGAACGCCAGAAGTGCGTTACCGTTTTGTACAATGGCCTACCAGATAGGTCGAAAGTCCGTACATGCGCTCGCGTCGAGCGGTTCGAGCACACAGAATTTAGCGTCAAGGTCTTTCTCGCCGATGGGACATACGAGGAAGGCGATATTGTGATTGGGGCCGATGGTGTTCACAGTCTCACAAGACAGTTAATGTGGGATTACGCTGCAAAGAATGAACCAGACGCGGTGCCAAAGTCCGACAAGACGGCAATATTTTCGCAATACAAGGGCGTCTTCGGAGTAACCGATCAAGGCGACTTGCCTGACCTCGGCGACGCCGATACCCACGTAGTACTCGGTGACGGTTCGACCAAGCTGCTCTTCACTCAGCCCGGTATCGCCTACTGGGGCATCACATTTAAAGATGAATACAGCTGTCCACCGAAGCCATACAAGCCGTCTCTTGACGAGCAAGAGCAAGTCGGAGAGAGATTCAAAGATGTGAAAATGACCGAGAACCTAACATTTGGCGATCTCTGGAAGAACAAGAGTCGCTCCGCCGTGCTGAACATCGAAGAAGGCATCCTCGATAAATGGCACGCAGGCCGGATCGTACTCGTAGGAGATTCCGCACACAAGGTTCGTCAGCGCAGAATCACCATCAATCCCATAGACTAAAACTTCTGATGAAGATGACAGCCGACCTCGGCATGGGCGCAAACATGGCCATTGAATCCGCCATCACACTCTGCAACCTCCTCTATAGAATGACATCTTGCTCCAAAGACGCGGATTTTCATCCCGCTCCTGCCCAGCTCTCCACTCTCTTCTCCACCTACCAGGCCACGCGCCACAAACGCGCCAAGGCTTTTGTTGACCTCTCCGGCCGCATGACGCGCATGCGTAGCTACGCGGGCTTCTGGAGCTACTTTTTCCTTACGAGGATTGCGACGCTGCCCTGGATCATGACGTATCAGACTAACAAGTTGGTGGATGCGTGGCGCGAGGCGCCGAAGTTGGAGTATGTGGGGACTAGGACGATTAACGAAGGTGCGGAGGGATGGAAGAGGAGGGACGAGAAGGCAAACAGAGTGAATGTGTGGATGGTGTATTTGGTGGTCATGTCGGTAGTTGGGGTGGGGATGTGGTATGCGGTAAGGCCGCATTCGGGAGTTCGTGTACACGTGTGAGACAGGTTGAGTATTTATACATGAAGATTATTCGAATTCCACTGGGACGCTGATACCGCGCGTTCACTTAAACCTACTCACTACCTCGTTATCCTTCGATACGGACTATCGGTAGAACGAGGCTGGTACATGTTATCAAGATCCCGCCGAACCGCTTGCCCCAACAAACGATCTCTATCCCGTCCAGCCGCCTCACCTCTTGGATCTTGCCGATGCGGATTCTCAATTCGAAGCTGATAAAGCTGGTACAGATTCTCGAGACCACCTCTGGGTGGCATGTAATGTATGCAGTCTGTACTATGCTCGATTCCCACGGTGGGAGCCTGAGTATTGGACGTCCGGACGTAGGATGCGAGACACACCCAGCAGAATTCTGTGCGGCATTCGGAGCCTATTTGCGTAGGAGTGGTTAGTGAATGAGTGGGAGGAGGGAGAAGAGAGATACTTACACGTCATGTGATCGCACCCATAGCTCTTCTCGATACTCCGCGTACAACCCGGGCACACCTTTGTTGTCCTGGCGATGAGTGCGTAGCTTGCGAGTTCTTCTTGTTGCCTGATGCCCGTATTCGTCCTATTCTAAGGTAAATACATGGCCTGGTGAAAGAGGGAAATCACATACCTGTACTCGTACTCCCGACAGGTTTCCTTCGTGTGCCACCTCACAAGGTGCACTGTGCAATGACTCCTCTTGCATTTCTTGCACCGGAAGCGCGAGTCTTTGTCGTCGTGTATTTGTCCCGACTTGCAGCCTCTGGCAACGCACCAGCGCCAGTTGGGGATCTTTTCGTAGATGGCCTTGGTGTGGAGTTTGCTGTAGCTGAAACATATGTTAGTATCTATATGTATATAATAAGCATCATGTATTTTGAGAACGTACCGGACAAATACATTCCGCGGAGCAAAGCCCATGACATCGTTGAATTGCAATCGTGCTCGACATGTTGGACAGTTGACTTCGTTCCACATCTTGGACTTGAACTCGGATTCGATCCATGTTTGTAGACAATGAGTGCAAGTGTCGATACTATGCTGACAATCTTCTGTAGGTGGTCTCTCTGGGAACTGGAACAAGGGTCGAGTTTCGGTGCAGACATTGCATTCTTTGGTCGATTTCGGTGTTGCGTGGCGCAACTCGAGCTTTTTGCGCTGCAGCTTCTTCGCTCGGCCTTCTGGTCCATCGGCCGCTTGAGAATCATCCGTGTGAGCGGGCTGGCGACCGCTGGACTTAGCATGATCTTCTTTAGATTTGCCCCTTCTATGCTTCTGCTGTCTCTTTGGAGACCCAGTATTGCCTCTTGACTCCGTAAGAGTGTGTGCATAGTCGTTGCTGGTTTGTGTGTCATTTGTTGTCCGAGCATGGGGTGCGCTCCCAACGTTTGGATCATTTGTTCTCGATCCAGGATATCGCTCGTGGACACGTGCCTTTGCGGCTCGCAGTCCTAGTGCATATCGAATGCTCCATTTATGTTGTGTAGTCTGGCGACGTGAGTCTGCAAGTTCAGCCTCTCGGCTGTGAGTTTGACCCATGGTGGGCTAAAGAGTGTCTTGCGTACGAAGGTGAAGTTGCAAGCGCAACCGGCACGTGTACATTGACGTAGAGTAGGGTCGGTGGCATTCGAATGCTCCGAGTTGCTGAAAGTGAAGACGAGTTTGAAAGAAAGTTAAGTTGAGTTGATGCGAGTTTTAGAGCTGTCCTGTCCGGGACAGGATGTGAAAGACCGTGCAAAGTTCCACGGATGCCACAAGCAGTTTAAACAAACCACGTGCTATCAGCCGAGAAGCGCACTATTGATGTGTACTTCATTTCAGGATAGATGCGCCATCGCTATGCAATCCTGAAAGTGGTTCTCCTCCATTCATGTCAAACAATGCGCAAGACGTTTAGTATGCCACTGAGACGCGAAGACCGACATACCTCGCACCTCAAAAGATCTCGAATATAGAACCAAGGCCCATTTAATTGCGCATCGAACTTCTAGTGCGTAGGTCGGAACCGAAGTTATCATCGGTAGTGCCAACCGGACTGATATCGGTTACCATAGAAGTCTAACTCTCCCGCATATTGATCAAGCGATTTCCGAACTACTGTTATGTCTCCCGGCCAGTAGCCTTCGACATGCGGAAATATTTTCCCCATTTGTAATAAATTGTTGTACATAGCTTTCCTTTCCTTCCGGAACTTTGCAATTTCGGCAATGACGTCAATCTGGGGCTTGAATTCATCTTCACCACTAGCCTGTGGCCGTGGTGCGGGTGTATCCGTTACTAGCTCCAGCCCGCTCATTGCTGCTAGCGGTAGTGTACGCCCGGGTTCAATGTCCGGAAGTCCGCACTCTTCCTCGCCGAAGAATGAGAAATCCTGGGTAGCCGCGTCCCAAAAGGCTTCGGAGTCAGCGTCTTCTGTAGATGACTTAGTAGGATATGCTCTCCAACTGGTCGAAAATTTCTTCGCCGGAGCCTGTGGTGGTGCCATTTCTAGAACTATCCTCTCAAGAGCGAAAAGATTACGCGCGTGTTCCTGCTCAGCGATTGCGCGACGGCGGCCAGGCGGAAGGGCATAAGTGTGTCCTGCTCGCTCTCTAGCGATGGAGACTTCTTCTGCTGCGTCTTTTACATACTGGATAAGCCGGTGGACGATCTCTTCATTGCGGCTCAGGGTGGGGATGTCCGTAAGTACAAGGGTATGCACCTTAGGAAGCATATTCGGATGCAGCCGGTTTTCTTGGGATTGGCGAAGCTCGAGGCGAGCCCGACGATCTTCGACGTAGTAAGTAGAATTGTGTCGCGATCTTTTCTGAGTAGGCTGTCTTAGAGAATTGGTCGGTTCTTCCCCGAGAGTCAGTGCTGGAGATAGCCCAGCGAACGCACCGTCAACCCACAGGTCGTCGCGGTTGTGACCGGCTTTAGGGACATTGGCAGACGTATGAGCAGTGTCAGATATGACCACTTCAGGAGCATGTGTTGCGCCGCGTTTGACTTCCTGTGGAACTGCTGTGATTTCAATATGTGGAGACTGGTCTATAACCTTCAGTGAATTCGAGCTTGTGTCATGATGGTGTGTTGTGGTTGGCAAACAGCCAGGCAGTTCAACCACACCACCCGAATCGCCCGGGAGCTCATAAATAGCTGCATCGGTAGCACCAAGCTCAGCCGTACTTGTTTGAATGGCCTCAAGCTCGTGCGCATCCGAAGGGTCACGGCGCCCAAGATCGCCATGCAGCTCTGCGCGTGGGGGTGATGTCACTGCATCCTTCGGCGCATCTTCCGTGACGATCTCGTAGTTGATGCGTAGATATCTTAACTTTGATGAAGCATATTCGCAAATGACCGGTGTCAATTTCGAGACACTGGGAAGCTGAAGGAGGTCGGCTGCTTCTCCCAATCCGCTGGGATGTGATTGTATCATGGTGGTCGGTAGTGTGCCAATATCCAATACCTGCAAACGTTGGGATCGCAACAGTCCTGAGATGCCTTCTACTGTCATTGCGTTCTTTGACAAGTAGAGATGAGTAATGCCAACGTCTCTAGCCCTCTCTATTGTAAGGCTGCCAACAAAGCCTCCTGTGAGCTTCTTACGGACATGATCAACCACTTTCTCCGACTCAAACACATCAAGGTCACCATCTGCTCTTTCATCCTCGATTGGCGATAAAGGTCCTAATGCGGTCCTTCTCTCCAAGGGCTCTTCCTTCAAACACCTTTCGAGAAGAGCCCGAGCGCTAGCATCTGTCAAATGATTATCACGCACATCGAGACTCCTCACTCGGGTCTCAATGGAAGATACGACGATGTCAAAGTCAGCGTCTTTGAGTGATATGCCTTGTAAGTTCAGGAGACGAAGACTAGACAGGAATCTGAGCTTGCTCAAAACTGCCGGATCTCTTGTAGCAGGTGTGCGCGAAAGATCTAGCGAGACCAGATTTGGTAGATGGGACAGTGCTTCCGTCAGCCCCGTGGATGTCGCATTTGTGCAGCCCGAGGCATCCAACAGTCTTAGTCCAAACATTGGGAACACACGGGGATGGCTAGAGCTCCGGCGCAAGCTCGCATACCGCAGGCACAAAAGTGCAGAATGATCGAAGAAAGGAAGACCGTTGACAAGTAGGCACTGGAGACCGGGAAGATACTCAAGACAGTCACGAAGCCATTCCGCATGTGGCCCTCCGTATATCTCTGCATGAGCTGGAGGAAATCGGAGAGTGTGGGTCAAGTCTCTCACAGATTCTCGCACATAGGGCAGAACTCGCCTGAATCGCGTCAAAGCGACTACGCGTGGTTAGTGGACGGGTAGCTTTACGATGCTCTGTCTTACCGTATACGGTATCGTTCTGCACACCGAAATGCGAGGCTGGGTTGCCCCAAAGCTGCGGAGCCATGATCTGGTGCCATCTCCGGCATACTAATGCAGCAGCACATAGAGACTCGGAGGATAAGTATTGTACGACCAGCTCCCACGGATCTTGGTTGGTAGCATTCTCGTAAGATGGTAGCAGATCGTCCATGGTGTCGTTCGCAGGGGATCCGAGTCTGTCAACCACCAGGCTGATGGTAAGGGTAGCGTGGAGGTTGGTGTGGCAGACTGTACATGGCTGTTGCTACCAAAGAACGTGGCCCTACAATGTGCGTGGTGGCAGTGTTCACAGTAGCCAGTAAACGCAAGGCGATGATGTAAGAGTTGCTGTAAGGCTGACCCCAGTACAGCCGTGTTGCCGACGGCTAGTCGGCGGCATGGCCGCACCCAGTACCAAAGTCATGGCATGGTGGCTCGCCAGCTCCTGGTCGCTCTTTGGGGAATCGGGCGGATTTTCCTGTATAGAGGGACGGAGTGTGCGTTGAAACAAGATAGCTGCATCCGCTGAACAAGGTCCACATGAGCGGCACTTGCAGCGGATTCGTGCGCAGGGAATGAACATCATCTTGCAACATTCTATATATATGTCCAAGTCGCGCGTGGGTTGCATCGATGCGAGAAATGAGAGGCCACAGACGGGGTTTGGAAGGCGTAGAGGCAAGCGCCAGGGTTGTGTTGCCCCACTACGACTCATCGAACCCACCCACCACCGCTGAACAGGAACCACGTCGATCTCTGACTACTGCAGCTCTACTACTCCACGGACCCTCTTTCTACTTCTCTGTCTCTCGCTGCATCTCTTCTCTACGACCAAAACGGCGCAACCAGCCCCCGCCAGCGCACCCCCGCCTGCCGACGACGTTCGCTCGACGCTGCGCATTGCCAGCAAGTTCGTTACCGCCTCGGCCATCCTCTGGGACCCCAAGTTCACCGACAGACCGCCCCCGGGCGAGCTCAAGGCCACGCACGCGGGGACGCTTGCTGTTCCTTTCCGCACAGATTCGTCCATCAGCGTCCGCAACCTCGGCGGAGGCCAAATCATCCCCGTAGTCCCCATCATGGACAACCGCCGGCACCCGAGCTCGTTCCAGCAGCTGGAGAAGCTGGGCGAGGGCACATATGCTACTGTAGGTAGACAAGTGCATGCGTGCATACGAGGGGATTGCACGTGCTGACTCGGCGCAGGTGTTCAAAGGCCGTAATAGGCAGACGGGCGAGCTGGTGGCCCTCAAGGAGATCCACCTCGACTCCGAGGAAGGCACGCCCTCTACGGCCATCCGCGAGATCTCCCTTATGAAGGAGCTCCGCCACGAGAACATTGTCCTGCTCCACGATGTTATCCACACCGAGAACAAACTTATGCTGGTGTTCGAGTTCATGGATAAGGACCTGAAGCGATACATGGACTCGCGCGGCGACAGAGGCGCTCTGGACCCTGCCACCATCAAGTCCTTCATGTACCAGCTGCTGCGGGGCATCGCCTTCTGCCACGATGCACGCGTCCTGCATCGCGACCTGAAGCCCCAGAACCTGCTCATCAACAACCGCGGACAGCTCAAGTTGGCCGATTTTGGTCTTGCCCGCGCATTCGGAATCCCAGTCAACACCTTCTCCAACGAAGTTGTAACGCTGTGGTATCGCGCTCCTGACGTCCTGCTCGGCAGTCGCACTTATAACACAAGCATCGACATCTGGTCCGCAGGCTGCATCATGGCCGAGATGTACACCGGACGCCCCATCTTCCCGGGAACCACCAACGAGGACCAAGTGCAGAAGATCTTTAGGCTGATGGGCACACCGTCTGAGCGCTCGTGGCCCGGCATCTCACAGCTTCCAGAGTACAAGACCAACTTCCCCGTGTACGCAACACAGGACCTGCGCCACATCCTGCCGCAGGTCGACCAGGTTGGTCTCAACCTGCTCAGCAGCATGCTTCAGCTACGCCCAGAGATGCGCGTATCCGCAGCAGCCGCCCTGCAACATCCGTGGTTCAACGACCTACCTCAAAGGCAGCATGAGCACGCCATGGCGAGTGCGCAGGCCCAGGCACAGCAGGCACAGATGGGGGGCTACCAAGTACCACAGAACGCCTACTAGGAGGGAGGTGTTCCGCCAGCGCACGCTCCATACAATCCTTGGGCGTAATTGAATCTGTTGCATTCGCAAGGGAGCGAAGAGCTCCACTATCTTCATGTTTCTGTTCCAAAGGCGTTTTTTTTTCACTGGAATCCTGCATGGTTTTAGCGGAGTCCATGCAAGCGCCATTACTAGTTCCATCTCAGGCAGCTACGAGAAAAAATATGATACCTCAGTTCAATTGCTTTTGCCGTCATGCGTGCGCGCTTTGTTCACTTTTTTTTTTTTTGCCGACTAGACCTTACAGTTACAGCAGCCCCGAGACAAGACAGTGCTTATTCAGTACTGGTGACTTCCGTCCTTGCATTTCGTGTCCTCAAGAATGAAGACCCTTCGATCCGAATCTCCCCGCGCAGCACCAACGCTGCAGAATGTCTCTGGATTCAAGTACGCGCCAATGTCTCGCATACTTTCGCCAAGCGTCTTCGGACATTCACTCCGGTCCATGCGGGTGTCCGAGTCATGACCGATGCGCAACGTCTGTCCAACGTCGCGTACGGCATTCACGAGTCAACAGCTAAAGTCAATCAATGCTACTCTGTTCTGGCATGCCCGAGTTACGCAGTCTTGGTACCACGGGGCGATCTCGCAAAAATGTCCATTTCTCCGGCTTGTCATCCCCGCCACGGCCACGCGGGAATAACGTTCACAGGGTCAAGACTCAAAACGAGTGCCACGCGTGCGTTTAGCGCACGACTAAGCTCACGAGGGATTCCGATACGACAATTGTGAATCAAGCTTGTTTGGAGAGGTTCATATTTGATTCAGATTCCGCGCGAGTCAGATAGAAAAAGAAAAAGGAGAAATCCAACCGAGAGAGATAGACAAAGGAAACCCCGCAATGCCCCATCCTCCCGCGTGAAGATGTGAGTAAACAACCTGAGATTAGATAAGAGGTATGTGGGAAATGCCGAAAAAAGGAACCCTCCCAGCTCTTTCTGGGTATATCGATGAGTGTGAAATGCTCAACGCCCGTTGCAATGTGGAGTAGCGAGAAGAAAGCTTTTGTCCCTCCATGTCGCTTGTCGAGAGTCCAAAACTTGCCACCTAGGCGGTGACATAGCTCCTGTCTTCCAAAAGCGCTGACGAGAGTGGTAAGAGAACCGCCACTTCGCCTTCTTCGAGGTGCTCGTTCGATGAGGAGTGGCATATATCGCCCATCAAAAATCGGGCACCGTAGGTGCACATGGTCATGCTCGCTTTCTGTTGCTGCCGGAACGCTTGGGAGACAGACTGGTGACGCTCAAAGTACTTGTGCGTGCTCATGCCTGAACTTTCTTCTCGTTGAATGCCTTGGGCTTGAAGACGGCGTCCTGGCCTGACATGCGTCGCCCAAGTGCGCGGTCCAGCTTCGCTCCCAGTGCCAGCTTGCTCATGTCGTCTGTCTTCTCATTGCTCAGCGCGTATCTTTGCTGGACGAGACGCTTGTCCTCGAGACGGTCAAAGCCGGCATTCCATGACTTGATGTCGTGGGCTTTGGGGTCACCGGCGGTCGACGAGGCTGCTGAGAGGTGCGAGGGTGCGATGGAGGGTGTGAGAGTCGGTGTTGCGCTGTAGGTAGACATTCTTGTGGAGGCGCGGTTGCCGGTGGACTGCAATTTCTTTGCGTTAGGTGATGTTGGTACTTGTGCTTGGGTCTGTTGGGTTTGTGTTTCTGTGGACATGGTGCAGATGAAGTAGTTTGGAGCAGTGTTCTTGTGGTGGTGGTGATGTAGAGAAGGGTGTGGAGTGTGAAGATTCAAGCTTGACGGTGACAGAAGGCAGCTAAGGACTCAAACACGGCGACTAGTGTTGAGCATAGGCCGGTTCAGCCACAGGTCGCGTCTGAAACCAGTGGTGGAAACGGAAGAGCAACTTACGTTGGCTAGGATGGGCCGCGAGGACTCCAGAGACGTCGGCATACTAGCGGTAGTAGGGAGTGATGGCGTGTCGTTGGTCTGAAGTAAAATGGCTCTAGGCTACTCTTGGGTCTGATAGGTGCAAGACAACGATTGAGGAGCGCCGCGAACAGATGAAAGGTGGAGCGGAGTAGCAGATTGGCAGGATGGCAGAGTCGTGAAAGACGGTAGAGGAGAGCGGCCTTGTCAGAGGGTCCTGTGCTCACTTTGTCCGGGCTTTCGCGTGTTTCAAAGGGCTCAGATCGGCAATGCTGGAAGGGGGCAACGTGGAGATGCGCAGGGGGGATAAAGAGGCTAATGCGCTTGCAGCAGAGTTGCCGTTGCAGTCACAGGATCTTGGGATTCGCCGCGCCTTACGAGGTCGTGAGTGCTTCCCGAGAAGGTTGTTTGTTTTCTTGCTGTGCGGTGAGGCAGGCACGGTGCTGGTCACAAGAAGAGAGGCAGGCGCACAACACCACCAGCAGACGGCAGGTGCGACCTTTTAGCCCGCCACGATGCTGCCCGCCTCTGAAACCACGCAAAGTAAGGATTGCTGCATTTCGATAGAGTGGGCGATATGCAGCAATCCTCTCAGACACGAATCCAGGGGGTGCCTCTGGAAGATGTCGGCTGCGGTGGTCCACTTAAGCCGCACCTACGCAGCCAATGTTCGCGGTGCCCACGCCGCTGCCACGTGGGGACCGACATGGATGATGGGCGTGAACAAGTCTCTGTCTCCACCCGCCACGGTCGCCCATCTGGTCGCCTATTATCCACGTCCACGGTAATCGCAATCTGCAACTCTGGGTCGTCATCGCAAACAAAGCGTGCCTTGCGTGGCCACCAAAAAACACAGCCATTGACGACGAGCGCCATCCCGATAAAGTTTGCTCCGCTGCACCACAGTAAGCTGGTGGATCTTCAACCGCATCTGCTACGCGCCTGCAGCTAGCCGCCTAGCCACCGGGCAGCCAGCTCCTCATCCGTTCTCAACCAGACAGATACTGGTGGCTGCTGTCCGCTACTGCCCTTCTTATCAACGCTGCTCAGCAATCAATCCTTGCTGAACTCTGCACACCGGCTACATTCCCGCGAAACTTCTCTTCTTGAAACATGTGCTCATCCTAGGAATGCAGAATGCACATTACCATTCCACCAATGCCAAGTTTAATAGCCGCCACTATCGTACAGCGACCTTGGCTGATGACTTGCAAGCACGGCTGCTTGTCCGCTGCGATAAGGCGCCTTCATCGGGCTCCCTGTCACATGCCCATCTGTCTCGTCATCGTCCAATCACACTTCACGCGTCCCTGCACCGCTGCCCGATCACCATGATTACCTTCGAGACGGCAACTCCCACGCGTTCGCTGACCACGTGGCTGCGAGGGATGCCTGCATAACATGCAGATGCTCGAGCCAGTGATTCATGCGACTGTAACTCGCTTCGGGCGGAGACGTTCGGCGTCACGTTTGCGACTCTTACCCGACCATCAACAGCGGGGCAGCACTCTTGGTATTGGTTGCGTATACGATTACCTCTATACCTTGGAGATGATGCAGGCCTGTTGTGGCTGCAGCATCGGCATGTGCTGCTAGCCGCCTACACATTACGAGAGCCTGGACTGCTCCCGTCCCACACCACCATCACATCCAATAAACCTCCAGCCACGCCGGCATCGCTGCTGTCAATAAACGCTCCGTGGCGCTTCAGAATTGTAGTCTTTGGAAGAATATGCTTTTTCATCGGATGTAACGCGGTGAAAAGCTATCGGCCCATATGTGTCAAAATCACGCCTTTTGCCCGCAAAGTTTATGGCGATACGAAAAGAAATGGTGGAAAGTATATCGAGTATCTCGCGCGTCTGAACAGCTTCTTACGTGATGCAAACTAAGTGCAACGCGCTATCGAAGCCATCGTACGATTTACTGCTAGCCTACACTAACGAGCGTTTATTCTGGTAGATGCTTCATTTATATCCACCACCCATCACCGCTTACATAGGCATACCCTGACCGGGCATCTGCTGCAGCCCTGCGAAAAACGATTAGCATAAACCTCTCCAACAAGAGTAGGAAATGTGACTTACATCCATCGATATTCTCATTCACCGCACTCTTCACCTGGCACGCGTTCATAGCATTGACCGCCTGACTCTTCAGCGGCTTCCCATTCTCGCACGCCTGGAACATGCACTTGTCATTCATCGCCTTCTGCAACGAATCGTCCTTCCAGCCAAAGAGATAGTCCGCATGCGTGCCGTATCCCTTGTTGTCGTTGTACGATAGGAAGAAGGGGTTGGAGCCGTCCTTCGGCCACATGTTGTTGAACTGCGTGGTATCCCAGAGCGTCTCATACGCGACTTGCGGCATGCGGACGGGATGCGAAGCCGGACAGGGTTTGGCGTTCGTAAAGGCCTCGTTTTGCGTGTTGTACATGTGGTCTTGGTGGTTGGGCGAGTCGACGTCTTTGCCGTTCCAGCAGCTGGGCTATGCTAGGTCAGTGTGTATCCCCAAGATGTTCCATGCAGGGCTGCGTACGAAGTGATGCACAGTCATGATGCCTCCTTTGCAGGATTTGGGCGGGAAGTCGGGGAGCTCGGGGAAACGCGTGTTCTTGTCGGACAGACAGACGAAACGTAGGCCGATGTGCTTCTTTGCAGCATCGAGCGAATCTGTGACGGGCGATCCAACTGTCATTCGGAACCCCTGGTGATGTCAGTGTCCGTACCGTGGTAGGTGATGCATTTCTGAACCCACCTTGGGGAACGCAGTGATCTTCTGGTTGCCGTTGGAGTTGAAGTCTTGCTGTGTGTAGTAGATGGTCATGCCTCCGTTAATCCCGTTAGGAAGAGCAGCGTTCTGCATAATAGGCACGCGCTTGTACGATCCATTCTGGTGTTTGAAGAACATAGCAGCAGTCCAGTAGTTGCTATGAAGTATTAGAGGTGTTCTACGTATGTTTTAAAAGCGAAAAAGCTACCTGAAGTCCTCGGAGAACGTGCAAGTCGTGCAGGTAGCCAGAGTGCTCGGATCCTTGTTCATGGTTGCGTTGAACGCATTGCCGCCCACGATCTGATGGACGTGAGCAGATGGCAGCTTTCCAGGCTCGACGAGCGGGTCGAGGCGCTGAATGCTCAGTGTTGAGCAGCCGAAGCGGAGCGCAGCTTGCGCTGGTGCGACGAGAGCAGCGATTTGGTACAATCTCATCTTGATGCAATGAATGTCAGGAAAGAGTTAGAAAAGTTTGAGGTATCTTGGACAAGCTCTGGGCCGCCATCATCTTATGCTCTCATCTCACAAAGTCCTTCATAACTTGCAGACCTGTCGTTACACAAGATACAGGGCCTCGAGGAGGTTCATGGTGTTGAAACGCTTTACCCTCGTTTATCCATAGCATGCCTGTAGCCAATCGTGATTTTTTCTGGAACATTTCCCCGCATAACCAGCACAACGGAGGCTACACATTCGTCCACCATATTAATATGATCGCCACGGCACTTAGCTCCCGCATAAATGTCCGACGAGCACGGCACTTTTGGTAGATCTTCTGCACGTCTTGGACGAATGATAAAGCTCCGTTGCAATCTCGCGCAGTAAGACCAATATATGCTATATGACGACAAGCACGCACTGAGCTCGTGAACGTGTAGCCAAGTCCAGGCAGAGTGCGACAAGCTTCGTTCTATCGAATGATCACCAAGCTTGTGATGAGTGGGTGGAGAGGAGCCTTGGGGATCTTGAAAAGTGGTCGCGGAAAGGAAGACAATTTGTGTGATTGCGGCAGACTCATGCTTGCAAAAAATAATCTTGTGGCCAGCACAAAGTACCAGGCCGAAAGCCCTCGTGAATGGGGCCTGATAGGGAACCTTGGAAGCTATGAGCTGGACAAGCGATAGGGTCGTCAGCTATGATCCACGGCTTTGCAGTTAACCTTCCTCTTACGGCAGCTGCGTGACATGAACAACACATGCCGAATTATTGGTCACGCAAACACATGTTATGGATATCCACGAAAGCTCAACACAGCTTCCGCATCCACATCGTCTCTTCATTCGTCCTGATGGTAGATGGAATGTCGGATGCAACGCTACGTTGCCTAACAATTTCTGTACTGCTTGAAGGCTTTCGACTGACACAATGACGTAATGACTACTCTGCTCTTATGCCACGAAATCGAACCTCGAACTGCTGTGGAGTCGCTCCAAGTCGTGTCTGACACGAAACTTTGTGGTTATGGGTGTTTGCTCCTACATCCAACAGACTTAGGTAGTCAACATTGTCGAGTCGACCGCTTTCTATCACCAAACAACCGCACTACTGGACCCCGCGATGCATACTCCGCGCCTTAGGCTCTTGGCACCAACTTCCACCTGTAGGTGGCGATGGTGCAACAAGCAGCTCTCGATTGAAATCCAATTCTCAACGTTGTAATCCTCGTTAGCTCCCTCACATCGTACAATATCCTTAATTGCAGTCGACCATGGCAGAAGCAAAGACTTACAATGTTCCAAAAACATGCAAAGCAGGCGTAGTCATCAACGAGGGCCCAGACTTCAAGCTCGAAGTCGAAGATGTGCCAGTACCTGAGCCCGGTAAGACCTACTCCTAAGCATGAAGGGAGCAACAAGCGTCTAACGTCACATGACAGGACCAAACGACGTCCTCATCAAACTAAACACCACAGGCATCTGCTACTCGGACATCCACTACATGCTTAACGACCTCCCTTTCCCCACCATGTCCTCCTTCGGCGTCCGTAGCCCCGGCCACGAGGGTGCAGGCATCGTTGTCAAACTCGGGTCCAACGTGAGTAACTGGAAAGTCGGCGAACGCGCAGGTATCAAACCCGTATACGACGTATGCGGGTCTTGCGAACTCTGCTGGACCGGGAAGGAAGCTTACTGCGATGAAAGTCCCCAGATTGGCTTGCAGTTCACGGGGAGCTATCAGCAGTATGTACTCAGTCCGGCAAGATATACGCAGCGCATTCCGGAGGGCGTGGATGACTTTAGTGCGGGCCCGATTATGTGCTCTGGCAGTACTATTTACTGCTCGCTCAAGGAGAGTGGGCTGAAGCCGGGTGACTGGGCTGTGTTTCCTGGCGCAGGAGGAGGGGTGGGTCATATGGGAGTTCAGCTTGCGAAAGCGATGGGTATGCGGGTTGTTGGTGTTGATGGAGGTGAGGAGAAGAAAGCGCTGTGCATGAAACTTGGGTGTGAGGCTTTTGTCGACTTCACGAAAGTTGATAATGTGGCTGAGGAGGTCGTCAAAATCTGTGATGGGAGAGGCGCACATGGAATATTTGTGACGGCTACGAGTGCCTCGGCGTATTCAAGTGCGCCTATGATGGCTAGAATTGGTGGCAAGATTATGTGTATTGGTCTACGTAAGTGCACAGGATAGGTAGGTATGACTGGGTGATACTGACGACCTATAGCTCCTGCTGGAACTGCTATCGCGGGAGGAGATCCGCTGCTCATGGTGGGGAAGAACTTGCATGTCATTGGCACCAAAGTGGGTTCACTTTACGACACTACAAAAGCGCTAGAGTTTGCTGCTCAAGTAAGATCCCAACACCGCGCTCACAGTTCTGCCTAACAGTTGGTTAGGGAAAGCTCAAGCCTATATACGAAGTATTCCCAGTCGCAAGAATGCCAGAGGCTGTTGAAAAGCTTCGAGGTGGCAAGGTGGCGGGTAGGCTCGTAGTTGACTTTAACGCATGAGGAGTGTTCTGGTTAAGAAGTCACAGCAATTATGTGCATCGGGCGCAAGGGAGTTGCACAAACGTCATTCGACGCTCTTTATTGACGATCAGACGTCTTCTTTGAAACATTTTTGCCTGCTTCAAGCATTCGTCTTTCGCCGTGCACTTAATCCCATCTTCCAGAAATCTTGTCCTGCACCCACTTCGGCACCTTAGGCTTCTTTTCCCACCCAGTCTTCCACCCCTCCTTCCACCCCTCGACACTCGACGGCATGGCAAACACAGCCGTGACAAACCACGCCGTCTCATCCGCCTTAACATCCTTGCGGACAAGCGGCAACACACTCCTCGCCTCCACCAAATTCGAATTCGCATCTGACAGAATAACACTCCCTTTCCTCATACCCTGATACAGCTCCGTGATACCAACAGCGCCCGTCCGCGACGCGGCAAATGCACTGTTCGTCGTCGTCTTCTGGCCCTCACCGTCGCCGATGAATTCAGGGAGTTCAGCGAAGACTTTGCCGTCTTTGGCGCGGCACCCGTAGACTGACCACGCGCCCTCGGCGGTCATGAGATCGCGCTTCGTCCGGATGCGGTGAACGCGCAGATGGAAGTTTGGCGTGTCCTCTGTGGGTGGAATCAGGTATGTCAGCACGTCGACATCGTGCCAGGGCTTCATGCTGGACACGAGTACGGGGACGCCATCGTGGGTTTCAATCTCTGAATCGCCGTTGTGCGCGCGGCGCATTTTCCACAATTCGCCGCCGTCTTCGGAGAGCGCGAGCGAGGACTCTGGGACGAATTGCTCCAGCTCTTGGTAGCCGGTGGACACGGAGTATGCAAAGGCTGCGCTGTAGGCGAATTTGCCGTACTTTGCGTTGGAGTTTTTGATGGCGTAATGGCATGACTGGCCGCTGGAGAGGAGGAACGAGTGGCCGCCGCTTCGCACCATGATGTGGCGGGGATGTGGGAGAGGTCTAACAATGCGCTGGTTTGCGTATGGATGGGGTTCCTCGGGTGCACTCCAGAATGGATGACTTTCCGGCATAGCGAGCGCCGCAAAAGACAACATACACCAGTACGGAGACTGAGGGGAGTTGTAATTTTCGGCAAGATAGGTGTTTGGATACGAGTAGCCAACTGTTAGCATACCGTTCGGTTGGAAGATGTCGTGCTGTGTAGTCCACCATCGTAGGTTTCGGAGCCATATACCCTTGACGACACCCCAGGATAGTGGCTCTGGAAGCTCGACGTCAGCAAACGCTACTGAGCTCCAGAAAGCTGACATAGCCCAGCGGTACGTTAGTGAGCGTCCGAATGTGATGGCTCGGCCTTCTGGGTCGAAGTAGTGCACAAAGTCAAGAGCATAGAGCTTCGCCCGCTGTTTGTACTCTTCTGCTTGCTCTGGGTCGATGTCTGCTGCGAGCTTTGCGTAGAGAAGTTGCAAATATTGAATGGCGAATGATCCAGAGTAATAGTCCATTTGTCTGTAATGCTCAGGCCCATCGTTTGACCATCCATCGCCACGGTAGAATGTGTTGAGTTGCTTGATATCGGCTTTGAGCTGGTCTCTTGACCAGTTCGCTCCATTCCGCTCGAGCCCGAGGTTGGCGAAGACACGGAACCACAGCCTATCAAGGACTCAATACGACAGCTCATGAATTGGTTATAAGGAAAATGAAACGTACCAGTTCGTGTTGGGCATTTCCTTGCTGTTCATACTCCCTACCCATGTCTCAACGTTCTTCTTTTGCTTGTCCGTCAACGGATCCCAGAAGTCTTTATTCGCAACCGCAAGAGTGAACCCAATCGGACATGCCTCGACCATCCTCTGATCGATATTGTCCATATATCCCCAAAACTCTTCATTCTCAGGATCCGTTCCAGAGATCAATCCCTGTACAAACTTTTCCGAATGGGCATACTTGCTGCCACCAGCAAGCAGTGGTGCCAATCCCCACAGTGGACGAGCATATCCTTCGACCTGTGCGGCTGTTTCGTCAAACCTCGTGCCCGTGCTACCTACCTTGATCATGGCATTTTGCGGAGAAAATCCCGGAACCAGCGGATCTAGCAGCGAAGTCACAGCGGCAACCACATCGTCACGCGTCTTAAGCGGATTCGTGGAGAATGGGTGCAGCGCAAAGGCGCGGTTGGCGTTTGCTGTGGCGGCAGTCATCCTTTGAAGATACTCCAATCACTATCCAGAGACGTCGAGAAGAACGAGACTTGATCTTTCAGCCGCGGGAACACCTTCCTGCAATTGGCGATGTATGTCGAGTTCTCGACTTGCACACAGTTGTGGCTGAAGTCGGATTCGGCACACAATGCTTCGACGTGCGGATGCTCGGGGTTTTCGTGTGAATTGTCGCCGAAAGCCCTGATTCGACAAAGCCAAGAGCAAGGAGACGGGTTGATGAGTCCGGACGAATGCTATGTGGCTATTTCAAAAGCTTGTCTTGGGACGCGGGTTGAGATGTAGTCGCTGTATAGGATCGACGTGCTTGGCTTCGGCGTCTTCTTAAGTTAAGTGGTAGCTCGGTTCTTTATCGTTATTATGAACTGCTCGGACAGATTGCGTTGTGGAGACCGTCTTTTGCCTGAAGAGCGGCGTCAACCGCCAGCATGATTCAATGCAACACACTAATGCAGCGACTCGAACTCCACCTCTCGCAATCACGCGTCGCTCAGTCGTGGGGCAATGGATGGTCTAACCCCAGCCTGCATCCAATTCACGGATAAATGCAGGTTGCTCACGATAGCCGTAGCGCCTCCTACAAGCGGGGGATGGGCACGTCTGAAACCCAAAGCAGACTCGTGCGCCGTTGCTTCCCCAGCTGCACACCAAGACCGATGAAAGAGTAGGGAAATGTGCCAAGTCCATCTGACCCTCAATTGGACGGAAGAAGTGCTAAGCTTGGCGATCTCCAAGACGCATTTTGTCAACTTCCACCACTCCGCTGCCAGATCTCCCTCTGGGCGTGCAGCGCGAACGCTTTCTAGAATTTGAGGCGCAACAATGGGGAGGCTCTCATTCGACAATGTGGCTAGCATCACGGTGCGATGGAGTCAGAATCGGGAGCTAGGTGGACGGTCTGTGGTGGAGTCGTGTTGCATGTAGGGATGTGGAGTATGGGGAAAGAGGGCGCGCTGGAGTGCAAAGACCGCGGCGGCGGAACGTTAGTCTTGCCAAGGGGGCTTAAACAGAAGCATGGACCGTAGTCCCGTGCGTTGTATATAGGTAACGTGCGTTTCCTGGAACCTGGGGTTTGTCAATCAGTCTGTGGAGCCAGTTCCTCTTCTCCCCATTGTTGACGATCCGGGGTTGTCTGCAGACGAATCTTTGCAACGGCTCCACTGCCTCCCCATAGGTATGTCTGATGCGTATAGAACGTTCAAGCAGACTGAATTGACAACGATTAGGGCATTACTTCTTATCGCAGTGTTTAAACCGCAATCATGGTTTCCACCGGTGCAAAGATCATTCGCATGATCGTCAAGAACGATGCTGTGAAATCCGACCCGCCTGAGATATACGGATGGCGCGCCTTCGCCATGGCTGGTTCTGCCTGTTTCGGAGGCATGTTGTTTGGCTTCGATATCGGTACTATTGGCGGTGTGCTCGAGCTGAAGGAGTTCAAAGAGTAAGTTTCGCAAATCTATTTCGACAACGATTCCCCAGTGGACTAATTTTCGACCACAGAAAGTATAAGATCACCGGTAACGCCAAGGCAGTGGCTGATCTCAATGCCAATATCGCCTCGACTCTCCAGGCCGGGTGTTTCGTTGGTTGCTTCGTCGCCTCCTGGATGGCTGACAAGTGGGGACGCAAGTTCGCTCTCCAAATTGCTGGACTGATTACCATTGTCGGCTGCGTCTTCCAGGCTGCTGCTCTCGGACACATCGAAGTCATGTACATTGGACGTCTAATCGCCGGTGTCGGTGTCGGCATGGCCTCCATGGTCGTGCCACTGTACATTTCAGAAAACTCTCCTCGTGCCATTCGTGGCGGTCTGACCGGTCTCTACCAACTCTTCATCGCCACTGGAACCTGTCTCGCTTTCTGGGTCAACTACGGTTCGCTGCTGCACTTGTCTGGCAGCGCTACGGTTTACATTGTCCCGCTCGCTCTTCAGGCACTTCCTGCTGTCTTGCTTTGTGGCTGCATGGCTCTCAACAAGGAATCCCCTCGATTCTTGGCCAAGCAGGATCGCTGGGAAGAGGCGAACAGCGTGCTTGCTCGCATGCGTAATTTGCCTGTTACGCACGAGTATGTGCAGAGTGAGATCAAGGATATCGCCGACCAGCTCGAGCACGAGCGCATGCTCGTTGCTGGTGCTACCGTCAAGGATCTCCTCAAAGAGATGTTCACGATTCCTGGTAACCGCAAGCGTGCCCTCATCTCCATCGGCCTCATGATTTGCCAGCAGATGACCGGAACCAATGCCATCAACTACTGTGAGTTGCCAAATTCTGCATCGATCATGAAGCACCACTGACGTTTTGTCCTCAGACGCACCCCAGATCTTCAAGGCCCTCGGTCTCCAAGGTAACGAAGTCAAGCTCTTCGCCACTGGAATCTACGGGTAAGCTCCATTCCCCCCTACGCTTTTCGACCCATCTAACAGTACCAGCGTCGTCAAAATGGTCGGCTGCCTCTGCTTCCTAATCTTCGCCGCCGACTCCCTGGGCCGCCGCCGTTCGCTGCTCTGGACCTCCATCGCCCAAGGTCTCTCCATGTACTACATTGGTTTGTACATGCGCATCGACCCGCCCATCGCAGGCCAAGCCGTGCCTCCTGCCGGCTACTTCGCACTGGTCTGCGTGTTCCTGTTCGCGTGCTTCTTCCAGTTTGGATGGGGTCCCGTGTGCTGGATCTACGTATCCGAGATCCCCGCGGCGCGACTGAGATCGCTGAACGTGGCTATCGCGGCGGCAACACAGTGGCTGTTCAACTTTGTTGTTGCGCGCGCTACGCCGAATATGATGGCCACTGTTGGAAAGGGTGGTTATGGGTAAGACGCAACTCCACCAACACGACCCTTGGAAGTAAACTAACATATCCGCAGTACTTTCCTCATCTACGGAACGTTCTGTCTCTCCATGTTCATCTTCGTGTGGTTCCTCGTTCCCGAGACCAAGGGTCTGTCGCTCGAGCGCATGGACGACCTGTTTGGTTTGACTGAGATGGTCAAGAACATTGAGGCTGATCGCGAGAACCACGCTCACTCTACCACGACGGAGCTTGACTTGGATGGCAAGAACGTGACGAGGGAGGAGCGCAAGGAGGTAGTCAACTGAGATGATGATCTGGACCTTCGTTGGATAATTACTGTTGCTGAGATGAATGACGAGCCTATGTTGAGTTTGTGGACAGTTTGATCCTCTTGCTCCAAGACTCTCGTGCTAGTTTTACGTGTGAAGCCCTGTCATGCCCTTCTTGACGTTGCTTTTCCAAGCTGCGGTTGTGCTGTCGAGCAAGAACGAGTCAGCAATCGCGATATTAACGACTTGGCCGAGCGTATGCTGCTTGTATGATTGTATGCCTACTCGAGTATACTATGCTACCATCTTATGCAACTTGCAGTACGACATGAAGCTTTACAGCATTCTCGCGCAAGCTTATCCGCGCCTCAAAAAACACGACAGATCAAAACGCCTTATCCCGATTGCCGAAGAAAGCCATTTGGAGTCTCTCATTTGTCCACACTTAAGCCTCCTTTACGGGGTTCTCGCCTTCCTGCAAAATGCCCTGCTTGACGAGCTCGTCTGGGCTCGGCCTGTGCTTCAGGCCCTTCTCGAGGCTGTCCGCGCGCATGTGAAGATCGAGCTCCCTCTGGTGTTGCTGGAGAGCAGGCGCGGCCGTCGAGTCGGGGAGGATGTTCCGCTGGATGAGGTCGTCACGTGCAGGGCGCTGGTTCAGGCCCTTGCGCAAATTGTCTGTCGCGCGCTGGCGCTCCAGCTCCAGCGCTTTGGCTTGCAGTGCTCTGTTGTTGGGGCTGTTAGCTGGGCAGGATCAACTGTGGGGAACAATGCGGGGAAGATGCATTGCTCAAGATTTGTACGAGTAGAGAGGTCAGAACATACGGAGCCGTGGTGGTATCCAGGAGAATGTGTCGGTTCTTGAGGTCCTGAGCTTCCGGTCGGTGCTGCAGGTGCTTCTCCAAGCTGTTGCGGCGCTCGTTGCTGCGGACGGGGGAGATGGGCGTCTCGTCGACGACCACGGCGCTGTTGTTGTCTTCAGAGGCCATGATGATTGCGTGTTAGCTTGTAAAGTGTTTGGGTGAGTTCGGGACTAATTGGCAATTGCACTGATCAAAAGGTACGTAGGCGGTGTACTTTATGGGAGCTTGCGGGTGAGCTGACGAGCCGGGCTTTGTACCTGTTGCGGGGCGGGCCCTGCATATGGCAACCTTCCAAGGAACCGCCCAAAGTCAGGTGCCATCACGTAACGTCTCACATGGCAACCATGCGCTGTCAATCACGGTTTCTGCTCGTGTATTTGACTCCAAGTTGGATGCTGTGAGTCGACTTGTTTCTGGAGCCCGGCGTCGGGGCCATCGTGCGAGAGGCTATGACGTGCAGGGTCTTTGCACGTGGAATGCTCATCTGCTTTCGTCTCATGCAGGTCCGACTAAAATCGACGTTTCGGATACACTCTCAACCACGACCCATGCTGTTCGATGCAATGCAAGCAAATGTTCATGTCTATAACTTAGGGCTGATATTTGCACATCCAATACAGGTACTTTCTAAAGCCCTCCACGTGATTCCTCAGCCACCTTCGCCGCCCAAATCTAAACCTTCCACGGTGTGACCGGAGGCGTCGCCGCCGCCATAACGTCAGACTTCTCGCTACACGCTGTGACGGTCGTAGTGGCTGTGCCAGGAACGTTCGTGACTGCGTGACAGGGCTACATTCCGACTCGTCAGCATCTCCCAAACTGTATTACACAGCCGCGTCGCAAATACTCACAAGCCCCAGACCTAGCACAAGTGTCTCCAAAGCACACCCATGGCAATCTGTATATGATGTCGCGGTCGCTGTATGCTGCAAGAAGGTACAATCTTGCACAAATGCGGGCTCCCGGAACACGGTGAGTGTGCATGTAGGTTGGGGAGTCATGGTTGGTGTGGGCGCGGAATTTAGCGGCGAGCATGCTCTGGTTGCAAGTTAGGAATGCTCTACCAGCACCGGATTCTAGCCAACATACGATCGAGTTGCCAGCGCAATCAGAATAGCTGTCGAGAAAGTAAACTGCATCGTGCCTTGTCGTAAAGTGTCTGGAAGAGTATGCTTCGAATGCGTTCTGTCAAACCTTCCACATCCGGCGCATATGTACTTATATTCCCAGCGGATCAACCGGGGGTGGTAGTAGTGTCTCACTTAATATCATCATCTTCACCGAAAGAATGTGTTCTTAATGAAGGTAGGGAAAGGGGTCCTGGTGATTACGAAAGAAACTCCATTAAACTCATTAGCCACGGAAATGACCGTGTCAGACTACGTGAGTGGCGTTCAGTCCTCGAATGTACATCGACCCTAACTCCATGTTTGAAGCATAAGCAGACGAAGCAAATGACTATCGAGACTGCGGCAATAGTGAGATCACTTTTTCCATCAATGCACCCCAGGCATCATCCTAGCGTCCGTCCAGGGATCACCCTTGCATTCCCCTCATTCCAGCGCAATTTATACCGGCGAGTGTAACGTATGCACTTGAACTGCTTACGCGCCGTCATCCTCACCGAGGCGGACGGCACCCTCGCTGTTGAGACCGTTGGACCAGAAGCCGTTGAGCTCAACGTCGCTCTCACGCAGCTTGGCGTGAGTGATCAGAAGCCAGGCACCAAAGACACCCTTGGCGAGAACGTCCAAGATAGCGTAGGCAATGACTTCACCGTCAACACCGATCTTGCGGGAACCGTCGGCAAGACCCCAGACACTATATACTATCAGCAGGGCAATGGTAGTAGAATACGGGGTACTTACATGGGGTAGGCGGTCCATAGGAGGAGGGTGTATCCACCAATGGCAACGAAGAACGAGCGAAGCTTAGGTCCCTTGCTGGTAGCGTTGGCGCCGCCGTTCAAGGCAAGGTGCCAGATGACAAAGATGTAGGCAATGCAGGCAATGGTGTACCAGCCCCACTTCTGGGGAGTACCCTCCTCGCCAAAGGCAGCGAACAGTCCAGTCAAGATCATGATCAAATCAGCGACAATGGCCATGATGATGTGTCCACCAGACATGCCAGCCAGGAGACCAAGGTCGAGGAGCAGGAGAGGAGTGGTGACGCTCCAGTCGACGTAGCGGGCCCAGAAGACCTGGCGGTGCACCTCAGTGAATGTGTCGGGGACATGGTCGTGCTGCTCGCGGACGATGATCTTCTGGACGGAAACACCGTGTCCGGTGGCCATGGCGAAGTAAGAGAGCGCCGCGAAGATGGTGATCATGGTGGTGATGGTGTGATAAAGGCGCTTGGACTGAATGACGTATTAGTATGGTTCGGTGCCAGTTCGTGGGCGACAACTTACGAGAGGAACCCTCCATGAGAGCGCAGTGAATCCAGCAGACGCGATGATCATGAGGACGAAGACAACCCAGAGGGTCTTCTGGCCAGATTCACCAATGAATTGGAGCTCTGGGGTCGTGGGAACGACCGAAGGAATGGGAGCCACATGGGTGGGCGAGGCCGTGGGGAGGGGAAGACCAGAAGTCTTCTTCAAGACCTCCTCGAATTGTTCGACGAGCATGCTGGCGGTAGTGATGGTTGATCTAGGAACTGAATTGATTCGAGTCCTGTGGATTGGAAGAGTTGAGAGAAGAGGCTGGAGGCCGCGGGTTATAAAGAGCGGAGCTGCTAGGCAACTGTTTCATGCACGTAATGGGGCGTGTGCGGTCAGCTGTGCACAGCTTGCGGCAGGAGCTATACAAAGCTGGAAGTCACGACGTCATTGGAGCTGCGTCCCCTCACGGCATGCACGGGCGCCAGCGCTTTATTGGCTAGAACGCATCATCGTCGAGCTGTGAACCCTGCCCAAGCGCGCCAGCTTGAGAGCTCGTAAGCTTGTAGCAGTACAGAACATTGCCAATTCATCGCAATACCGTTCAATGCACGAATACGACACTGCTGTTTGCTTCAATTGCTGCCGTTGATGTCGCTGGGCGGACGGCCAGACGCACGAGCGTTTCGCGTTGGCGCTTGTTGTGATGCGATTTTCAGAAATGGCATGACATCGACGATGTACCCCACATTTGTCTCCTCAGCGATCGGGAGCATCATCACGTGATATCTTCGCGGCGCGTCCAGGCTCAGCCTCGCAAACCTGTTTTCAGTCACGCCAGCGCTATCGACTTTCCATTTTTCAGCCTCGTCAACACAATCCGCCCTGTCAAAGAATAGAGTTTTGACTTGTGACGATTGATTATCCTCGTTAGTGCGATGCTTCTCACAAATCGAATATAATGCAACGCTGGCCATCGAAACCCCTCAGCCGCGTACCTCTTGGCAAACCTTCGATGGCAAGAACTGCCGACCTATGGGACGATCAAGCAAAATGCGGAGTACATATAGATCAGCATCTCCCTTGCTTGTTGTCCACATGTTACCGCCTTTGGCCTCACATACAGCCGGCGCGAGCCGAACGCTGGCGTTGATTCGACTTGCTGCACAGTATACTCCGTGGAAACACCGACAAGTACCTCTTAGGCCAAGGGTGTTCACGGGGTACAATCACGTACTGCTGACATGAGGTGACATGGCTATAGAACTCCACGATTGCAGTGCTGAGTCTACGACGATCCTGTCAAAGTACCTCCGACGATCGCCGTACACAACCTCAAGATGCCAAGGTCGAGTGCGCGGCTTCGGTAACTCAGGCTGTTGGTGCAATCTGATACATCGACACCCCGCATCACTTCTCGCCTTGGAACTACAAGGTAAATCATGCGCTGTATGTGAGTACCCTGCCGGACGTTTTGCTCATTGAAGAAGATGAAACGCAGTTTCGTCCTATATTACACAGACAACTCGAATAGTAGCGAGATCAGACGACTTTCTCCATGTCAGTAGTACGTTTTACCACGCAAGCATGTTGTGCCTCCACCTCCACCACCTCTGCATTCAGGAACACCCAGCGCATTCACAACTATGCCATTGTCAATTCTTACATTCTTTCACAACAATCTCATCACGGTGGCTATGCCCAGTCATATTCCCTGATCTTGCAGTATCGTAGACGCTCAACCTCCACGGCAGATGAACATCCTCCCAGGGCCATCTTAGTGTGTTGCCCCAGGCACGTGACCAGGCACGCAAGAACGATGCATCACCCCGTGGGATATGTGAAGGTATCCGTCCAGGGTCGCGTTATTATCGGTGCCTTCTGGTCGAGCCTCAGGTCGGGAAGCGTCTTCGGTGGAGCTATCAGAATATTGAGCCCATCGCACTCCACACTCCGCACTCCGCACGCCACACTCCGAGAAGAATTGCTCGCTAGAGAAGTCCGCGACCGAGGTTCAAAGTTGATGCAGATGAGATCAAGTGAGGCGACCGTCTAATTTGAAACAAAGGGCCTCACACAAGCGTAAACTCACCCTTTATCAGCCTTCCCATTCTGCCGAATTACGCCCGAGGACCACCAGGGTAATCGCAGTTCGCGGTCAATCCAGGCCCATGCACTCAAAGCTGGGCAAAGATTTGGCGGACTTGGGCCCCGTAGCTCTGTAATAGGTCGAATAACATGCCTAGTGATTGGCCAATGAGCAGAAGGCTTCTTGTTGGGTCCAAATCACTAAGGACTCTGGAATCAGACGTGCACGTAATCAACGAGGAGCCAGGCCATTGACGAGGAGCTAGGCTATTGACGAGGAGACTTGCTTCAACGAGAAGATATGTTTTCAACAGCCTAGTAATTAGCTAATAAGCAGAAGGCTTCTTGTTAGGCTAAATCACTAAGGACTCTAGAGTAATAGGGAATCAGACGTGCACGTGATCAACGAGGAGCTAGGCCATTAACGAGGACCTAGGCCATTAACGAGACTTGCTTTAACGAGGAGATATGTTTTCAACGGGCTAGGGGCTTCAGCGGGCTAGGGGCTTTAACGGGCTAGGGGCTGTAAATAGATCCTCATAACTCCTCACGTGACGCGCTTAGGCCATCTTATTGATAGCGAGGAACATCAAAACCACGGGCACGGACGAAAAACGTCGTCTTTGCACGGCGACGGCGAGGGCTACAGAGGATATTTTTCCTCCGGAGTTGGATATTCTAGTAGGGGCGAATTAGACGGTCCCTTCGGGATAGCTACTGGCCCTTCGGGACCGCTGCGCGGTGAGACCGATATTCTAAACTATAGATTAGATATCCAACCCATCACAAAGCGGAAATGCTGAGGCTGAATGAAGTGCAATTCGCACCTCGTTGGACAGGTAGGCTAGAGCGAGTATCCACAAAAGTTGACCAACTGTACCTTCTTCAACTATGAGCGGCTCTGCGGCTCGGCAACGTTCTCAAAAGAGACCACGACTGCACACACGAGGCAATCTCTCCGAGCTAAGTATCCCGCGTTGACATGCTCGGCGAGATGGTCTATGGACCACACTTTTGCTAGGCCCAAACCAGGTCATTCACCACGATACTTTACGTACTGTCGGGCGCAGGTCTTACATTAGGTATTTACTTTTGCAGACGGTGCAGTCCGACTCTGCTCGAGCATCATGCCTTGAGTGTCATGTGGGAGTCTATATACTACGGCTGATTAAGCGACCGTTTCCACACCGCTGATTCGCCGGGAGCGACTTCCTCTCGCCCAATGCGACAACCGCAACCGTCACAGTCGCCCATCACCAGCACCGTTTGCTCACCGACTTCAGTCTGCATCGCTCCTGGCAGCACATGGCGACCCCCAAACAGCGTCCGGAGCCTATCTCCACGCCAGCCCACTCGGTCGATTGCATGACGAGAAATACGCCTAGCGCCGACATCAAGGTGCTCGAATTGGCGTTTTTTCACGCGGACTGTCAGTTGAGCAGTCAAAGCAGGGCCCAAGCCTGCACAAGCAACTCAAGCATCTTCCCACGCGTCCATCACGGTGCTTTTTCCTGATTTCTGCTGTTATATATTGCGGCTTATAAGCTTTCATCGACGAGCAGAACCACTTGGCTGGATTTCCTGCGTCTCGGCACTTCTGCACATCTACCACGGTTCTGGTTGCGCTACCTTAGACGAGCCTGGTTACCGCTCACGATAGTCTACCGCGGTACTTCACGGGACCCCTCTTCAATAGAAGAGTAGCCGATAGGCTGAGACTTGAAGACAATATCTTTCGCATACTTCGTCTTCGTCCACAGTACACACATCACACATCACACGTCACACTTACAACCATGGAGGCTGCTATGGAGGTAGCACGACTTGTGCTGCGTCAAGACGACGGTTCTGCTACTGAAGAAGCGCCTGCGCCAGCTTGTGAAACCCAGAACTCATACGACGGTCGTATGGGTGTCCGCATCTCCGCCATCTTCGTCATCATGGCTGGATCTCTCTTCGGTAAGCAATATCCCGTGCGCCATCGTAACAGTGCGAATTTGTATTGACAATGACCAGGTGCCCTCTTCCCGACCTTTGCAAAGCGAAGCGACTCCAAACTGGTACCATCGTGGGTATTTTTTGGTGCCAAGTACTTTGGATCTGGTGTCATTATCGCCACAGCTTTCATTCATCTTCTCGCGCCTGCAAATGAGGCACTGGGCGCCGAATGCCTTACCGGAGTCATCAAGAAGTACCCATGGCCCGAAGGCATCGCCCTCATGACCATCTTCGCCATGTTCTTCCTCGAGCTCATGGTAATGCGCTATGGCGACTTTGGAGGTGACCATGACCACTCGCATGGTGCTAGCCATAGCCACAGCGACGAAATGAGCATGGAAGAGCGTAAGAGGACCCCTGAAGACGTCGAGGGCCACGCTGCCGACCCCAACCTCCGCGGTGAAGACCACCTCGGCCATCAGCGCGATCACGTCGCCAACGAACAGATCGGCAGCGACTGGCAGGTTCAGCAGATTATTCCGGAGACGTACGCGGCGCAACTCACTGCCGTCTTCATCCTCGAATTCGGTGTCATCTTCCACTCCATCTTCATCGGTCTGACGCTTGCCGTCTCGGGCGAGGAATTCATCACGCTCTACATCGTCCTCGTGTTCCACCAGACATTCGAAGGTCTCGGTCTGGGCGCTCGTCTGGCAGAGGTACCTTGGCCAAAGTCTAAGCGATGGACGCCATATCTGCTTGGTCTGGGCTACGGCTTGTCGACGCCGATTGCCATCGCCATCGGTCTCGGTGTGCGCCAGAGCTTTTCGCCTGAAGGCCGCACGAACTTGCTGGTCAATGGTATTTTTGATTCCATCTCCGCTGGCATCCTCATCTACACGGGCTTGGTTGAGTTGATGGCGCACGAGTTCATGTTCAGCCCGTATATGCAGAAGGGTCCGGTCAGCAAGACGATTAATGCGTTTACGCTGATGACGCTTGGTGCTGGTGAGTTTTTTTATTACCCTTCCTTGTAATAATGGTATGTGCCTTGCTAACGAAATCTAGGCCTGATGGCACTTCTTGGATACTGGGCTTAGAGGCTTTGCCGATCTCGGTCTGATCTTCATTCCTGCGATACGGGCAGGCGTCTGGGTAGATTTCGTGTACATCCATCTTTCTGATACCCGTAGATATTTCGTCACTTTCACACATAGTAATAGACATGACATACATCGTTGCTTTCACGAAACATACTCTTCATCAAGATCATATGCAGTGAGGATCTAGTTTGATCGTTGGCTTGCTCAAACGTAATGTGATATTCGATATTTCGGCTATTCTCGATTGGAAAAAACACGGGGGTATCATTAAACTACACACATACAAGTACAACGGGAACCGCCCAAACATGGCTTGCTGTTAGTCAGCAAAAAAATCTCATCCAAGATGCGAAAGAAGACTAGCTAGCTAGTAGACGACACGCAAGCCCTGGCGTCGCCGTGACAATGTGACCGACGGAGATCGAAGCATCTCAGATCCGATTCGATACAGGTAAGCGAGCAACAGAAGTAGCCGAAAAGAGGGCGGCCCGTGAGATCAGACATTACTGATTGGTGGTAGATGAAATAAGCGAGAGGATGCATCGGCCGTAGCAAAAGACAAAAAAGGAAACGGTCGTTAGTTGACGTTGGAATCGCATCCAACGTATATTCCGTAACGCCGGTTCGTTTATGCAAATGCCCACCTCCGAGCAGAATAATTGTAAACGCCAGATCGCACAATCAAGGAAAATCGCGGGGGTATGTAGATTTGGTATCAACAAAGGAAATAAAATGGCGAATGCAGATGTTATGAAAGGGCCTCGATGGAGGCTTGAAGGCGCTGTATGCGCTCTTCGAATGGGGAGCCGAGAGAGGCTGTTGAGCCAGGTATGGGTGGAGCGAGGGCGTCTAAACCGTCAATGTCCACGCCGCTGTCGCGGTCGACGATGCGCTCCATTGCGCCTGCGAAGAAGGGCGAGTCGAGTGCTTCAAGGCCGTCGATGGAGCGGTGGAGCGGGCTCCAAGGGCTGAGAAGACCCTTAGATTCCTCTGCTTGCGTGTTGTCGTCTTCGTCGTCGTCTTCGGCGATGAGCACGCGGCCACCGATTTTGACGTCGCTGGGCCGGACCTGGTATTCTAGTGCTTTTTGGCCGTCTTTGATGAGCTGCTCTGTCCAGTTCATGCACCGCTTCAGACTCTGGTTCATCTTCTGGCTGTCGAGGAGTAGATCCCGGTGTTTCGACAGGTCGAGCTGTAGACGTTTCTCGTCCTTGAAGCGGTGGGCCTCGTCTCGCTCTAGCTGAGCTGATGGACTTAATTGGCTTTCGTCAAAAGAATCCTCACTGCTTTCGGGCTCTTCCTCCTCAGGTTCTTCCAGCTGGTCTCCTTCGTCTTCTTCTGACATGTCGGATAGGTCACCAACATGACTAGCACTATGCAGGGGCGAGCTTTCCAGAGCTGCGCCAGCTGTATCGACGGAGAAGCGGCCAGCTCTGCTCATGCGGCGGAACCTCCTAATCTCAGCCTTTTGCTTACGGACCTCTTTTTCGAGTGAGCGGTTGATCGCGAGCAATGAAGAGTTGCTGATCTCAAGATCCAGTACTTTCCGTTCGCGACGCGCATTCGCAGCGAGCTCGTTCATTGCTTCCAGTGCGCTCTGAGTGCCGTCTCGCTTAGTCGGGCTTGTTGAGGTTGGAGATGGAAGTCCAGAGAACGAGGCTAATGGCGGAGATGGCATGGACGCCATGCTGTCAGCGACAGACGCTATACTCACGACCCGCCTCTCGGTATTCAGTGGACTGGGTGCGTGGCCTGCAGGATCGGTGGACGGTGCATGCTTCGGATCCGTCACGGAGTCGATGGAAGACAAGCTAGCACTCTTGCCGTGACTTCCCCTCATGGCGTAGGATGCGGCACTGGAACGTCTGCTGGGGCGGTCTGGCACGTCGGGAGTTGGCGGCCCAGAGAGGATGGACATTGCAGAATTGCGCGAAACTATTGATGGTCGCATCACCTGGGATGCACCCTTTCGATAGGATAGATGCGCCCACTCCTTGGTAGGTGACGGCGATCGAGCTTGGCCAGGGGGAGGGGGTGGGTTCAGGTGGTGCAACGGCTCTGGCGACGTAGACATGGGCGATGGAGTGAGGTTTGGTGGGTTGCTCCTCACCTCGGAGACAGTGTCAGCATGAAAGAACTTGCTTCCCGAGTGCGATCTACCCGCTGATGACAAGGGCGGAGACGCCATATCTGGTCTCCGCGGAGGTCCATCCTGCTTGCCATTGGCATAGAAGAAGACGGGTGCTTTTTTCTGTGGCGGCTGCTGCTGCTGCTGTTCTTGAGGTCTAACATCGCTGGCATGGAAGAAGAGAGAGGAAGTTGGTTTCGCCGAGCCTACATCTGGTGTTGAATTGTGGATGTTGGACAAGGGCGGCCGTGAAGGCGGTGCGAACTGGGGACCGCCTGGTCCTGGGGTGCTGCGTGGGCGGACGGCACCCTGGGCACCTTTGTTGCCAGCAACCCCGAGTGCACTGTAGCCAGTGCCTGGCTCTTTCTGGTGGAAGTCTATGGTGGAAGCCGGTCGCGAAGACGAGGGCGTATTGATGGGCGTGCCACTAGGCGAAGACAGTGTGCTCTCCACGCCGACGCGGGACTTTCTGGACGAGGACCGGGGAGTGACATTGCTGTTGAGGAAAGCCTTCACGGGCGTGACGTCCTCGTGCACCGTGTTGGCAACCCTTGGCGTTGTTGCATTGCTATTCCGTACGGTGCGGGTCGACTGCGTGCTGTTTGCAGTCGCTTGGGAATAGGTGCAGCAGCAAGGCGAGGCGTTAGCGGCGTCTTCGCGGTCCGGTTGCTCGCGAGCTTCGGCTTGAGGTTGTTCTGGGGAGTGCGGTCGATGGGCATCATCCACGCTTAGTCCAGCTCTGTTGTTGGGGTGCTTCGAGGTGTGCAGTGGGGTATCATGGGCCTCGCGGGGTGGCAGTTGGGCGGTTGCTGGGCGGGGCCGGTGTTGACAGGAGTTGTTGATGTTGGGTGACTAGTTCTGAACTTTCTGCGGCCAAAACAATTAATCCGTGGTTGCAGCGCCCCACGGTTACAATGGCGGCGGTGCTGGGAGGTGTAGGAGTGGCGGCGCGTCCATATCCGGGCAATGGGCAGTGGGCAATGGGCAATGGGCAATGGGCAATGGGCAATTAGAGAAGGCGGTGTGAATGTAGGCGTCTGATCTGGTGCGGGATCGCGGTCGTCGTGGCAGTGGCTAGTGAACAGGGTCGTCGGCTAACTAGGCTCGAATCGAGGCTGGCGGCCAGGCGCGTCATTACATTCGGGTGAGCCTCATATCGCGTCGCCGGCCCCAATTTCCATGCCCTCCGCCTCCGGCATGGACCCGCCCAAACCATGAGCAATGAGCCCGAACGCCTCTACCCACGTCGCCCTCACGTGCAGCCACGAGGCGCCCGCCCTCAGCATGTCCCTGCCGCGTCTGCCGCCTCGAGCATCGCCGGCACCAACACCAAACGAGGCCCTGAACCAAGGCGCACGTGAGCATGCCGCCCGGCCTGAGCCTTCGCGAACCGCCTCCAACGAGCACGACTCCCTCAAATACCACCTGCTCGGGCCCTCGCTCACCAAAGCTGGCCAGGACTCGGTAGACCAGCAGAAGGTGTCTGAAGTCATATACAATGCTTCCAAGGGCTCCAAGTTCTTCAACAATGAGGAGGCCAAGGACAAGAACCTCACCGAGAAAATCAGTCGCATCCTGGCCAAACGGAGTCAGCTTGAGAGGCTCGACTTGACTTCGGATCTTCGCCGGGCGGACGAGCTCATAGCTGAACTGGAACTGAGCCGAGACTTGAGTCAGGTGGTGGTGCACATCGACTGTGATGCCTTCTATGCGGCAGTGGAAGAGCTGGACCGCCCAGAGCTGAAGGAGGTGCCCATGGCTGTTGGCAAAGGCGTGCTGACGACCTGCAACTACCATGCCAGGCGCTTTGGATGCCGATCAGGCATGGGCCGGCTTCGTCGCCATGAAGCTCTGCCCGCAGGCCTGATTTGTGTGCCCATGAAACTTCGCAAAGTACATGGCCAAGGCAGAAGAGATACGCGAGGTCCTCGCCCGCTACGATCCAGGGTTCGAGAGCGCTAGTTGCGACGAAGCCTACCTGAACCTCACGACGTACTGTGAGGAGCACCATATGACACCCGAGGAGGCAGTCAGCCAGTTGCGAGCAGACGTGCACGAGAGAGCTAAGATCACTGTGTCAGCCGGCATTGCTGCGAATGCGAAACTTGCAAAGATTTGCTCCAATAAGAACAAGCCCAACGGACAGTTTTTCCTTCCGAGCGACCGACAGACCATCATGGAGTTCATGAAAACGATGCCTACACGCAAAGTGAACGGCATCGGTCGCGTCTTCGAGCGCGAGCTGGACGCAATTGGCGTCAAGACATGTGGAGACATATACGCGCATCGAGCCTATCTGCCAAAGCTATTCGGCCAGAAAGCCTTCCAATTTCTGATGCAGTGCTACTTGGGCCTAGGACGTACCAAGATCCAGCGCGCTGAGGACTACGAGCGCAAGAGCGTCGGTACGGAGACCACGTTCAAAGAGATGCAGTCTCCTGATGCTTTGCGCGACAAGCTTCGTTACATCGCAGAAGAGCTGGAGGGCGACCTGAAGCGTACAGAGTATAAGGGGAGAACATTGTGCATCAAGATCAAGCTGCACACCTACGAGGTCCATACCCGACAGATGACACCGCCATTCGCTGTCCACCGTGCAGATGACTTGTACAAGTATGGCCTCCCCATGCTGGAGAAACTCATGAAGGAAATACCGAACATGAGATTGCGACTAATGGGCTTACGCGCCACTCATCTCGTCACAACGAAGAAACCTGGCATCGACTTCTTCGGCCGCGTCAAACCTCCCGGTACCACAACCAAGCCACCCAAGACAACCGACGAAGGCGATTGGGAGACCTGGCCAGAAGAGGAGTTTGAAGAGGCAGCGCGACGGGAACGTAACGACGAGATGAATGAGCTAGAAAAGCTGTCGCAAGAGCAGGATGTTCAGCAAGACCAGCGCACTTCACCCTCGAATGGAAATGACGCCCCAGATCCGCCTACCGAAGAGCAGTGGACATGTCCAATCTGCTCTCTCCCACAATCACCAGATGACGCTACTTTCAACGCACATATTGACTTTTGTCTGTCCAAGCAGACTATCAAAGAGGCTGTCAAGTCTACTGCCCCGCCTGCGCCTAAGCTCGAAAAACAGGTCAGCGTGTCGAAAACTGCGCAGAAAAAGGGCAAGCGCGGGCGTCCGAAGAATGAACAGGTAGCGTCGGAGCAGCAGGCGAGGGAGAAAAGAAGAGCCTTCTTCTCGCTTGGTGGGTCGTAAATGTGAATGAGAGACTTGACGATGATAGATGATACCCCTTTGTAATGAAAGCAATACACATTAATCCTTGGCAGATTTTCCCCAAGATGATCCTAACCTACATCCCATTTTCCACCATAACCAGCTTTTACAAAATACCCATTCCATCCCATACCCTAACCCCCGCCCTCAAAACACACACCTGATTCCAACCCCATCACCACCCACCCCTCTCATACATCCTCCTCGGACTCCTTCTATCCCTCTCCCTGCCATCCCCCTGCTCCCCCAAATCCAAATCCAAATCCAAAAACGCATTCCCCCCCGCCCCACACACACTCCCACTAACACTATACCCAATCCCGCTCTCCCTATTCCCCCCTCCTCCTCCACCCGCATCGCGCTCAGTATATCCCGGCGGCACCGGCCACTGAACCTCCTCGGGGCTAAACGGGTACCCGTCGAGATCAGTATTCATTGTCGACCGCGGCATAGCGCGGATGGAAAAGTCGTAGTCGTTGTGGTCATGGTGGCGGGGTTGAGGCAGGGAGTCGAGGCGCGGCTTATAGTGGGAGAAGTCTGCCTGGATAGATTTTTCCGTGTCGCGGTGGCGCGGGGAGGAGAGGGCGAGTTTTTCGTCGAGGCTGTGGTGTAGGAGGGTTGCGCCGTCGAGCGCGGTATTCAGAGTGAGTGGGGGAGGAGGAGAAGAATACTCTCTTTCTCTCTGTCTTTCTCGTTCTCGTCGTCGTTCTCGCGAGCGATGGCGCGCGCTGTCGTACTGTCTTGGATCAACATCCGGAGCGACGGGTGCTTGTGGTGTGGCTTCGAGTTCCACGGGCGCGGTCTGCGTGGGCGCGGGATCCCAGCTGCGTTGCCAGCACCAGGAGCGCTTCTGGCTGGCTTCGAGGTATTCGGTCTGGCCGTTTGTGACCCATTCGGGGCAGCGCTTGAGATCGGTGCAGAGCAGGTATTTAACGCCGTCGGTGTGTTTGAGGCCTTGGACGTCGACGGAAATGGTGGAGAGGACTTGGAGGATGCCATAGAGGAGAATCCAGCGGCCTAGACGAGCTTCGCGGGGTGTGATGTTCTTGAGGTCGGTGGTCATTTCGAATTGCTCGAATTTGTCGATGAGCGTCGATCCTATCATTCTTGTGAGTACATGTTCTTGGATTTGAGAGATGTTTGACTTACCGTGGAAGTTCACATCCAGTTTCTCAATATTCGTGGCATCGCTAAAGAGTATCGATAGCTGTAAATGCGCCTTTGCATCCTTCGTGACGTCCTTGCTCTTGTCTTTCTTCAGGCTCGAGAACAGGCTTTTCTTCTCTTTCTCTCTAGTCGTTTTTGGTATTTCCCTAGGAAGTAAAGGGTAAGGATGCGGTATATGCGCGAAGCTGAATTTCGCATCAAAGCGGACGAGCAGATCAGTAATGTTCAACTCCGGTACGTCGGCTTTGAAACTTTCGTCCCTCCGGTGAGCCATCTCCCATTTGCGGCTCGCTCGTTCCTCACGCGGATTCCAAACCACGTCCCTGTTCACCAGATAGTCGTATAGGGAGCCGAAATCTTCCTGCAACGCGAGAGCGATCTTGCGATTTAACCACGTCTGGTCCCGAGCTGGCGGCCAGTTGCCGTAGTTGCGCGAATAGTGGTTGATGAGGAACGATCGGAAGGTCTGGTAACTGTGGTAGACAGAGCTGTTCGCGACCTTGGACGTATCTTCCCAGAGGTCGCTGAAGTCGAATGCCGCCAATTTCTCTTCAGCCTCCATTTTGCGCAGTTGAAGTGTCTTCGCTGCGATGCCAAGATTGCGCCGTGTCACAATAGAAAGACGCTTGAACTCTGGCACGTCTTCTAACTCTGGTATCATTACTCCAGCAAGATGCACAAAGCTCTCAAGATATCCCTGTCGCCACTTCACTTGTTCTTGCTCGGACCAGGTGAGCAGACACATGGCACTCTTGATGCTAGTTCGCACATCGTCAATTCCATGTTGCCCAAGGTAGTTTGTGATCATCTGAATGCTTCGATCACGAGCCGACACCCTGGACTGGTTGTCGTCAAATTTGTACATGTCTTCAATCTGCGGCTGAAGGGTATTCAACATGTCGAAAAGATCTGCACCAACAATGGGTTTCCCATGTAACATTGCGAGGAAATTTCTGATAGCTACGTGGTGTAGTCTTTGACCTTGCGCGGTCTTGATGTGGTCGGGCGCTGTGAACCATAGCTTGTGGGTGGGTTGATCCTCAGTAAGCCTACGAAACGTTGCATCTGAATTCGACCGCTGAGCACGCCCATTCTCAGACAAGGTGTCCAGCCTGGATCCAGCTCTGGTCGATATGCCATCGTGTAATTGATCGATGTCGAACGGAGGGGGTGACCGCCCTCCTGGCGAGGTGGGTCCGAGCATTCGCCTGCTAGATTGATCATGGTGTTGGGGGTAATCTCTGGGTGACATCGAAGACTCTGACATAGACGGTAGCGCCCAACCATCATCGCTGTCATCTATGCGAAAATAATGCAGTGTTTCCTTCAACCAAGTGGACCCTGAGTTTTCAAGGACATCTAGCCTGGCACGGATGGACGGCAAGGGGCGCTCGTGGTCCATTTGCTCTTCTTTGAAATATATGAGTACACTACCGGTGCTCATGTCTTCGTCCTAATTCTCGAATGAGCTCTGGTTCTAGAAGAACGTATCTAGAACTTACAAATTCGAATCCGCCATATGGGCGCATTGCATCCCTGCTTCCCTTCCAAATCTTGAAGTTCAACCACGATTTCTGGTCTCCAGAGGGATGTGACGACGAAGAATCGGCGCGAAAAGCAGGAGGTACGGGCGATGGGGCAACTGTTCTCTTGATTGGAACTCCGCCACCTCTTCCCCGCGGAGCCTGGGTCTCCTTCCCTTTAGCATCATATAACTTTTTCTCTTTACCTTGGACAGAGATATCAGACACAGAGGCCGATCCACCTCCTGATGACTGCGCAGGTCGTGTCTCCGAACAATTGCTGGAGTGCAATGTAGCCAGTCGTGGTCGGTTGTTGCTTTCATTGGTACCGCTGCTCCGCGAGGTCGCACGACTAGAGGATGTGAGGGTCCGAGTCATACCTCTTCTAGGGTTCTCGACGTTGGGTGTTGTGCGCCAGTCGGCAAAGCCATCGAGGGGCTCATGAATGGCTGTGACTACTTTTTTCTTTCCATCTTTTTTCTCCTTCTTCTCGATGTCTTTGGTCTGTACTTTCCGACTCCGAGCTCCTCTTGCCGACATTGTAGATCAAGCAATTGAAGATCAATTCCTTTTTAAGTTTTACCTCGATTTCTAGCGCCTGGGTATACGGAAGATAAGGCGTGGCAGAGACGTTGAAGGACGAATCTTTGAATGAAGATATGTGCCGTGAACCCAGAAGACGACCAAAGCCTCAAGAATGCCCTGCGCGTGATTTTGAGTTTAAAATTGTCAGGTCACTCTTATCGCCGCGGCTGAAAAATTGTGGAACGGTGGTTCATAAAAGCATTCGGAGCGTGCAGCAAGCCAGTAGGTCGCAAGACGCAAGAAAAAGGACAAAACGAAGGACGATGAGCGAACAGGCTGAAAGCGCTGCGTGAAGCTGCGTGAGGTGAAATAGTATATATTGGCCATCTTCGAAGATCCATGCTCTCAGGTCCCGCAAATCCTTGTGGGGAGAACGAGCGTGCTCCAAACGGAATAGCTGGCTGTGCCTCCGTTCTGGCTCTGATAAGGAACCTTGTCCTTCGCACTGGAATCTTTCCAAGCGAGCGGTTCACATGCAGCCACAAGGCAAGGCGAGCCCACTGCAGAACAGCTGCATCGGCTGGTGGAGAGACCAATAGCGCCCCTGGTGTGCTTTGGAAGGTTGCAGACAAGCAGTGGCCCGAACACTCATGATGGCGAGAGGACGTCTCTGATAGTAGGGCTTTGGTGGTTCTAGGCGTCAGCAGTTCCGTCTCACTGCAGGCGGAAGGAAATGACAGTATTGGTTTCGACGAAGAAGCGATGAAGGGCGAAGTGCGACTGGTGAGGTACTGCCTGCAAACCAACGCGCTCAACGTCCGCCTGCAGTGCTTGCAGATCTGTCGCGCTGTGTTTACGAGATGGCTACAGTTCTCAACGTCTTCGATGCCGATGTAGATTTGAAGCTATGGGCCAGTGGAGTCCACGGTGGAGCGCTCGGGCCCCGGCACGCTGGTTGATAGACACGGGAGGGCGGACAGAACCCTTCCAGTAACGTCAATCCACCGACGAGAATCCCTGAGTCGTTCAGCTGTTTGTCGGGCCGGGTACAAAGTCCACGAGTCGTAGCTGACTGGGATGGCCTGAGGGACGAGGTGCAAGCCTGCAAGGCATCGCATTGCTGTCATCTCTGCAGGCTACCTACCATCCTCCGAACCAATTCATTCCTTCGGTGGGCCCGCGCGACTGTCGCATGGCATTGGCACCCAGCATCCAAGGTGCTGGGCATGTCACCTAGAATCCCTCGAGATTGCACAAATCTATGGAAAAACAAGTCACACTTGAAACGGCGTGGTTGGCCAGAAAACAGAATGGCGCAAGGCCCAACCACTTAATTTGCTGCTGTTTTGTCGCAACACCACCTGAGGCCCAGCCTCCCCCGCCATCTCGTTCCCGCTCGGGGGTATTGTAGCCGGTTTCCTCTCACCACCATACGTCACTTCATAAGACGCTGCACCGACGTTGCTGCTAAGATCTGAATCCAAACAAGATCCATCCTGGTCCCACTGCAGAACTTAAAAGTCGCAGCCTCCTGCGCGTTTCTGCCTGCAGCTGCCTCGCACCGTTCGCCTACTTGCGTCGCAACCCGCCAATCCGCGTCATCGCACTGCGTAGCACGTCCTCGGGTCAATTAACAAGCTCTACCAAACTTCAATCCTTTCCACCTAAATCTTCAACCCTCTTAAGAAAGCAAGCAACCGCCAACATGTCCATCTCCGGAATGTCGTTCTGGTTTTGGAGGGTCTTCCAGATCATCACTCTGATTCCGACGCTCGGAATGCTCGCATGGTTTGTGGATTGGTTCAACTCGCGCAACCTCCTCACGCCGCGATCCATCCTCATTCTCTTCATCGTATCCGTGGTTGCCGCAGTATGGGCTATGGGAACGCTGTTCCTTTATGCGCGCGCACGTCACTCGGCCAACTTTGTCGCCTTCATCGACCTTCTCTTCGTCGGCGCCTTCATTGGCGCAGTCTATGAGCTTCGCGGCATCGCCAGCGCCGACTGCACAAACATCAGTCAGAGCGGCTCGTACAGTGCAGACGCGGGACTATTCACCATCTCTGGAAACACTTATGGTGTGGATGTGAACCGCCAGTGTGCTATGTTGAAGGCATCATGGGCATTCGGCATCATGTAAGTACTTCTAAACGCTTTGTGAAGATGGCGCATCACTAACAATCACCCAGGAACATCATCTTCTTCTTCATCACCACCCTCCTCGCACTCTTGGTCCACCGCCACCACCGCCATGACCGCGACCGCGTTGTCGTCAAGCGCGAAGTCCACCGCTCGCGCCACGGCCACCGCTCCCGCAGCCCTCGCTACTCGACCACTTCGCGTCACAGCCAGAGCCGACGCAGCTACGTCTAAGCGCAAGTCACCTTATCTAGATTTGCACTTGGGTCGAGCCTTGATCGCGGCGACGATCAAACAACGAATTTTCTTTGGACATAATTTTTGCTTTGCACGAGATACCTGGACTGGACATATGATGGTCATCATACGACCAATGATCTGTACGATGAGAGCGTGAAAGTCGCTCTGTATAGTTTTGTAGATAGCTCACGAAATATTCATGACACACCACCAACTTTTCGACCAAAGCTGCTAATAACGCGAATGCCCAGTTTTGGAACTGTCAGGTCTCAATGTGTTTGAGCACGATAATGTACCAGGAAGAACGCTGTGATGCGTTGTGACGTTGACTCGCATGGCAACCACGCTCATCTATGCCGGTGCTTCCGGTGATCTTGACATGGGACGCTAGTCCGCTAACGTCTGAGGAAAGAACTACATGTTTCTATGGTCTCAAGTGTCGTTCTTGCATTCAGCAGTATCGAGCATCGCTTAACTCATGCGATTGCAGATAAGAAGATCATAGTCACAGTGGCATCGCAAACGGTTACCAAAACGTGACACATCTGCCGGACAAGCAGAGCTCCAATTGAGCAACATGAGGCTTTTCAATCTTTCCATCCAGGAGGATTGCATAGATTTCCGCCCGCCCATGTCAAATACTCGTTCATCGCTGTCGAAGTGTCGTTCCAAGACCCATGAAGCCCACATGATTCCCAATTGTTGGTCCATTGGACGATACTCCACAATCAACATTCCATCCATCTTCCCCTCTACCTCGCAGGCAACTCGTACACCGGATCTCTCTCCGCCAATTCCGACCGCACAGGTCTCGCTGGCATTTCTGTCGCCTTAACATACGCATACTTCTCGCTAGCAACAGGCGTGGCATCGAATTCATACGGCGTACCATGATTCCTCGAATTATCCTTTCTCCGGATGAGAAGGAACCATAGCGCGAAGATGATGGAGGCGAAGAATACGATGACTGCGATGGCGACGCCGGCGATTGCGCCACTGGATAATGCCGGCGAGGAAGAGATGGCGGATGTGGAGGACGAAGGGGTGGACATGGACGTTGCAAGAGGCGTTGCGCTTGGAGTGGATACTGGTCCAGCTGAGGCCGAAGATGGTGATGGCGATGGTGACGGAGAAGGGGAGGGCGATTCGAAGTTCTCCACCACACTGAGCATGTCGTCTTTGAGCGGTTGACTTTTCGCCGCGCTGTGGATTGGTCAGTTAGATCCCATCTCTTCCCCAGGGAGAACCTTTTACATACCTTGGATTGCTGGTAATATTCCACGTCGCGCCATCCATCTCACTCCGCATCGCAGGAACCAACCACCCCCTCGGCAGCGCAAATACCGTCCCCTCCCCCCACAACTCATTGACCAAATGCCAGCCATCCCCGGCCTTGAGCAGTCTCCATTGCTGACTCACACTCCCACTCCTTTCATACAGCTTGGGAATACTGCGAGATTCCTCCGTGATGCCGAGTTGCCATTTCGCGCCGTAGTCGTAGTTGCGGATAAAGTAGCGCCCGGATTGGAAGAACAACTGCCAGTTTTCCGAAGAGAGCGAGCCGTCAAGCGTCATGTTGATGGCGCCGTTTGTGTCGGTGTAAATGCCTGAGCTGAGAGAGCCTGTGGGCGCGTTGGGGTTGCGCAAGGTGTAGAACATTTTGGAGTCGAACGAGGGTGCATCGTCGCGACGGAATTGGTAAGAAGGCATGACTGAAGGGGAAGAAAAGATTGTTTCAATGAGAACGAGTGTTGACGAACGAAGGGGAAAGACTGGGCGTGACGGCTGTGTTCAAAGAAAAGGTTCTATTGTCGACAAGACCGCGAAATCGGAAATCCAGACTGCAGCGGCGTAGGAACGTGGCTGGAGCAAGTACCTGCATATATACTACTAAACTCTTTTGTGTTGGCATATCTCGTGGGGGCCAGAGTCAATATCGATCGATCCCTGAATCGTACGTAGGATCCAATCATGCAATCCGGCCCCCAATACTGCGCTGACAGGCAGACTTTTGTTGGCGCTTCGTGAAACTTATGCTTATATTGTCTTTGAATTTTTTGTGATCATACGTAGACCGCGATGAAGCCGTCGAGAGCAGCCCCAGCTATGCGTGGCTACATGATGCAACTCGTGGTAGATGGCCTGACAGGGCCTCCCAATGATCCTTCGGGAGGTTCTCACCCTGCAGCCTGCATTGATCCGTGCAAGCACGATCTTGGCTTCTCAAAACGCACCCAAAGTGGTTAAAGCAATACATTTTAGCGTCTGGGTAAGACTAACCTTGGAAATCAGTCTCATGCGATTCCGGTACTATGTACAGCTTCCAAGGTTAAAAGCAGTATGTTGAACGAGTGTCTCTGAGGCCGTCTAGCTCCGATAAGTATGACTTCGGATCTTGTCTGTATACGAAGACTCGCAACTCTACGGATACAGCTGTTTTGTGACGATCTTGTCTACTTCGAGAACATTGTTTCCGAGTCCTGGAGAGAGCGGAAGAATTTATATCTGAATGCCGAGTCGATACATCAGTGGTGCTTGCCGCGCTGGTCGGGCGATTGCAGTGTTGCTGTATTTTGACTACGCATCATAAGTTGCATAGCAGATGTTGCGTGGTTGCTATCATGCTTAATACGTCAAGATGGGTGGTGCCTAGGTAAATAGGGTCGTTCAACAACAGGAAGTCGGATTCATTTTGATTACTGAAATGGACTTGATGTCAACACAACCACCACCAGTATGCAAAGCATGGCGCGAAAAAGACCGTAACTATTCAGTCTCGCAGCATCACCAGTTGGCATCTCAGGACAACATGTTCAAGCTCCAATCTCTTCATAAAAGTTTCTATATACACTGAATAATAAAGCCACAAGCCTCTTCCCACTCCCCACTCCCCACTCTCAACCTCAGCGTCCTAACCAGTCCAAACCTTGGGACCAGGAGGAGTGTAAGAAGTTGGCACGGGGTAGTAAACATTGATCAAGATACCAGGGTCGGTAGCCTTGTACGCACCCGGGAATGCAACCAGGTCCGTCGGCGAACCATTGCCTCCATTCTCAACCTTGATCTGCGCGCAGGAGATGTAAAATTGCGCACCGCCCGAGGTGCCAGCGCTGTGCAAAGCAATATGCTCAACGCGAAGAAGGTACTCGCCCGACGGCAGGGACTTGGGTAGCGGGAAGGTGACTTGTGTCTTGCCGGCTGAGGCAAAGGTCATCTGGCCGCCGGAGAAGGTCGCGCCTTGCGAGTAGACCTTGAACCACACTGCGCCTGAGCCGTCGAAGGTGGCAGCAGTTTTGCCAGAGGGGACCTTAGCCATATAGAACTGGAGAGGGCCTGGATGCGAGACGCTGGATACGGCGGTGAAGCCGACGGTGTCGCCGGCGTTGACGGTGTAGGTCTTGGAGCCGGTGCCTGGGCTGAGCTCGTAGCAGCGGATCTGGTTTGATGTGACGTCTGTCACGGGACCGTTGGACTGGTACTAGAGTGAAAGTCAGTATATGACTTTCGTGTATCTGGACAATGGACAACTTACATTCGTTGTCTTGCGTACGTATTCCCATGGGCTGGTAACGGTGCTTCCACTGATGAATCCGGGAAAAGTGTAATGTGCGCTAGCCGTGCTGGCAGCAGCCAGAAGAGACAAGAAAGCAGTCTTCATGATGATCGATGATTGATGAGTGAATGTAGTAGACCAAGTGTATTGTGCTGATAGAAGAAGAATACGAGAGGCATCACCCGTCCCTTATATACACTTCACAGCCCACAGCTCGCAAGCACCTGCACCCCAGAGTAGTGGGCGCGTGGTACCCCATTTTCCCGTACCTTAGCGTACAATTGGTCGTGGTAACCGGCGGTTATTGGGTCGGAAACCTGGGAGGTGGATGTCGAAACGCTGACCCCGATCACGTTAATTCGCAGGAAGCAATAACGCTTTTAGATGAAGTGGACATGCATGCCGGCATAGCACTACCGAATTTCCTGTTCGAGGGTCGCGTGGTCATACTCGAGTCTGACGGCCTTTGTGAGACTTGTTAAAATCACCTTGTGTGCTGGTGTGCCTGCGGATGTTTGCCAGAGAGCGTTGTGGAATAATCGTCAAGTTCACTGGAAATAACGATCTTGGAAATGTTTCACCCACCGTCGCGCAGCCTCTAAGCGAACATGATTGGCCCGCCAGGCCTGCCGATAGTCGAAACGCATGACCCATCGTCTATATTACTTTTCGCCATCCGACTAGAAATTAGACTACTCGATTTGTCCTTTCGCCATGAAACACGTGAAAAACGGGACTGGTACTACCCCACCACTGCAGTGTTTATATTGCAGTCAAATATCGGATGCACGCTGCGTGACGTCGGCGGACAGAATGCAAAACCCGGTTAGAGAGAAGGGGGAGCGGCGATGGAAAAGAAAAGCTTATTTTTTTTTGGTCACATCCGATGTGGTTGCGACCTTCTAGAAGCGTTGGGTGACATATAGTACAGTGGTGATATTGAAACAGTACTTGTTGATCGGACGATCGACCAACATCGTCGGAGGCGGAGCGCTGGCTCCGCATCCTCAGGCCATTGTGCCTGCCGCCTACTTACTGCCCGCAGGCGCCTACTGTACACTATTCTCGGTTTTTCCTCCAGTGAGATATCCGACATGTGGAGGTGACTGTTCCTGGATGCATTCCACACACTGACAACTTGCGAGCGAAGTGGAGTGGAGGCAATGTAGACAACACACTCCTGCAAGTCAGCGTGAGAAATCCAGCTTGAGACTGAGGGTTCGACGCAGAGGTGAGCGAATAGTCTCACCAGCAGGTGAAATTTGTCGTAGATTCGGAAATACGGTGCGAACATCAGACCTCTCCAAGTGATCATGATGTCCGTCTCACCACGATCACTTCGTCGGGCGTCTCTTCCTCTTCGCCATCGTAATAAAGATCTTCCTCGTCAATCTCCGAGTATCCAAACACACTCCTGTACAAGCGCTCGCCCAGCCCCTTCTTCTGCGCCATGGCCAGCACCATAACGATGGGCAGGTGCCACACACTAGCCCAAAATAGTCCTCTCGCCGTGCCTTTCTGGCCCTCGGCCTTGTAGAAATGCCACGCCTTGAGCGCCATCCATCCATTGATTGCGCTACTTGTCACGACAAAGCTCCAGTCTGTGACACCGCAGTAAGACAGACCGATACAGACCGGAAACATGAGGATTGCGTAGCGAAGTGCCACACGTCCGTTCTGTGCTGGATTGACCCAAGCAAGCATACGGTAGCCGGCGTTCTTGTACTCATCGCGGATAGACCAGCTCAATGAGTTGAAGTGAGGAAATTGCCATGCGAACAGAAGAGCAGCACAAAGCCAGCCACCTGCTGAGCCCTCGCCAAAGAGCAGTTCTTCCCATGTTCCGTCATGGGCGTATTGGTTCGCCGCAGCTGTCCAGCCCATGAGAGGTGGTATGCCGCCTACTATGGCACCCACCCAAGTGTTCAACACCGACATGCGCTTCATGGGCGTATATATGCCCGCGTACAGGAATATGTTCGTTGCGCCTAGAAAGGCCGTTGTAGGGTTGACGCCATAGTATAGTCCGCCCACACCAGCTACTCCGCATGCAATAGCAAAGACTACGGCACCTCTTGTGCTGATGAGCTTCCGGACGAGCGGACGATTCCGTGTCCGACTCATTTGCGCATCGTACTTCGGCTCCATGAGCATGTTGAAGGCATTTGCCGACGCCGAACATAGCGCCGTGCCTGATGTGAGGAAGAAAAGTGTGAGGGTCGAAAGCGAGGGCGTGGCTGTTGCTGCAGGCGCGAGCAGCTGCGGAACAGGGTATAATGAGTATGCAGCGGTGGCCGTGAGTACGACAAGGAATGAAAGGCGTGGTTTCGATAGCGAGAGGTAGGTCGTGAAGAGTCGCTTTAGTGATCTTTGCGGAAGACTTGACGATATCGCGGCTAGCTTCGATGACGCATCGTGTGCGATTGGATACGCTGCCTCTGAATCCTCCTCTGCCTCTTGTTTTGCCTTCTTCCGCCGCCGATGTGGGAGCACCTCTTCTGCAGGTGCCGTCGCATCCTCTGTCGCTGCTTGCCCCCCAGCTCTTGGTCTGACGGCGGCTATTGAACTCTGCAGCTCTCGCCTTGACTTGCCAAAGGCTTCCTTCAGTACTGTGTTTGCCCAAAAATAGTCCTTGCTAAACGAGTTCCTGCTCTTCCCTACGGCAATTGAGCCCTGTTTATGCGAGGATATCGACGAGAATGGATGTCGTGCCGTCATCGGTGCACGGGCGAGCTTCCTCCAGCAACGGAAACATACTGTGCTCGCATCTCGTGGCGCAACTGATCGCGATAGCACCGGTCGAACGTTCATGGCGGCATGGGGAGTTACTGTGGCGCGGCGGCCAGTGAGGCGATACTTTTGGATGCGACTATATGCCAAGACAAGAAAGCGGCAACAAGCGGACCGATTCACGCCATGAGACAACCTCTCACGTTGCAGGTAAAGCGAGATTTATCAGCTTTGGAAGTTCATACGTAAACCTGCACTTATTATATCTATCTTAGGAAGAGTTAAAAGACTTCCTTCAGTCATTCGCAGGTTTGCTCAACGATCCTCTCTAGTTCTTGGGCTATTGTCGCAGTTTTGCTGTACTAGCTATATCTCGCGTCTCCTGCACCTGAAGGAACAGCCAGTCAGCATGTAAAAATCATGTTCACGACATAACCATGAACAGGTTCGAGCATGAGGTAATCAAGTACGCTGAATGTTGAAGTAGACCACAAGGGCAATATTATACATGCTTTCGCAGGTCTAAAACAGGCCGGGAAAGTGGCTCTAGAGCCTCCCAAGCTTACGAGTAAATGTCTCCATGCCCAAATGATAGTACAGAAGCGCTTGCACCATATTCCTTACTGCTCCTAGTCATCGTCGTTGGGATTGGTGTCCGACTCGTACTCGAAGTCGCCCGGTACCGATGCCTCGTCGTCGCCCTCGTCGACCAAGTTGTCGCTTATTGGCGATGCCCCTGATTCTGACATACCTTCTGCGGCTTGACCGGCAGATGACCCTGTTGCTCCAGGAGCTGGGGCAGGTGCTGCCTTCTTGACCTTGAGTTCTAGCAGAGACTTTGGCTCGGAAGGCTTAGTGTCTGTGAGGAGAACGACACCAAGAGTTGGCTATAGTCTGTTAGTATATCGAAATAGAAGTTCAACGGAGAATGATTTACCTTCTTGACTGGAACATATCGTTCACTGGGGAAGCTGATGTACTTCACTTGTGGTGGAAGCACACGCGACATGTTCTCAAGACTGTAGCCAACCTTCTCCTTCTCGATCTTCTTTTTCGACGTCTCTGCGGATTGTGCGCCCTCTGTCTTATCCTTGTCATCCTTCTTCACGTCTTCGTCAAGCTCCATCTTGTCATCGTCGTCAGCAGAGACCTTTGGAGTGGTCGGTGTCTGATCCACATCCATACTCTCCCGACGCTTTTGTCGCTCCTTCACCATTCTTCGACGCTTGTCTTGTGCGGTTGTGGAAAGAACGGCAGTCTTGATCTTCTCTGGCGCCTCCTCGGTCTTGACCTCTGCCTCTGGCGGATAGTCGAACATGCTGGGCCGTGTATTGCTGTGGAATTGGAAGGATGGAATGTCCAGCTCCTGATCGACACCGATGACGGCCGTGGGTGTGAAGCTGAGTGACAAGAAGTGCGTCAGCGGGAACCAGTACCAGTACTGCGTGAAGACAGCCATGCCGACAATAGCGGCCATGTTCAGCGTTCCAGTTGGTGTCTGAAGGCCAATTGTGCAGTTTCTACCTCCGGCGTCGATGATACCTAAGGCGAGCGCAGCACCGAACTTCGCCATCGCGTCTTCGTGGCGGTCCCCAACCACCTTTGTGAGCTGTTTCCGGATGGCAATGACCTTGGGGTTCATTGCCTCGTTCTGTTGTATCATGATCATGGAGAGAGCGATGAGAGCACCCTGGCGAACAAAGTCGGTAGAGTCCTTCATCATGGGCTCAAGGAGGTCAACAGCTTCTGGCAGTCCGGTACCGGCACAAGCAATACCGAGGGCCATGGTGGCACCATATCTCACGTGTGGGTTGTAGGATTCGGCAAGGAGCTCGACCATGCGGGGAACACTGCCTGGCTTCCTGAAGAGGACGAAGCCCAAGCTCATAACTGCAACCCGTCGCACGTCATCGCTGACATCACTGACAGCAACGTGTAGCAGCCTTCGGACCGCCTTGTTACTGCCTGTGCCACAGTATGCAAGAGCAATGGTCATGATACCTCCATAGCGCAGAGTCGGGTCGGCGTCCTCGAGAAGTCCGTTGACAAGCTCATCTGCCGCCTCTTGTCGGGCGTACATGATGAGCGCCATACCCATGGCTAGACCGCGCACAATTTTCTCGTGCTGCGTGTCATGGGCATACTGGATCATATCCTCGAGAGCCTTGATGTTACCGGTGCCGAGCATAACAAGACCCATAGAGAGACCGACAGCCTCACCGTTGATCGCGGAGTCAGTGTACAAGACGGTCTTGAAAGCATCGAATATCTCTTCGGAACCAGTCGCCATTCCAGCAACACCAACACCGAGAGCACCACCATGCTGAATGACCTCCTCAGAAGCGTTCTGGAACTGCTTTAGCAAGTAGTCGAGAACGTTGCTGCCATGGTTGGCGTAAATCAATCCAAGGGCATAGAGCGAACCGCCCTGCTCGTAGTGCGAGCCGGAGGAAACGCTGTCCTTGGGAAGGTAGGGCTCAAGAAGCTTCTGGCCCTGAGTGATGTTGCCTCGGTGAATGACACCAAGAGCAGCAGTTGCGGTGAACTTTGACCAGTTCACTGCTTTACCCAACCAGTCGAGATTCTCGCGGAAGAAGGTGTCGTTGGTTGTACCGGCGTTCATGAATGCATTTGCAAACGTGACACTGGTGTGGAATATGGAGTTCCTGGCTTCTAAGCTGTCCCGGATCTTGTTCAAGACTGCCTTGTCTGTGTGGTTGTTCCTGTACAAAAACTCTAGGTTCAGCTCGATGCTCTTTGTGCCCCGAAGGATGTGGCGCACGGAGCTGAAAGCCTTGGACTGCTGTTCGGAGAGAGAATCCTCCTTGGTGCGAGAGACGACAGTCGAAACATTGCTGGAATCCACATTGGCTAACAAAGAGTCGGACTCCGCTGCGTCTTCTCCGGACGGCTTCTGTGATGCGTCGCCATTAGCTGTAACCTTCGACTCTCCCTCGTTGTCTGTCTCAGGAAGCTCTTCCATGACCTTTGCGAGGAACTCTTGTGTACCATTCTCGTACAAATCGAACGAGATCTGGTAGGCGATCGCGCGCGACTTGTCGTCGTCTTGCTGTATCAGTTGACGGACAAGCTTTGAAGCTAGTGAGTGCTGGTTGAGGTACACAACACACTTGGCAATGGAGAAGTAGTCAGGGTTCGGAATCTCGTTGTCGTTGAGCAAGTCGAGAATCAGACGAAGAATCTGTCCTGGTTAGCTGCGCATATTCAGCAGTCGAATTGGGAATGAACATACCTCGTTTCTTAAGCCACGCTCCTGGACGACGTTCATACAGATGTCCAAAACGTAGTCCATCAGCTCTTCACTCTTCGTCGTCGAGCCTTGCGCGGGCTTCTTGCCGGCCTTCTTCTCGTCCTGACTAGCACGGATGATAGACTCTCGCAGCACATCTAGATTCCTCGCCTCGATCGCAATGCCGACCACCTGCCTGTAGTTTCCACTCTCATAGCAGCTCTCGAATATCCGCCGTATGGTGCCTTGAAGGTTCTTTTGTACGTTCCTCTGCAGGACGAGTGGGGTGGGGTGCGCGCCAGGTACACCTGCGTTGCCACCTCCAGGTAGAGTGGGGTCGAATGTCGACGAGTCTTCGCGAGAGAGGAGCGACTTGGAAGGCAGTGCGGATTGCGAGAAGGGTGTAATCGGCGAAGTCAGGCTTGCTGAGGTGCTCGTGGCTCCTGCTGAGTTCACAGGGAAGGATGTGCTTAATTGCAGAGGTGCTTGGTTCGCCTTGCTGACCGGCGTCGCTGGGTTGTGCATGGCGGAGAGGGCAATGTAAGTGTCTAAACATTTCGCTAAAGAGACGAGTCAGTTATTTGCAAGATCATATTGAGATGCAGTACCAAGACACGCAGGGATAGCGGCCGCGGGTTGCAGTCTCGAGTGTTTGTGTATGTCTTACCCATTATGGTCTCCTCAAACTCGGCGGCCTTGTGGATGTCAAAGAGCTTTCCTGCACCCAGCGCAAAGACCATGCTCTCGTTGTATTCCTGCAGCTGATAGTATACCTTTGCCGCTACCAGGGCAGCAAGCTCTCGCTCTGGAAACGAGTCATCTTCGTAAAGAGCCTCACTATGACGCACACGAGTTAGCAGCCATCTCAAAGATCTCGCGGAGTTGGAAGCTCATGGAGCTCTCCGAGGGTTCTTACATCTGACTGACAGAGCCAGCGACTTCTGGCCACAATAGGTCGATCTCCTCGTTCAGGCGGCGCAAGGCAAAGGAGCGCAGGGCCGGGTCTGGTTCGGCGAGGAATCCAACGATGCCGGCAGCAGAAGTGAGGCCAACCATCGTGGCAGTGTTGACGGCGATGGTAGTGGTGCGGTAACGTCGATACGGAGCTCACGAGATTGAAGCGAGGTAGCTGTTGCGGAAGCTGGTGGAAGGAGATGGAGCTGAGCTGTGGCGCCTACTTGCGAGGAGGCTCACAGGGTGATTTTGGCTTATGCGGGGTGTTTCTTAGAGAGGACCACCGCAGTGAAGGAGGGACGGGAATGGGAAGTGGCGCGGGTGATGAGGCAGGCGCGATGCCGTTGTTGCTATGGTCGGGGAATCTAGGTACGTGACGAAACACAAGCTAGCTCGTGAGGTCAACCGGAGTGACTAAGCAGGCATACACGATAAGCGCCCCTCGATCCCAACTCCAACAGCATGTGAATGATCAACTTGCAGCCCGGCGCATGTCAAGTGATTTTATCATAGTCTTCAAAGACGCTTTCTACTGTCTGTTTGACAGTTTGTATGCCACCAAAAGCCGAGAAGCATCACATGTATCATCACACAAGCCTCTCGCAGAGAAATGGGGTATCTTATTCAAAGCACAAAACTCCACACCATATGCTGCGCGCCTATTACCTCAGTAATCCCCCAGAGCGCCAAAAGCGCATGAAACTAGTAGTACACTTTTGCCACACAGCCCATTGCAATCTAGACGCCTGTTGCTGGAGGTGTAATCTCACGCGACAAAACGCGCAGGTTGTTCATCATCCCGGTAATCAGTCCTTCGAAGCTGTTCGGCTCCTTGTTCCTTACTTTATCCGCATTGTCGATTAATACGTCCGAGTTCAGCTCCAACTCCAGCTCGTGGTTCTTCATGGGGCCTTGTTGCACCTGGGTCAGATCCACCTGGTATGCGCCGAGCCAGGAGTACGACATTCTGTCTTTCTGCCGCTTCATGCTCTCCAGATCCTTCCCAGCCTCAACAGCCGGCTGGAGTTTCTCGATAGGTCCGGGATAGTTGATTTCTAGATTGATGCCGATGCGGTAGTCCCACTCAGTCTGCGGCGAGCTGATCTCAAGGTTCCCTAGGCGATGCTTGATCATGCACCGGATGACCTGGCCCGTCTTCTGGTCGCGCGTCACGCGAATTCGTTGACGGGCACCAGCTGCGTGGATGAGGACCTTGGTCTTTGCGGGTAGAATAGCAAATTGCTCTTGTCCCAGCTCGTAGAAGTTGTCAATCTCCCTTGTGTGCTGGTAGTCGACCGGTGGACGCGATGCGCCAGGCGCTTTAGACTCCCGGACTTGGCCGTTCAAGTACATGTTCATGCGCTTATGTTGTTCCATGGTCATGGTGCTCTCAAATTTGAGATCCATGTTCTGCGACTTGATGACGGTTTCGGTGTCGTGGTAACCTCGCAGTCGGCCATTGCTCCCTTTGTCGATAATATGACCCCAACGCGCCTCGATTTCCAGCTGAGTAAGTTCAGACTCGGCGATCGCGCCGCGAACTACTTCATTGTTGATAGCCACGTTCCAGATGAAGTCGCATACTTTGCGCGAAACATCGTCGTAGACATGCGCGTCATTCGAAACGGGTCGCTCAAAGCCACTAAGCTCAGTAACAGGAACAGTAATAGCGTGCGCGCCATTTCCATTTACTGGAGGACCGTTGCGGTGAGGTATCGGCGGCGGGGGTGGTTGGGCATGTGGTGGAGGTGCAGGCGACGGTTCCTGGGCGGGCGGCGGTTGACGCGACTGCAGGCGCTGCTCATGCAGTTCTTGTAGCTCCGGCGGGAGTTTCTCTCCTTCGAGATAGGCCCATATGGGCTTGGGGTCGTGACGCTTGCGCTTGAGTGGCATCTGCCTATGTGTCGGCTTTGAGGGAGTCTGGAGGTTCGCGTTGGAGGTAATGGGACTGGAAGCGGACACAGAGATGGAATTGGAGAGAGACCGCCGCGGTAGCACGGTCGCGTCTCCATCGTGATTCACTAGTGCGGATATATTCATGGTGGATTGTGGTAGGGTTGTGCTTCGAATCATACTTACGGTGATAGGTACCTACAACGTGCCAAGCCGAGCCGCTAGCCCTCAGGCTGTCGTTCAGGGTCTGACTGGCCCTGCTTCTTTGTTGAGCCAGAGAGCTTCAGGTGTTTGTCCGACTGAAAAACAGATGGGTGTTGACAAGATCAAAGGAATGGAAAACATGTGAGTGATGGATTCGGTATTGGAATTACTTCATTTGCTAGTGCTACAGCCAATCTCGTACGCATGCACCAGACCGTCATTGCTTCGCACGAGTCATGCTTGGTATGCTTTGCACATGTCATCTACCGCGCAAACACCAAGCGTCTTATATCTATGCATCGTGCCACTTTTGGGCGATCTATAATCTTCATGCCTCCTGGTCCAAACCAAGATCTTCCGTCGCAGGTACAATGCGGAGGGTGTTGGTGTGGCCCATTCCTCCTCTCCAGCCCTGGACGCAGATGACGGGAGCACCCTTCTCGAGCACGCCGAGCTTGATCGCATTCATGATGCCCCACTTCAAACGGCGGTCAACATCCTCCTGCCATGGCGCGGCCTTGAAGTCGGGCTTCTCCTCTGCGAAGTAGAAGGGGTATACACCACGGTACAGGTGAGAGTACCTTGAAGCCGAAGCATTACGGGTGACCATGATGATCGGGCACACGGGACGGTACTTGGAAACGAGGCGCGCGGTGGTACCACTAATAGATGTTAGCCCACAATTCTAGGTTATTCCGAGATCTCTGTAGTGTGACTTACCTGGTGGTCAAGACCAAGATCGCACCAGCGTTCTGCTCCAGACTGGCGCTGACGGCAGCCATGGCGCAGGTCTCTGTGGTAGGGCAAGGGACAGGAGCCAGTTTCCTCAGCTCATCGAATGCGTTTACGTATGGGATAGCGACCTCTGCGAGCAAGCAGGTCTCGTGCATCATGGTAACGGCCTCGACGGGGTAGTCTCCCTTAGCAGTCTCGCCAGACAACATGACGCAGTCGGCTCCGTCAAGGACAGCGTTTCCGACATCGCTGACTTCGGCACGGGTTGGGCGAGGGTTGTAGGTCATGGACTCGAGCATCTGGGTCGCGCAAATGACAGGCTTTCCGGCAATGTTGCACTTTGTGATCATCATCTTCTGCGCAATGAAGACCTGGCTGGGCGGGATCTCGATACCCAAGTCACCACGGGCAACCATGACACCGTCGGTCTCCTTGAGGATGTCGTCGAAGTTGTTCACACCTTGCTGGTTCTCGACCTTGGCAATGATCTGGATGTCCTTGCCCTCCTCGCCGAGCACCTCACGGATAGCAGTGATGTCGCTGCCGCGGCGGATGAACGAAGCAAAGACCATGTCGACCTTGTTCTTGACACCGAACTTCAAGTCGGCCTTGTCCTTCTCGGACAGCGGGGGAAGATCGATGTCGGTCTTGGGCAGGTTAACACCCTTCTTGGAGGAGATCTTGCCGTTGTTCACGCACTTGACCCTCAGTGTCTGGTCGTCGACAACCTCGAGGACCTCGAATGAGAGGACACCGTCATCGACGTAGATGGTGCGGCCGACCTCAATGACCTTTGTGATGTTCTTGTAGTCGACGTACATGTTCTTGTCGTCGCACTTGGTGGCATAGGCATCATCGGTGGTGATGTTGAGCTCGGTGCCAGCCTTGATCGGGATGTCCGCATCCCCGACAGTGTTACCTGTACGGATTTCGGGGCCCTTGGTGTCGAGGGCGATGGCGAGCGGCCTGCCAGACTGTTGCTTCTCGGCTTCGCGCGCGTTGTCGATGACGGACTGGTGGTATTCGTACGAGCCGTGGGAGAAGTTCATGCGGACGACGTTGAGGCCAGCCCTGCGGAGAGCGTTCATCTTCTCCGCAGAGTTGGTCTTGGGGCCAATGGTGCCGATGATGGAGGTTCGGCGGTACTCCTTCGCAGGGTGGTACTCGGTGTTGAGCTGGCTGAGCCACTCAATCCTGGTCCGGCCGGCATTGAGGTGGTCGAGACTGGCATGTTGTTAGTAGAGGATACTGGTGGAAGGCGTCTTCGCGGCACAAGCGTGGAGAAGCCATGAAGAGCTTCTCTGGCGGCGGTGTGGCTATCAGGCATGCCATAATAGAAAGAGAATACATACGCGTTGGCCATGTTTGCAAGTTGAGAAAGTTGTTGCGGGTGTTGAAGGAAGGCGGTGGGCGGGGCCGGTCTCTGCAGCGATTTTATAGGATCCAATTGCTCTGGTGGGTGGGTGAGCAAAGAGGAAAGGCTTATCTAGCTTTCGTAGAGGGAGGGCGGATGCGCTTGGATTTTGTTTCTCTCCAGAACGGCCTAGTTGTTGGCCTGTTGAGAGCTTGGAGGGGCAGTCGCGCTAGTAACGTCCAGTGGGGGCTCTTGTCGAAACGCGGCCAGCAGTTTTGTCAAACCAACAAGAAATAGATTCACAGGGACTTGGGCCTCTTGGTCGCAGCCGTTCCTTGGGGCGGCCCCGAATGCACCGGCTGTAATGCAGCTGACCGCATGTTGCAGCGCATTCTTCGCTCCCATGCCGATGGCGGGCCTGCAAGCATGTTGCTTCTGCTGCCCACGTTGAGCATACCGCCTGGATGATAAGCTCCACGGCGCGTGCTACGCTCCCAGAGTAATTGAAATTTTCATCGTCTCGGTTGGCGTTTCTGCCTCCGGTGCTTCGTCCTGCTGCGCGGCCGGGTCTGATGTCTGCTCGCCATGGCGTCCTGGTGGGTCATTTTTGTCTCAACCCGCGCGGCGGAGGTGCGGTGTTTCGCACCTAGCACGAGTGCAAGTCATGGGAAACGCGGATGCGTAACCAAGAGGCAGAGCCGCTTTTATATGGATCAAGGGACATGGAGAAGACGTTCCTACTTGACCCGCACCTTGGTTCCGCATGGCCGCCCCAAGGACCTTTGCCCGAGGATGTGGTGCTCCAGGTACACCCGCCTCGAGGCGAGGCCGTCGAGATGAGACGGAAGAGCTCAACAACAAAGATGTGTGGATAACGTCTGGCTATGTGGTGCCACGAAGTACGTGAAGACGACAGACCTCGGGAGCACACTTTTCTCCACCTGATCGAGTAGCCATCGAGCTTCTCAAGACTACTTCGTACTTGTGGACCCTGGGCCCGGCAATCACATGCACTGTGGCTGGTGCACCGCTCCTCAGGCCTAGTCCATCTAAGTTCACCAACACCCTACACCGCAGCTTCTCACCTAGCAACCACCAAAACACCACCTTTGATACCCCCAAACCGCTTCGCCAAGAGCTTCTCTCCGCAGCTCCCAACTTCCACAGTCTTCACATTCACTACCTACCGCCACCATGGTCGTACGTAGCCCATCTCGCAGCGAAGCGTGACCGCCTCCGCAAAGGTCGCATGTCCTCCGCAAACTCACACGTCTCCAGGTCGGCAAACTTGCGCACTACGCCTTCGACGCGGTAATAAGTGCGCCTCGCTCCCCTCCCCAAAACATCTATATTCAGCACTCCTAACACCCACCCCAGTATCCGCCTTCCTCGCCGGCGTCCGACGCTCCACGGGCCTCACGTACGTCCTCGCCTCCGCAACCCGCCACAAACGCCGACTAACACGAGTGCTGACAGTCCCAGTGTGAAGCCGGACCAGTTCTCCGAAACACCGGGCGTGAAGAAGTGGATCGACAATTACCTCTGGGTCGGCGAGACGGTCATGGATCAGAGCGTGGCGTTTTTCGCGTCGAGTTCGTACTTCGAGAGGAAGCGGTAGAGGTGGGGGGTGGACTACCCGCTTTTCTCGTGGCGTAGAGGGTGCGATTGAAAATGGGGTGAGATGTGTGTACATTGGGGCGAACGAGAATGATTGGATGACGAGACATGTGCGCGTGGGACTGGATTCCTCGACTACGACTACAAGCACGATGGCGTTTGGGGCTGGTGCTAGCTTTTGTTTTGCGAAGACCGAAATGCATCACTTTTACGATCTGGAGAAAGAAGTCAAGGCTTGGAAGTGCTATCGTGATGTGCTCTATCTATATGCATGTGGGTATCTTCCGCAGATGCTTGAACGCTATGCTAACATGCGTGAAGGATGTCGCTGAGGAGCATAGCTCATCCTCTTCGCTTGAATCTGAATCCCGTCTCCTCTTCATCGCTATCGTCCTCTCTTCTGCTCAACTTCCCTCTCTTGCTCGTGGGACCAGCTACGGTAGCCGCTCCACGCTTCTTACCACGCGCTTGTGTCTGCGTATCATCAATCTGAGTCTCCACGACCCGCTGCGTCCGACCACTGCTCCTCTGCGTCCTTCCTACAGGACCTTCATCGCCATCTTCTTCTTCGCTCTCTTCTACATTAACCACTTCTGAAGTCTGCGATCTCTTCCGGCTGACGAAGCCTCCGACCTCCGGCTCCGAGTCGTCATCATCCTGCAAGCGTCGGCTCCTGTTCGACCTGAATGTCAACGAAGGTTCGACATCGTCGAGGAGGAAAGCATCGCCGACACCGAAGCCCTTCTTCGGGGCGGCTTCTTCCAAGCGAATGATGGTGCGGTGCGCCTGCACACCTCGCTCTACACCGCGCCGTTTAAACTTCTTGAAGTTCTTGCGGCCGTTCCACTCGGGATTCCAGCGATCACTGTTGACCTGTGACTGTCGAGCCAAGGCTCTGTCGGCTCGGGGACGGACATCCATCTCTTCGATTTCGGTGATGTTGCGAATCTGCGAGATATCGACGCCATCAAGTGCCTCTGCTAGACTCTCCTCGTCGGCCTTGCGGCGCTCTTCTTCCTCCTTGACGCGGATGCGGGCTTGTTCGCGAACATTGAACTCCTTGCTTGCAGCTCTCGCTTGTGCGCGTTGGAGTTTCTCGATTGTTTCTTTGCCTTTGCCGATTGTTGGCTGAACTGGTCCGCCTGCTTCGGGTTCAACGGAGGCCGATGGTGCGCGTGTCGCTGCTCGTTGACGCTTGATGGCTGCAGCGGCTGGGAAGAGAGTGTCCATCTGCTCTTCTTTTGCCACTATATCGTCAACGGGCGAGCCTTGTGAGTGCTGTGTTTGTATGTCGTGTCCAGTGCGACGCTGCGAGGCGGCTGCTTGTGAGATAGAAGGTCGGGTAGATTCTTGCACATCTTGCATCGGCGTGTCGTCCACCTTGGTGCGCTTAGCAGGTGGCTCAAAATCGTCGAATCCTGTGAAGCGGCCGCCTGTCCTTGGCCGGTGTATACGCTTGCGTGCGGTGGTCTTGACAGGCTCAGTTATCTCTGGAGATGCGCTCCCAGCTGGGGAGGGAGCCTTTGAATGAGACATCGGAGTTGGGTCGCGCACTGAAGGTTGAGAGGGCGCAGAGCCGGGTGCTCTTGAGGGAATGTTCACTATCTCTGCAGGCGGTCGCTGCAATGACGCTCGGTCCTTGGTCACGATTGCATCAAGAAACTCGTTTTGCAAGATTGAGCGCTGCTGAAGTGCCTGATCCACACCAGTAACGAACCCAGCGGCCCATTCTTCCATACCATCCGGATAGCCAGCGAGACGGACAGTCACAATGGGAAGTTTGTCTCCACTTGTCTTGGTGCGCTTCTTCTTCCCTGCGACACTATGGACATAATCGACATATTCCTCGACTGTAGTTTCGCCTGGCTTTACATCGAAGAACAAGCCCTTGCCTCCTCCACCACTGACAGGCTCTAAAAGACTATTAAATTGGCTTTCAACCAGGAAAATAAAGGTTAACCCGGAGAAAACCTCGGCTCGCGAATGATCTGGCTCCAACATCTCCTGCGGGCGCGTGACGGGCTCTGCGCCGACTGGCGGTACGTAGTCCTTCTCTTTCGGCCACCATTCATCGAAGTCCTCCTCCAGTTTCGAGGGCTCATAGTTCTCTGCTTCGTCCACTGACGTGGCTGCGGCTTTGAGCACGGCATCTAGAAATTCGCCAGTTACAATGTGTTTGCCAGCAACGAGGCCGGACAGGACTTTTGGTAGATTTCGCTTTTGTGTAATGACGTGGGTGGTCTTGTCGAAGAGGAAATCGGTAGTGGTTTTGATGTCGAGGGCATGCAATTGGGCGCTGCGAGCCTTGGACTCCTTGGATTCTCTCGACGCATGTGTGAAGACGGTTGGGTGCCATACAATCTTGAACGGCGCATAGCCCTGAGCCAGGCGGATAGTATGCTCCGTTCCAGTCAAGATTGCCTTGTCGTACTCGAGTGATCCGTCGTCCAGTTTCTTGCTCTTCAGGTGTGTCTTCTCGTCGATTGTGGTCCCTTGCCGACAGCTGAGGTCGGTGACTTCTATCTGCGACCTTGTATGTAGCTTCGTACCATTTTCGGGTGGAGCGTCGTGGACTTTGAGCATGACATGCTTGCGCGAGACGGCTTTGTTGTCTATCTTCCACGATTTTCCCTCATCGTCGCCAGACTTTGTGCGACCAAATAATTGCTGAGAGCCTGGTCGCAACCATACGCGCTTCCCGCCGAAGAGCGATTCGTGTTCGAGGAACCACATCGTGAGTCGTCCGGGCGGCGGTGGATTTTTGTCAGTCACTCGGATGCTATCTCGAGAGGCGCCGCTATGAGCTGGCTTCGCGCATCCATGCGGGTGGGTGCATGTTCATCCCAAATGGTGACGGCTGCCTGCGTGATTCCAGGCGGACGGAAGTGATCAGTGCGCGGGGCGCTGCACAAGTGCGACGCGCTGTCATGTGAGCGCTAGCGTCATTTGACTTCTTTTCCTTCAATTGTTCGCTCGTCGCTGTACCACTTGCTGGGCGCCACTAAACCAGTTCTTGATCTGCCTTGTCGTGTTCAAGTTGCCTCCTGATTTGCCTCGTGTCTAATCCACGCAGATCGTCATCACGCTCGATCCAGTTTCCTATAATCCGCGGGCATAACTTGCTACCAAACTCTTAGGAAAAACCGAGGCGAGCACTTTCTGCAAAGCAAAGCTGGCGACATAATACCAGAGCATGTGTTGATTTCATTGCAATAAGAACTCATTGATCAAGGGCATGAACTTGGAATCTCGTTCGCCATCTTATCATGTGCAAGTTCGTCAACTTCCAGTTATGTATTGGGCTCGACAATGCCTCATTAGATGAACACTTTGCAGCTCAAACCATGTATGATGAGAGACGCCATTCGCGGTTCCAGCGTATCCCATTTATTTAATTTCCAAGACTTGATTGAAGCTGATGATCTTAGCGCAGTAAGATTTGGGGATCGGAGTTGCTGCACAGCGAGCTTGTCTTTTCGGACACCGTAAATAGCAGGGAACTCCCCCACCGGCCCAATCAGGTAGCACTACACAGCATCTCGTTGAAAGAATTCTGGTGTGGCCACGGCGCCTTCCGCTGAGCCTCATTACCCGACGTCCCACTATGCAACAATCCGGAGCTCGGAAGCGTAGCATCACACTCTGGGATCACAGACCCGTACATTCTCCGCCTACTGTACTAAGGCCCTAAGGTATAACGAGTGGTAGTGTGTTCCGAGTATGGGCCCTCAATGGCTATGTTGCTGAAGGAGCTTTGTCCACAGTCATTTCGCGCTTCACATCACAGTACTTGCTCGCAAGCCGAACTCAGAGCGCGGACTTGGTAGACCCTTGGTAGTATCAACAAACGTGACACCGAACCAGAGGTATCGAGGAGACACGAAGGAGTATATATGACCGCCCTGTGGTCGGTCGCTGAACTCATCATCAAAAACCAGCTCATCATCGCATCCCAACCAGTACTCTATTACAAAGCCAATATCTTCCCAGGAACCTCCTCTACCCCTAAGCAACTCCCTAGATAATCAAGATGAAGGCCTTCACCATCCTCGCTGCCCTCCTCACTGTGGTCGCTGCCACCAACCCCTTCGCCGCCCGCGCCGACTGCAGCTGCGATATCAGCAAGTGCCCTACCTCCGGCCCAGCTGTAAGCTCCCTCTCCTCTAATTTCACATCTCAATCTAACGATCCTCAGCACTGCGTCTGCGTAACCGGCCTCCTTGACTCCTGCTACGTCGCGCAAACCAACGCCGGCATCGACTGCGGCAAGCCCGTCTACCCCGTTTGTCTCCCCACCTCCCTCCCTATCCCTCCACTAACTCTCCCGCAAGGACGGCTGCAGCTCTTCCACTCCAATTCAGAACCAGGCCTGTGGCGGCTCTGGCGGCGGCAAGTGCGGCACCGACGAGATCTGCTATGTTCCCGACAAGAACTGCGATATCCACTCGGGCAAGTGCACGGGGCTCTGCGCGAGCGACTACTGCGGTGGGCAGTGGGATAAGCAGTGCGCGGACGATCGCTGGAGCTGTGTTTATGACGATGCATGCTTGAAGAATGGTGGAGTTGATTGCGATGGGCACTGTGTGCTGAACTAGACGGCGGGGAGGAATGACGGGTGGGGGAGGTGAGTGATGGATGCAGATTCTGTTCGATTGTATTTATGTTTTGGGTATAGACTTGGAGGAATGGTGTGGCTAGATTGTATATATGTACTTTGTCTTTGAGGAATACTTATTGTTGCGCGTCTGGTGTGTACTTCATGAACATGCTTACAAGTAAGAAGGACATGCTTGGAAGAATGCATGGTTGCAAAGAAGGTAGATAGATTAGGAGAGGAAGGTGGGAATCCAGAGATGACAAGGGAAGGGAAGATAGATATCAAGCATAAGAGCGAGCAGCAAGAACATCACAAGGAGCAAGAGAAGAGTAAGTGTGTGAGGACAGTGGGATTCATTGAGCCGATGATACCATGAGATGTATCCTTCCATGAAGTTCCTTGCCAGATGTTTGATCCATTGTTGAAGTTCCATGCCAAAAAGCTTGTTCCAAGATGTTCCAAGCCAACCACAAAGTTCCAACCAAGTCCAACTATCATCAGCACCAATGTCCATATCCTTTGTCGAGAAGTGTTGTTGTTGAAGTCCAAAACTATCTATAGCCAAAGCTATCAAGCCCAATACAAACTGAAAAAGCAAGAAGTGTTCATGCTGCAACTCTCGAGTTGACCTGAGCCGAAGCCGCCGTCAAGAGTCACAGGGCAGCTGTGAAAGATCAAGAGACTGTAAGAACCCGGGCGAGAATCAGCCACACAGGTCATGTACCAGTCTTGAGCTCAATGTGTGGTAGGCCTCATGCAAAGATGATCTGTCCTCCAACACCACAAAAAGAGCTCATCATTGTATGGTAGGCCTCGTGCAAAGACGATCTGTCCTCCAGCACCATACAATGACTTGATCAACTGCACCAGGCCGAATACGTGGGTACATGTACCACGCGTATGCCTCGAACTGCTTAAGCCTCAACAGAATGTGTTCCACGCTCTTACGATCTTTCGCCCAGAGAACCAGTCAAACAAGTTGAAGTCGAAAAGAAGGTAGATGGTGGATGCCATGAGCGTGCTCTGCGTGTTCGATGGCGTGCCAATAAAGCCTGAACAGGCTGTGATGAAGTTGACCTGAAGAGGGTTTGAGGATGTTGGCCTGAGAAGGCAGTATGATCAAGGTGGCCTGAAGAGGCAGTGGAGGTGTGGTCAAGGTATGCGGCGGGCATATGTGATAGTGATGGTATAGGTGAGGCGAACAGCAGAGCTGTGATGAAGCAAGGTCAGCATGACATGAAATAGTGGGAGGGCAAGGTGAGTACTGACCAGCTCAAGGCGAAGGAGGTGGTGGTGGACCAAGACTCATGATGACGTGTGATGTTGACATGAATTGGTGTCATATGGAGGTGCGGTGTTGATGTGAAGTGGTCATGGTGCAAGTCGAAGTGGACTTGAGTGTATCAGAGTCATGGTCGATGGTGAGGTGAAGGAACATTGAAGAATGATCAACAAAGTTGAGAAGGATGATTGAAAGAGCCAAAGAGACTTGATGAGAATGGAAATTTTGTTGGCTGAGAACTCAAAGTTGAGAAATTGTTTGGCAGTTGAGCGGAGTAGGGAGTACGAGGGACGGTGGGAGGGGGCTACTTATGCCTCTGGGCGTGGCGTGCACGGGCCTCCGTTAGGCGAGACTCCGGTGCGAGGTTCTGCCGGCGACAGGAAGGTATAGGCGGGTGCAGGTTGTGGGTGGGCGAGGCAGCAGTCGGGTTGTGGCGGGGTGCAGACAAACTCAAGGTGAAGGAGAGTTCAACATCAGAAAGTTTACGCGAGCAAAAAATGGTCCGAGCAGCACCATCAGATGAGAATGCACTGCAAGGAAGGTAAAATTGGGTGTCAGAGGGTATAAACGAGTGTGTTTCAAGTGCCTGAGGGCAGTGACGCCAGGCCAGAGGGCACCAAGAGGTTGAGGATAGCAGCATAGGCACACTTAGTGTTTGAAAGCGGCAGCTCAGCTTGAAAAGAGAGAGCAAGTTGTATAAGATGCCGTCGTACGGGTTGCTGTGTCCGTGATTCTGCCAGCTTGCGTAATGCTATTTGAAAGTTATGGCCGCATAATGTGATGGCCAGCGGAGAGGGCAAGGACTCACTGAAGCAATCTGATCTTGAGTTCCGGTCGGGCATGTATGTTCAAGGCTTCTGTGAAATTGCAGTAGTCTTCGTGGTGCAGGAAGCCAGGATGGCGACGCAGGCTGAGTTGTCCCAGCAAAGGCCGGCACAGTCTGTCATCATGAGTACTCTACTGGCACTTCGCAGGCGAGCCTGAAGCTTTGCGGTACAATAAGTGACCCTTTGAAACGATGTAAATATGTGATTCTGCTCTCTGACTTGCTTGAGAGCCACAGAAGCGTTCAGTGTGGGCGTGCACGTAGCTGACGGAGTGGCGGCAACATCTTCCAAATCAGTGCTTGGCGTGTGAAACCGTACCCACGTCTGATTGGATCTATCACAGAGAATAGCAGGCAGAGCACAAGTCATATTGAGTTCAGGACAGACAGAGAATGTGTGGACAGCCATGCGAGTGAGCGCCCGCCATGTCGACGAGCGCGAATCAGTTTAGTTCCGACATTGGAATATTAATTTGACTGAGATAACACGCAAAACCTTTGCCAACTCATTGAGTATGTCTGAACGCCACTCCGCCAGTTGCGCGTAACCCAGCGTAGACAGCGATAGGAGCGCGACCAAGCAAGCGGGGTCAGACGAGCACACTTGTCATGATAGAAGATAGCGGAAATATTGAACTACAGGGTCAGCATCAGTTGCGGTCCGTCGTGCTTGCCTGTACTGAGCGAGTGGTGGGGTAGTATAGCGGCTTCCCTCTCTGCATCTGCGCGACCAAGAGACAAGACATCAAGCTTACATGGTCAGTCAACGGTAATATCACGAGACTACCAGTGAAGACGAGGACATGATGAGTGACAAGAGACGACGAATTAGATGCCGAACTGTGTGAGAGCTACCCATGGTGTGTATTTAGACCCCAGTAATGAATTAAAAATTGGCTTCTTCCCTCACCAGTATAGAAGTGACTCGATACAGGGTATTCAGACGACCTGTAGACACACGGATTACTCGCGGAGACCGTCGCTGCAATGGATCCGCAGATGCTGGTATGCGTGGGTCGATGAGAGGTACCTCTCGCCGACGACTCTGGAACACGCTCGCGTTTCGTAATTTGGCGTCGCGAGTCTCTTGAGCGGGTTCTAGGGAGCGACTCTCATCGATAGCTTCTTTGCGAGCTTCCTCGACAGCCAGCTGTGCGACCCACGGGCGAGCGAAGTGGTCTAGCTCTTCCTTCGCGGCTGCTCCGCACTGTGAGGGTACCACCACCTACGACGCAGTGTAAAATTCGCAAGGCCTGACGAGAAGCCGCTCACTTCGAGCCTCCAGCTCAGGTGCTGTAAACAAAGTCGTCGCGTCGCTTCGTTCCATGTCCTACGTTCCGACTCAGACCTTCTCCTCAATCACCACGAATTCGTATAAAAGTCCCGATCATGCAACCTCCCCTCCTCAATCCCCACCAACACGCTCTTCACCCACGGCGGCTGTCTCGCAGCCCCACGCTCCCCACCTATCGGACACGTGATGAATCCCCGATCTTCTGCGAGCTTGCCGACTTCCTGGACAATCTTCAACTGCTGGGTGCCCTGCGCTTGCAGCCTCTCGCGACGCTCTTGCATCTTCTGCTCGAGCCAGGATGTTGCTTCTTCGATGCCTCGGGATGCGAGACGCTGAAAGGAGGCGAGGAAGCGGTTTATGATGTCGAAGAGGAGCCGGTAGAGGAGTTCTGTGGCGATGGCGGTGCCGGTTTGGTGGGTGAATAGCCGGCTGGAGATGAGTGATGTTGGGGATGGCTTCGTTGTCAGTGAAGTTGAAGGGCCAGGGCGGTAGAGGACGAGTGATGAAGATGCCGTCATGTTGCTGGTCTTTTGTGCGTTGGGTTGTTCGTAGGACCACAGTATTCGAAATGTGAACAGCGGAACTGCATTGTAAACACCGGGTTATTAAGGCCCCTTATATTCATCACAACGGGTTCCGTGATGTCCATCGTACGTTTGATGTCGGTCGTTGCTGCGGCCGACTTACCAATCAGCATCTGCAGGAATGCAGATCGCTGGACGCCTCATCGGTTGCACAGAGACCGACAGCGAGCGGCTGTGCGCAAGGCTGAACGTGTATCCTGGATAGCCTCAGGGATGTTGTGTACATGGAATCGCTATTTGTTGAGTCACGGAAGGTATCTAGGATGATGTATGAGATGCAGAAAGGTTGCGAATGTGGTCTGCCAAATAGTATAAATTCATGTACTAATCCTACGCTACTGGGAACTCTAGGTCAACAACCCAGGGTGCGTTCTCCAGCAAGCCCTTCTCTCCCTCCATCGCCGCGTTCACACACAGCGTTTGCTTGCTGGAGCGAAGGTCCTCAAGCGAGCCGGGAGGAATGCTCGCGAATCCCTTCTTCTTGGCCTGATTCTTTCCAACCCATTCTTTCTGAAGCGGGTTTATGGAATCGGCCTCCCCACCAATCTTGACTTTTGTGTCAAACGCTAGTCTCTGGGCCCCATAGCCCTTGTGAACATGTCCAAAGCAATGCAGCTTTGGCTGGACCCGCTCTATAGCCCGGCGCAGATGCTCACATCCTGCGCTGCTACCATCGGGAGTCGAGTCTAAAATATATTTGGGCGGCCCGTGAGTCATGACTATGTCGACGTTTTCTGGGATAGTCGACATTTCGGTACCGACATTTTTTGCCCACGAATGCGAAAATTCAGCGGGGTTGTATCGGTCTTCGCCGGTGGGGTATTGGAAGGCTGAAGCACCGTACTTGGGCGTGAAGGGAGATGCATAAATGGTGAAGGAGGCGCCCGAGGAGAGAGTGAAGGGGTGTGTGCCTTCTTCGAGAAAGGTGATACCATTCTTGCTAGCCACTGAGGAGGAGGTATGGCTGGTGAGCTTCAGAGTCTTTTCGAGGTCTTCAGCTGATCCACCTTCAGCCAGATAGTAGTCTTTGTCCATGGAAATCTCGTGATTTCCTGCTATTACAAGCTTGAGCTCAGCTTCAATGCTGCCCAGTGCTTGGAGCGCTTTTTCGATGCTCTCGGGTGAACCATCTTCGGTAATGTCGCCGCAGTGAAGGAGGACATCGCATTTTGGAAGCGAAGATGGCAATTCGCATCCATGCGTGTCGGAGAGGACCAGGAAGCGGACATTGGCAGAGCCTGCAGGGCTTCCTACACAACTACGCTTGCTAGAGTGTGATGCTGGGGAGGTAGAGCGGGACCGCTTCAAAGCAGAGGCAGACATAATGGATAGTATAATGTAGCTGTACGACAATATGTGTGAGATATGTGTTGTACAAGGAATTGCTGGACACGGAGGAAAAGAGGGAAAAAATGGTTTATAAAGCATCCTCCTTGTACAACTCGGTAGAACCTATCGCAAGGCTACCAATTCTTCGACAGCGGCAAATATGATAATTCCCGAAGCCCTCTACACACGTACCATGAAAAGCATCGTAAATTTTTGCATACGAGAATGCCAACTTTGAGGGAATGGATATATCCAGGAGTCGGAATGCTTTTTAGTAGTCTCTTACGCGTCTTGCTGGTAGCGGAAGTCTCTGAATTTTCAGAAATTGTATGTCTTTCCAGTCTATCCGCGAGCTATACTGCAATGCATGACCGTGGAGTTTTGAGCGTACTGTATAACTTCAGCAGGAACTATGGAAAATTGCAGTCGGTTATGGAGAATTGAGGAGGGACATTGGCCGGACTATTGGAAGGAGACATGCAAGACTGACTATACATATCTAGAGACACCCGCGCGTGGACATATTCATAGCCACGCATATTCATTCTATTATTAGTTTGTTAGTAGAACGATATCAATAAATCTCATGTCCTCTCGTGCACCGGTCTCGGATGCTCAAATACGAGATTGAGTATGATCCGGTGGAGCTTTGGGAGATGCTGCTAGGCGAGCTAAAGGTGCGTCAGCACGTGTTTTCGCGTTCGCATAAAAATCCCCGCGCGGTCCTTTGGCACCCCACTCCCCAACCAAGCTATGCATCTATTAACAGCAACGTCTCGACCACCACCCGTCTTTGACATCTTGGCCAATCGAGATGTCATTGTTCGGTGGTGATGCTGGCGCACAGCCTTCGGATTCTTCGTTTGACTCCGAAGCTGAGCAATCGCAGGATTCTAGTACGCGACCCTCACCCTCTCCAGAGCGGGAACCTACTCCACAAGATGCGCCAAATACGGAAGACCTCTACGCCGAGCTCGAAGCCGACTTTGCGTCTCAGTCCGAGTCCGAGAGCGAGTCGGACGAGCCGACACGTCCCAACCGATTTCAAGGACCGCGCTACACATGGAGGAAATACACGGCTGCAGATCGCGAGATCGCTGAGTCGCTCGACCAGACACAGAACCAGGACCTCGCTGCACATCTGTACAACGCCCATGCTCTCAAGAAACGTGTCAGACGGCCACCACAGGAGCTGGCAGGCCTGAGCAGCTGGCAGAACAACGAGCATTGGCTGAAAAAGGGAGATGAGCTGCAGTATGCCGATATTCCGGGAGAGATGCAGACAAACCTGGTGCCATCTAAGGATTGGACAGCATGGCCTTTGCCTCCGCCAGAAACACGCAAGCCTCATGGAGAGTCCGGACGTGGAACGATTAGTAGCTGGCCGGATGACTGGACGATTGGCAATGCAGATGAGCAGGACATCGGAGAGGAGTTGCGCGATGAGATGCTCGCTACAATCTTGCGACAGGCAAAAGAACGCTGGCGCGCAAGGGAGACAGCAGATGCATCTGTCCGCGAGCTTGATCGTACAGCACGTTCGCGAAGCAGGTCACGCTCAAAAAGTATCAAATCAGCAAGATCACATCGTTCCATGTCAAGAGCGGATACGGACGCAAATGACGACGATCTCGGAACCGAAGACGGGGAAGCACAAGAAGACGAGCAAGAGAAATTTGGTCATATCTTAGGCAAAAGGCGAGGCAGGGTGGCCCAGCGCGTAACTCACGTCACGCCCACATTCCTCGCAGATGATGCGAAAGCACGCAGGATTCTGGACCCGATGATCAACTCAATCCTGACAAAGGCAGACGATCTCGCACTTGCCATTCGCCGCACTCGACTTAATCATTTCGGGCGCAAGGACTACACTGATAGGTCCTCCCAAAGCGACTGGACGTCTGGCATGGAATCTAGTCGACCGACACCGAAACGCACATCAAGGACCCAGTCAGGGAGCAGGCCTGGTAGCAGAAACAGTTCTCGACCTGCTTCTCGTGCATCATCGGTTCGATCTCGCCATGGGGCGATGAAAGCTGGTCGGCGGCTTAGGAACAACTCCTCCGATAGCGGCACAGACTCTGATAGTGACGTGGTCATGGATGATGCAAAGGCCGAGCCCTTGTCGAAGAAACGCAGTAGGCCCGGAAGCACGGCAGACGAACGAAGCCCCTCGGCCACCCGTGACGAGACGGGGAGAGCTGGGCTCATCGATTGGAGTGAAGTGCTTGGTCTTGCGGCAGTCAAAGGCTGGGACGAACGAGTGATTGCCCGGGCTACTCAGCGTTGTGCAACTCTTTTCGGCGAGAGCATGTCCTTCATACCTTTGGACGAAAACCGTGCCGCAATGCCTGTTTCCGAGCCAGTGCAGTACACACCATCCACCATACCGGCTCCAAACATGACGGCTAGCAGACCGGTACCAAAGCGTCCCCTATTCCCAATTGGTACCTGGCGCTGTCCTCATGTTGGCTGCTACGGTCACGAGAAAGATTTCGAAAGTCCACATCGCGTAGTAGAACACTGCAAAAGAGTTCATGGCTACGACCCAAGGACCAACGACTCGGACAACGAAGACAGGGCAGTCGGCGGCGTGCACATCGATGGTTTCTTACAGCCGATTGTTGCACAGCGTGGTTGGCTAGAGCGAGGGAAGTCGAGAGCTGGCAGGGAGAAGAAGAGGCAGAAGATTGCGCAAGTTGATGGTGCAAGTGAGGATGTTGCAGTCACTATCGAGTCTGACTAGAACTGCAGCCAAATCGCTTAGCCGTATTTCGTCACAGGAAGCATTTATACCCATATGCGTCCAAGCATGATGCTTCTTACAATATACAAATAGACTTCACAATATCCTTGCTGCTCTTAGTGATCTGACTACAGTACATACTAAACTTACCCTTCAGCCGGCAACTTTACGCGAGCCCCGCGCATCATCCACATCCCGCATCATCATTCTCCAAACATTCACACCTGGCAGCAAACCCGCCATTGCGCCCTCTCCAAGCCCCCAAAATGGCCACAATTCGGCCCATGAGGCCAAACGACCTCCTCCGCATCTCCTGCACCAACCTCGACCACCTGACCGAAACCTACAACATCGGCTTCTACATGGAATACCTGACAAAATGGCCCGAGCTATGCCAAGTCATCGAGGGCATCGACGGCAACATTGAGGGCTACAGTACGCCGCACATACTGCACGAAGAATTGCGAAGAGAACTAATGCAATACAAAACAGTCCTAGGCAAACTTGAATCCTCCCCTTACGCCGCGCCCATAACGCCCTACTCCCCGGCCACCACCGGCCGCAAATACCCAAACTACCTGCCCTGGCACGGGCACATCACCGCGCTGACCGTGGCGCCCAGCGCGCGCCGCCTCGGGCATGCGACGGCGCTGTCGAGCGCGCTGGAGCGCAGCAGCGATGCGGCGAATGCGTGGTTCGTCGACCTGTTTGTGCGCGCGAGCAATGAGATTGCAAAGGAGCTGTATAGGAAGATGGGGTACAGTGTGTATCGGCGCGTCAAGGATTACTACAATGATGGCGAGGATGCGTTTGATATGCGGAAGCCGCTTGGGAGGGATAAGGAGAGGGGGACGGTCAGGGAGAACGGGGAGGATGTGGCGGTTTCGCCGGATGATGTTTGGTGAAGATGGTTCAAGAATATGCGTGGTTTATGCAACGATGGAGATGGGCTAATGCGGAATACGAGAAGTATGTCAAGTTCAGGATGTGAAAGTGTGTATATATGCTAATTACGGCCGTGTAGAGATAATCATGCTATGTACTAGAAACGACGGGCGCTATGCTACTGGGTATCAGCAAATCAATCGGACATGAGAAAGAAACACCACCACCCGAAATCCAACCGAATACGCCCTTCAAACTCTAAACATTACTCGGACCCCTCCGCGTCCTCATATGTCGAACGTGTCGGTGCTTCCGTTGTGTCCACCATTCATATAGTTCCGGAGCGACGCACTCGGCGACCGCATTGCGCGCTGATCATGCATCGACGCATTGCTGCGCGGGCTCTGCGGCTGGCGAAGCGTATCGACAGCGACATGTCGCACAGCCCCTGGGCCATACATCTCTCCGCGCGAAGCCGCTCGCGACACATACCCGCCTCCGTATTCCTGGTCGTCGTATTCATCGTATCTGTTTGCGCCGCCGCCACCCCTTCCGTTGCGCACGTCGCTCGCAATTGGCGGCGCCTGGCGGAAGCGGCGCGAGGGGGCCATGTGTCTGTCCTCGTCGACGAGGACGACCATCCACACGCCGACCGAGCCTGATGAGCCGAGGAGGGGTGTGCAGTGGATCCAGCGCGGCCGGCCTTCTTCGTACGACTCCTCGAGGTTCGGGACCGCGCGAGACAGCCAGCGGATCTTTGCAGTCACACCGCGCGTGCCGTCGGCCAGGGCGTTGCCGACCGAGGCGCGCACTCGGGTACTACCACCGATGCGGTCGAGGAAAGGCGATTGCAGGATTCCTGGGACGCGCAGTGACGGGGAGGAGAAGAGGATTCGAAGGGAAGGCGCGGGGCGGACGAGGAGATACTAGTCAATCAAATCAGCACTGTCCCAAACGCACGACGACTTCTGCGCAGAGAAACTCACATGTTTGTACGGTCCACTCAACTTCCCATCCGCATTCGGGTTCGATTTCTGGCCCGTCTCTACGTGGTCAAAGGTGCTCTGATCCTGAATCACGCACCCTCGGCCGGCTCTGGATCGTGCTGTTGTCGTCCTGTTCCTGCACAACCTCTCTGTGCATGTTACCACCGTGCTTGCGCACAATGTCTAGCTCAGTGTTGTTGAACATCTTGCTGAGCTCCTGGAACTCGTCTTTGGGCTCCTCATGCGTTTCTCCACTCTGCTGCTGCTCGCGCATGCGCTGGAAGGCCTCGAGTTCGGTGCCATCCTTGACCAAGCCCGAGACGTCAATCTGCGCGCCGATGAAGTAGCGCAGAGTGCCGCGCGAGTCGAAAAGGGGTGCTGTCATCAGAAGGTTCATGAATGGGGAGCCATCGCGGCGGCTGTCCGCCTGTTAGATGTTGCTGGGTACCGCATGGTGGGATATCCTTACTAGTTCAAAAACACCTCACTGTGCTCCCTGCCACGAAGTGATCATCTCCTTGAAGCGAGCAACACTGGACTTGTTCGTCTTCGGGCCCTGAAGGAAACGGCAGTTTCGGCCAATTGCGTAGCCGACGCCATACTGTGTAGTGCGGTGGAATTCTGCAAAGCGTCAGCCATGTCTCACGTTTCAATGCCTGAGTTACAAACCTTCCGAAGCAAAGATGATTGGGTTGTCTGTCCTTGAGGGATCCGTCAAGCAGAAGACTTCCGCCAATCCCTCGCTGGCTTCCCGCAGCATCGGAGGCAGGTTGCCAGTGACCCGTTTCGCTATGCTGACGCTTGCGACTTGGGTGAAGACATGTGTGATAAAAGCTGGCAGGTCGTCCCTGACCAAGACGTCGAAAGCCTTGTTTGCTTTCTCCTCCAAGACCGCATTGACCGTGGCCCTTGCTGGGGTGTCTGTGAACTCGAGCTTCTCAATCGGTTCCAGAGCTTCTGCCACAGCATTGGCGTAATTGATAGCCCGTAGAGCCTTCAGCGCATCGAGGTAGTAGATGAGGATCGGTATCGACTGCGGCCGTGTGGTGCTGAGGAAAGATGTGAAGCGGAGTAATGAAGGAGTATCGTTGAAAATGGCCTGCAAATGCTGCTTGGAGAACAAGCGTTCTGACTCGTCTTCTAGTGAGGCTTGCTTCTTCTCATTCTCAACTGGGGCAACGAGATCGAAGGACCCAGGATCGTCCTCCAGCAATGGCGAGAGGCGATCGTCATCATCGAGAACTTTCTGCTGCAGCGGCCCAAGTTGCTGAGTTGCAATTGACGGAGCCGAGGATTCGTACGATATGACAGAGTCGGCGGAACTGCGAATTACGGTTGGCTCTGGGTTGCGCAACGATGTCATGGGCCTTTGGCCATTGTGGTTGTTCTGTGACGAGGGGGTCCTTGACTGAACCCGCACTGGGTATTGCTGGGGTTCGGGTGTTTGGGGCATGATCATTGATGAGGCGTCTGCACTGATGCGCCGTTGCATGGACAGACGTTTCTTATTAGCAGATGGGGTGTTGGAACTTTCAACCGTTAGACAAAGGAATGCTTGGGTATGGAGTCATGACCTACCTGGTCCTTGAAGGTATATGAATGCCACGTCTGGTGAAGTCCGGTGGTGCTGGTGCTACTCTACTATCTTGCTCGTCGTCCGAAAGCCAACGGTCGTGTTGCTCTTGACTTGCTTTTTGACTAGGCGGCGGCGTGAGAGGCGGGCTCTGCACTTTATCATATCCGTCGTAGATTGCTCCAAGGTCCAACACCAGTGGTTCGTTGACAGCGCCAGCATCCGCATTGGCGGTGGCGCTATCGTCTGCATAGGCATGGTGCTCACTTGCGATCCCCATTCTGGCTGAACTGGTAGCTCCACTGGGGGTCGAAGGCGAATAATTGTGCATAGATTTTATGACACGCGCTGATCTTTTCTTGAATTTGAACATGAGTACGAATAGTCAAGGGTGCCTGGGCGCACTACGGATGGAAGGAGTGGTGTGTGCCCGGGGATCGAGGAGATATTGGAGGCGTGTGGAAGCGAAGACTTTGGAATGAATGATGACGATGATCCCGAATTAAGACAGACGTACCAAGATGTTTCGACCAACGCTGACACGTTCTGGCAGGTAGCGCGGCGTGAAACTAATGCTACAAGAGGTAACGTTTGTCTGCACCCCTAGCCTCGCCGAAAATCCTTTGAAGGCGAGCTGCAAGACTGACAGGTTCTGCCTCGCTAGACAGAAGCAGCCGATATATCGGCAATCGCGGTCTGAAGAGTTGCACGATGAGATTCGATCCAGCGATCGGTGCTAAACGAAGCCAAATACTGCGGTTCGGGAAGACCGCTCGCTTGGCTAAAAACACAAATCAGCTTCGAAGGACAGGGAATGCTGGTGGAGATGAGGCCGTAGACACTCAGCTCAGGTCGGCAGCAGATTTCGAAGGTGTAGGCTCCCAAAGTCTATTATCCTGATGTTGAGTTTCACGGAAATCAGGAGGTTGGCGTGGAATTCGACCCCAGGATGTCTCAGACGTGTCCCGCTTATTGCGACTCAAGAAGTCGTGCCCACTGTCAACTGCACGCGAGCGGTACCTGACAAGCTTGTCCGTGTCATCCCTGTGGGGATCAGGCGATAAACAAAGTGCGCCGGTATACATGCCCGAGACAGCACGTTCCCGAGACAGACGCTCCCGAAGAGGGAATGTGGAGTCCCAGAAAGGAATGGAGGAATTCGTAGAGCGCGATGAGACTTTAACATCGTGCACTGGAACGCTTCCTAACCAGTCGCTTCTTGAATCGCTCAGCGTGTGCGCTGGTCAGTGGGCATGCCCTGGCAGAAATAAAGTTCAGTAAAGGGTTTTGTAGCAGTCCCACAGTGCGTGCTGCATGTCTTTGAATCATGGTAGGCACCACGACACAAGCGTCAACTGCGTGTGTGACATGTGCTGTAAAGTGTGGAGAAGGATCACACCCAGTGAGCCACTCACCACCACAAGCGACAGCGAGCTGTCAGAAGGGTCAAATACCGCGGTCATTGATAGACGTTGCATTAGTGAGATTGTCGGCTACTTCGGGCTGACATGCAGCTTGAGCTTAGTGTTGAACACCATGCCTTGCGTGCCGCATGCCAGCGTTGAATTGCTGAATTGCTTTTTGCTTAAACTTCGATAATACATCGGCTTACTAGCTTGTAAAGGGTGTTCATCCTTCGGGCGTTACTCGACAGAGACCTGCATCGCGGAACGTTGCTAGTCAGCCGGAACGCAAGCTGCCGACCAATGCTGATGGCGTTGATCGATCTGGCGAAAGTTAAACGTCCACCTGCCGCGCTAACATTACCCGAGCGATCTCACCGGCGCCAGACAGGTTTGGCATTTTGTCTGTTCTGGGCTGATCTCGATGTCTGACGTACAGACGCGTTCCCATCAAGGCCCAGCGTCCTTGTATGGCATGGTAAATTTGCTCTAGCTACATCATTGGGACCCATAATATGCGACCGGAGTCAGGCTTCGGGACCTGCCGGTATGCCATGACCTAGTGTGCGCGAACTGGTTCATTCGATACAAGTCGTTCCCGCTCAGGTACCCATGTGTGGTCGTCGCCCATCTCGTCATCGAGTGTTTGCTTTTCAGCATTTCGATACCAGACGTAGTGTTGAAGGAAAAATATGATGTCAAAGACGATAGTGATGTTGCCCAGACCAAACTTGACAGGGTTTGCAGTTATGCCAGTCCAATCGTTCTGCAAGGCAGAGTCAATGATCAGCTGTGCTAGCGATAACCAGCCCCCGGCGAAGTCAAGCAGCATCGGGTATATGCTCCAACCGACAGTAGACTTGCGCTTATAGTTCACCCACGCCTGCGGGATGTACTTGAGGAGCACAGTCGTAAGCTTGACGTACCCTAGAGCATAAATCTGACCGGATGTTAGCACGCTTCTGTCCTAGGGTTGCATTCACCCCTGATTTTGAGCCGTGAGATGAGGCATGGGCGTGCTTCACGGGCACCTTACGCGAGCGTCTCTGTCTTCACACAGTGATTTGGCGGGTACTCACCACATCGATCCAAGCCCAGTCGCTCGCATCATAGCCACGATTCCTGCCCACAAAGACAGCCATGAATGTCACAAGCACCACTCCCGCCACAAGTCCCCAAAATATGCCTAGTACCGCCTGACTGAGTCTCTGTGTGCGGCCTACCGCAAAGCCCCATATCTGCGGAAAGAACTGCGAATATATGACAGCACACATGACCGCGCCATGAGCTGCGAACAGGAAGTCGTTGAATCGCACCGTCGTCTCCGGCGCTTCGGGATGTCGGTATGCATACTGCGAGCGTATCGTAGGCGACCAAATGAAGCAGGCTGTAGAGATGGTATAACACCAAAAGCCTAGGATGTTGAGGGTTGGGAAGTCGAAGGAGAGGCCGATGGTGGACTGGCGAAGGTAGTTGGAGATGGGTTGTGGGTAGAACGATGCGCTCCTGAATTTAGAAGTCAGCTTGCTTGAACCGAGCGAACATGGAGAAGGCGCCATGTAGCCAGGGAGCAGTCACGTACCAGCATAAGAAGTAAAGCCACCCAAGCACTCGAGATATCGCTTTCGCGAACGCTTCATATTCATTGTTTGTCATTCTTAGCTGTGGGATTCATGTGCTTATCGGACTCGAAAACAACGCTGGCGACACCATAGGCTTGCGGAGAACGGCCTGGGCAAGATCACGAGAGCGCAACCTGTGCACTAGAAGTCGGTATCATGGTGCAAGAGTGTGTGGTGACTCTGGTGGTGGACGCGTGCTCCATAGTTGCGATAGCACGCGATAAGGCGCATGCGCACGCAAGGATGCCACAATGTGGCTCATGGACGCTCGTGCTCCCGCAACATGACATGTTTTCCGCTTCCGGCTGTAAACGCCCGGTGCCGAAACCCTCTCAACGTTCGTTATTCTTTCTGTTCAAGGCGTTCGGTCCGTCTATATGTTTTTACACAAGCAATCCTTACAGTAATTTGTGCAGAGTGCTGTTGTTACAGGTACACTAGGGAGCAACTAGAAACAGCTCATCGCAACCCAACCAGTCCGACATTTCCTTAGACTTGCCCATACAATCACGATCCAGTCCTAGAAGAAAGAATCCCTGTCTACACTTACCTAAGCATTTGTAATATTTGAAGCAGTTATCGACGCCCTGCAAGGCTGCCCGAGGACCCGCTTAAACTTCTCAAAAGAGACAGCAACGGGGTGGAGTGTTCAGTCGGCCCGCTACCAAGTCAACTCGGAACATTTTTAACATCAGTGGGACCCGGAGAGACTTGCGGGGGGGTTGCAGCTTCCATGGGTGCTTTGTGAGCTGCTTTGGATCATTAGATCATAAGGATTCCACCCTGGCCGACAACAGTGGAGACGTCTGGGATAGAGATGGACTGACTCGAGTTTAAAATGACAGTCTGCCTGATGCTGAAAGTGTCGGTGAGAGGCAGGCCTAGCCTTCATGCTGTAGGTCGAAATCTATCAACTGCTAGTGTACGCTCATAAACTCGACTATGTATACTGCACACTGCATACATTCTGTGAAGAAATTTCAGTACCCGAATGCGAGGAGGTATGCAAAATCATTAAGCCTCTCAAGCTTCTCCACTATGTCCACAATTCAAAGCTTGGATTACAGCTCCATTCGATCATCGATATTGGCTCTGAAGCTAGAAGTGCATTTCGGGATGCCTCGCATGCATGTTGATTTTCGGGATTGCCTGAAGAGAGCGTACAGGGTCAGCTATTGTTTCTGGTCCGTACATTGCGATCTCTGATCTATGACTTTCGCCGATTTCAAGGCTCTCAAGCTTCATTTCGCTCGTAATGTAAATCTTTCAGTCTGCCAGTTCTGAGCCCGCTTTGAGTCTCATACTGAAACGCCTCCGTCCAGCCCTTCCTGATCGACAACCATATCCAGGATAGTTCTTATTCCCTCCAACGACAGCGCAGTCTTCTCCTCCACCGCAATGGAAACCGCACAAGCCATGGCATTCTTGATCTGCCGACCATTGAGCTTAATACTTGCCAGCTGTATGATATCATTGTCCTTGATATCCTCCTTGGAGAGATCAGCGGGTACATTTTCCAAGCAGTTCTTCCAAATTGTCGAGCGAGACGATACGGACAGATCGGCGTAGTGTAACTTGAAGTGTATGCGGCTGTCGAACGCAGCGTCAATAGTGCGCTTTCGATTCGTGGTCATGATCAAAACACCTTGGAAGTACTCGAGGCGACGCAGGAAAACGCTGACCATGGCGTTTCGCTCCAAGTCAAGACCGTCCCGCTCTTGAAGGAAGACGTCTGCTTCATCGATGAGCAAAACGCAGCCCCATTGCCTTGTCACTTCCAGCACCATGTCTAGCTTCTTCTCCACGTCGTGTACTTGTGTGCCTAGCTCGCCCGCGGAGAGCATGTAAAGTGGGCGCTTCGTGACCTCCGCGATGACCTCAGCTGTCAGAGTCTTGCCGACGCCTGGACTACCGCTCAAGAGTCCCACGAGACCCTTGCCCTTACCACTGACCACATCATCAAAAGTCTCGGCTCCGTTACGATGCGATTTGACTAGGGTATGGATTAGGTTGCGCTTGCGGGTATCCATGACCAGTTTCGAGAAGGCGTCTAGATTCCATACGATCGGCTCGAGGTGGCTGATAGCGAAGAGGCACCATTTCTTTTGACGGAAACCGAAGCCACCGATGTAGTGGTTGCAGTACAGCAGGTCCTCGTCTTGAATGCTTGAGGCTTCAAGTGCCGTGTCAACTGTCGGTTTGAGAAGATCCGTGTACTCGTTCTGTTGGTACAGAGTCGGGGAGTCAAGCATTATGCGACCAGAGACATGGAAGACGACTTTTTTATACTCATCTTGTACGACCACATCCCTATTCTCAGCCACTGCTGCGCCAGAGTACTCCTGGTACGTTCCTCGAGGAGCTCCGAGAAGCTCAATGTATCGTTGGCCGCGCTTCGTGAGTTCTGCGCGTAGAGTGTTTTTCGTAGGCAGACGATCCAGAGGAACAACAGACAGATTGGGCACCTTTTTCGCGCCCTCGAATTGACCGATCTGGAGTGTCTTTTGGACCCAGCCAAGCTTCTCTCCATCATGTGAGATGTACCTGAGATCTAGCGAGTAAAATCTCGCACCACTGGGTAGTTGACCATATTCGCCCTTCTGTAACTTACAGACCTGCTCTTCTCGAAGTAGGTTGCTTTTGGTGTGAACAGTGGTGTTCGGAGGGAACAAGGCCCAGAGCAGGTCAAACGTAATCTCGTCGTGCTCTGACAGCGACGTCAGACTAGCTTGTGTGGATGTATAGTCTTCGGATATGTACTGCAGAGCCACACCGAGCTCATCTACCAGCGTCTTACTCGGGGTAGGTTTTGACTCTTCTGCCTTGACACGGTCCACAAGTCCCTCTCGAGCGTGAAAAAGGAGCTCTGGGCTGATAATGGGTGGTGTTTCGTTAAGTTGAAGGCCCTCAACGCCTTCGAATATATCGGCAAGAGCTTCTTTGAGTACTGTTGATCGTATGTCGATTTCGGTGCCCGTTGGGAATCCCTTGTCGCATATAATCCGCCGTACCTTGAGTACGACATAGGAGATTTGCCCTGGCTTCTCGACCTCAACATTTGACTTTGGAGTGGGGACAAAGTAGACCTGTCGCTTCTTCTTGGAGTAAAGTTGATCTAGTCGTTGGATTCGTTCCTTGTTTTGGTCATCGCTCTTGGATTTGCCCTTGCCCTTGCCATTCCCGCCTCTTCCCTTGCCTTGAAGTTGTGGCTTTTCGCTGCTTGTGCCGTTCGCTCCAGCTGAGGCTACGTCTTTCCCTGTTGAAGGTGTGTTAATGCCCTCCTCTGGGCTCTCAGAACGGTTACTGAGCTTGACCGCCATAATGATTTAGCCTTATTTTTCGAGGTAAGGGTGACTACATATGCTAAAAAGCTGTAAAATCCTTCTAAACAAGAGGAGCTTTGATTTGTACTCTAGACCACGAAGGAGAGAAGTTGCTGTGATGGAGTCTGACAGAGCTTCCTATTAGACGTCTTAAGTGCTCCTGCTCAAGAGCTGAGCCAGAGCGCTAAGTAGATGACTGAAATGGCACTCGGGGGCTGAGTAAGGCGTACCACTGCGTGTAGTTCCTGCACAATTCTGTAGATAGACCGCCATCTAGGCAGCAAGCCACTTTGTTTGACCTATCGTGGCGCAGTCTTTGCTCAGGCAAGGGCGGGATCATCCGAAGTGCAGGGCTGAAGGGCTGTAGGTCGCCCTTTTCAGCGAATGAATCATTATTGCGCATGGATTGATGCACTAACAATTATGGGTTGATGAGCTGGCATGATGTTGAAGGTGAGGTGGAGTAAGCACAGCGTTCAGTGGCTTCCCCATTCGGGTGGAAGCGCTTTGTTAATGCATCACTCGCTGCTCAAGCAGTCCATTGCCCAACAATACGCGCAGCCGCGCAGCCGACAGTACTTGAAGTGTTCCAGATTTTCATTTCTTGGCCATTGCATACATTTGCATCCTACATCTTATCTGCCATGCCCGCTGAACCCATCCATTCAATGTACTGCTCAATGTCCTTTTGCATAGCGTTGGTAGCATTGACAAGTAGCCCTGTAATGGGCGTCCTGCCGGCCTCGTTCTTCATGATGTCGATAAAGCTATTGTTGAACGCATCGTTAATGTTGACCTTGGCAATGCCGCAGTCGATGCACTCCCTCAGGAGCTTCTCCTGGAACCACTCCTTGCCCGCACCATGTAGCACCAAGTTCACCCTATCGCCGACTTTAGCATGTATCCGCTTCAATCGCGCGTAGTCCAGTTGAGGCCCTTGTGGTCCATAATTTCCATGCACATTGCCAAAAGCCGGCGCTAGCCAGTTAATGCCGGTTGCAACGAAGTCTTCTGCTTGCTCGGGTGTCGTGAGGATGGCTTCTAGTCCTGCAATATCTGCTACGCCGTCCTCGCCACCATCTATGCGTCCTGGCTCGGCTTCTGTCACAATTCCGCGCTCATTGCAGTACTTGACCAGCTCTTGTGTCTTCTCCAAGTTGTCGTCGTAGTGACTCATGTCGACCATGATGCCATCGAGACCCTTCTCGTATCCTGCAGCTCGTTTGACAATATCAGGCGTTTGTGCGTGGTCCATGTGTAATGCGACCGGGACTGATGCGTTGTCGGCAGCTTCGCGCGCCGCATGGATGAGGATGCCGTCGGCGAATTCGATGGCCCATGGGAAGAGCTGAATGATCAAGGGCGCGCGTTTGGCTTCGGCGGCACGGACTGATGCAAGAATACCTTCGACGTTGTAGCAGCATGTTGCGCATACTGCGTAGCCGTTTGCTGCGGCATGCTTGACGAGCTTTACAGCTTTGTTTTGCGAGAGGTGAGCCATTGTGATGTAGGGTCGTGCTGTCTGAAGTGATGTCGAGAGAAAAACAAGTATCTAATAGCTTCAGAAGTCCAGACACCGGTTCAATACTACGCCGAATTCTCAAGAGCCCACCTTCCCGACAGCTTTCCGATGTTCCGCATGATGCAAGTGGGGTACTATCGGCATCTGCTTTGGGGAAGTGTTTAGCCAACCACCGGCTAATCACGCAGCTTTAAAATGTTTCGAGGCACTTGACTCCAAGGTTTCCGGCATCTGGGCATCTCGTCTTACCCGAACGAGTGTTGCCGCGGCCTCTGAGCATTCGCCAGTCGTCGATACCGAAGGAGGACCAGAGTAAAGAGCTTCTACCACTAGCGTGTATGCGACGAAGTAGTCAACGGAACTACTGCCATGGTACATGAAAGCAGCAAAATGTCCTGTTATTGGCTCTCGTTGCATCCACCGATTCGCAGTTGGCGTGCATAGTTGTGTAGAACAAGAAAGGTCTACAATTCGACCAAACCACGACTACGGGTGTCGCAAAAAGATGTCACAATGAAAACCATCAGTTCTGTTTGACATGGTGAAAAGGACTTTTATATTTCAACTCTCTTCAGCGTGAGGTGACATGGGTTGGATTACATCATCTCCGACTAGCGCGACTTGACGCGTCGCCGTGTCGCGTTCCTCCCCCGGATTAATTAGCGGACGGTTCAGGTACGCAGCGTTCACTCTTCTCACTACCATTGCTATACCTCCACACCTCTCTCCTTCCTATCAATTACAGTCATGGTGCGTGGTGTTGAAGGCAACGAAATGTCCACGCCTCGCCCCTCACAAAAGAAGTCGCAGCCACCGTCCGGCTCACAGTCAGGGAAGAACCAGAAGTCGATTCTGGGCTTCTTCCAGAAGAAGTCGACCAATTCGCCCAGTCCTGCGCCATCCACGCCAACCACAGTCAAGAAGACACCAGTCTCTACCCTATCCAAGACTGCCTTCAACAGACCTCCCGCGTCCATCACGCCCATCCCCAGCAGTGACGCGCCTGTGCCATCCAGTCCGATACGGCAGGAGCAAGACACACCCCAGGGAAGGAACAAAGAGAATGGTCCGTATCCACTCTCTTCACAGTCTTCAAAGCTGAGACTAACCACATCTCGTCAGAAGTTGCAGGCGTTGCATTCAGTAGTCCCTCGCGCAAGGTACGTACATGTAGATATTGTAGGACGACGTTTCAGCTTACAGGCTATGCAGGCCCGGAAAAGTGTAAACTATGCCGAATCAGACGACGACGAAGACGAGGATGACGTGCTTGGCCCAATTGCCAACAACTCCAGGGGCAGAGCCACCAAGCGTATGAGGGTCAGCGTGCAAGAAGATTCAGACGATGAATTTGGCTTGGATGCTGCAACGCAACAGGCCATGATCGACGATGATGTCGACGACTTTATCGTACCGGACGACTCCGACGACGAGGTCGTCTCGAAGAAGCGCAAACGACCATCATCGACAAAGCCAACCATCAAGTCCGCGCCCCCATCTTCCCCGCCAGTCATACACTTCAAGGAGGAAACGGAAGAAGATGTGGTAATGTCAGGCACATCAACCGCCCAGAAGTGGACATACAACGCCGAGAACCCCATGGTCTATGTGCCGCGCCCATGCCAAGACTCGAAGAAGGACGTGAACAAGAGGAAAGAGAGGCCGTCTGCTTCCGAGCCCGAGAAGAGATACCCGTGGCTAGCAAACATGGAAGACGCAGATCGCCATCCCTCTGACCATCCCGACTATGACCCGCGCACGCTCTACATCCCTCCAGGCGCAATGAATGCTTTTTCGCCATTCGAGAAGCAATACTGGGAGATCAAGAGCAAGTTCTGGGATACCATTGTCTTCTTCAAGAAGGGCAAATTCTATGAGCTCTATGAGAAAGATGCCTCCATCGGCCACCAACTGTTCGACCTCAAGCTGACGGATCGAGTCAACATGAGAATGGTTGGAGTGCCAGAAGCTTCCTTGGACATGTGGGCGACTCAATTCGTCGCGGCTGGCCATAAGGTCGCAAGGGTTGACCAAATGGAGTCGGCCTTGGCGAAGGAGATGCGTGAACGTGACGACAAGAAGTCTACCACAAAGAAGGCAGACAAAGTTATCCGAAGAGAACTGGCTGCCGTACTGACTGCGGGTACGCTTGTCGACACTGGCATGCTTCAGAGTGACATGTCAACCTACTGCATGGCCATCAAGGAGATTGAGAGAGACAACCTTCCTGCATTCGGAGTCGCATTCGTCGACTCTGCAACGGCACAGTTCCAGCTCTGCGAAATTGCAGACGATATCGACATGACGAAGTTTGAGACACTTATCGCGCAGATGAGGCCGGGTGAGCTGCTCATTGAGAAGTCATGCATTTCGGCGAAAGCACTGCGCATCTTGAAGAACAATACAGCCCCAAGCACTATCTGGAATTACTTGAAGCCAAGCAAGGAGTTCTGGCCCGCAGACATCACGATTCGCGAAATCGACTCAAACAATTACTTCGAATCGCCGACAGAGGATAACGTCGAAGCCTGGCCACCCGTGTTACGAGAAGCGAGAGAGCAGGATTTGGTCATGTCAGCTTTTGGCGCGCTCCTGCAGTACCTTCGCACCCTGAAGATCGAGCGCGATCTCGTTACGTGCGGCAATTTCCAATGGTATGACCCGATCCGCAAATCTACTACTCTAGTCCTAGACGGCCAGAGCTTGATCAACCTTGAAATATTCGCCAATAGCTTTGACGGGTCTGCCGAGGGCACACTTTTCGCAATGCTGAATCGATGCATCACCCCATTTGGCAAGCGACTACTTCGACAGTGGGTATGCCACCCACTAGCAGACGCACAGAAGATCAATGCTCGCCTTGATGCTGTGGATGCACTCAACGCAGACTCCACCATCATGGACAACTTCAGTGCCTCGCTCAGCAAACTACCTGATCTAGAGCGACTCATCTCACGTGTCCATGCCAACCGCTGCAAAGCTCAGGACTTCCTGAAGGTACTTGAAGGATTCGAGCAGATTGAGTATACCGTCAGTCTTTTGAAGCAGTTCAGCGAAGGTGAAGGTGTCATTGGACAACTCATCACTTCCATGCCAGACCTTGCTTCTGCACTGGAGCCTTGGAAATCTGCCTTTGATCGCGACCTAGCGAAGAAGGAAGGCATTCTTGTTCCCGAGCCTGGTGTCGAAGAAGACTTCGATAATAGCCAACAGGAGATTGACGAGTGCAAAGCAAACCTGGACCAGCTTCTCAAGAAGGCACGCAAAGAGCTCGGGAACAACGGGATCGTCTTCAAAGACATCGGCAAAGAAGTCTACCAACTGGAGGTCCCAAAGAAGGTTAAGGTGCCCAACACATGGGATCAGATGTCAGCTACAGCTAAAGTTTCACGGTACTATACTCCTGAACTGCGGAAGCTTGTCCGAGCTCTTCAGGAGGCCGAAGAGACTCATGGTCAAATCGTACGCGAAGTAGCATCGCGGTTCTGCGTTCGCTTTGACGAAAACTACAAGACCTGGCTTGCTGCCGTCAAGATCATTGCTCAGCTCGATTGCTTGATCAGTCTTGCTAAGGCGTCATCCTCACTCGGAGAACCTAGCTGTCGTCCAGTGTTCTCGGAAGGCAAACGCACCGTTGTTGAGTTCGAAGAGCTACGCCACCCGTGCATGCTCAACACTGTGGACGACTTCATCCCCAACGACATCAGGCTTGGTGGAGATGAATCAAACATCAGCTTGCTCACCGGTGCCAATGCGGCTGGAAAATCCACCATCCTTCGCATGACATGTATCGCAGTCATTATGGCGCAGGTTGGCTGCTACCTGCCCTGCACATCTGCAAAGCTCACACCGGTGGACCGCATAATGTCGCGTCTCGGTGCCAACGACAACATCTTTGCAGCCCAGTCTACATTCTTCGTCGAACTCTCCGAGACCCAAAAGATTCTTTCGGAAGCTACACCTCGTTCTCTCGTTATTCTTGATGAACTTGGCCGTGGTACATCCTCCTATGACGGCGTCGCGGTCGCGCAAGCTGTGCTCCACGACATAGCATCTCGTGTGGGCTGTGTAGGCTTCTTCGCTACACATTACCGTTCCCTCGCCAAGGAATTCGAGTTCCATCCTGAGGTTCAAAACAAGCGAATGCGTATCCATGTGGACGAGTCCTCCAAGTCCATTACCTTCTTGTACAAGCTTGAAGAGGGCGTTGCAGAGGGCAGCTTTGGTATGCACTGCGCTGCAATGTGCGGAATTCCAAGCAAGATTATCGACAACGCTGAGAAGGCTGCTCGCGAGTGGGAGCACACATCCCGACTGGGTGAACGGATGGAGGTCAATCGTGATGAAGGAGGTGTGTACGTACCTCTTGGTGTGCAGAGCGACGTTGCTTGGGCTCTCAGAGAGGGCCTTGAAGGCGTAGGCGACAGGGCCTTGGATGTACTGAGAGAGGCTATTGCGGCTCTCTGAGACGTCAGTCAAGCTTGGGGAGGACAAACAAGTGCACGGCCAATGTTTCGTTTCAAAAGCCTAGTGCAGATATAGGGTCGGGGTTACTGTGGGACATTCACTATCAATGTATTTCTACCAGGGATATTAGGGGTTGATCTTACGGAACCGGCGTACAAGCGCGCGTCGCTGCAGAAATATCTGGTAATTAGCGAACCGCATACTTCATTTCACACATTTTACAATGCAATCCTTGTCTATGGAGCTTTTTCAATGTTCGTATTCTGTATGAACGTGATCGAGGACCCGAAAGTAGAAAGCCATTTAACGCCTATCAGAGTCGCACATAGGACCATGCTCAACTATACTCTTGGCCAATGCAGCGCAAAGACAAGACAAGAAAAGCGTCCTTCGGCGCACCACCCGATCAGCGCCCAAGTACACTCCTCAATGCCTCTCCCAACCCAGGCACCCTGACCGACCTCGCCGCCCTCCTGCGTCTTCCCGCCTTACTCGTCATCGCCCTGCCACCAGATTAGGTCCATACCATCGCACTCAAAACGACTGTTCGAACTCAGCCTGCGCCGCACCCTGCAGCTGACCATAGAAGTCGTTCGCGCTCTGATTGAGATCCGCCAACTCCTCCTTCTTGACCTTGGGTGCAAAGTCCTCGTCATCCTCATCCTCGTCGTCCTTGCGGGTCTTCTTGGCCGAGGAGGTCTTCTTCGCGCGCTTGGTGGGCGACTCGTCGTCAGCGGCGGCGGTGGAGGTGCCGCGCTTCTTGGGGGTTGCGGACGCCTTGGGACGGCCTGCACCTGCGCCTTTCTTGGGGGTTGCGGGACCGTCGGCGGCGAGGCCTTCGCCTAGCAGCTTGATCTTGCGCTTGATGTTACCGAAGGTGACGGCGGCGGAGCCGGGGGTGTAGCCGGTGAGGGAGGCGAGTTTATTCATGTCGATCTGGAGTGGGTTAGTATGCGTGTGGGAGAGGAAGAGGGGCGTGGGTGCGAGTCGAGTCGACGTGGAGGTGCGAGGTGGAGAGATACTGACCTTGGGCTGCTGCTCCATGCACTGCCAGGCGAGAGCGAGGACTTCCATCTCACGGGCGGAGAAGGTGATGGCAGACATCGTGTAGTGGATGTGGTGGTGTTTGAGACGTGGATGTAGTGTACGGGTGGAGGAGGTAGAAAGGTTGAAGTGTTTTGCTATAGTGCAGGTGTTGTGATTGAGCGATGCAGGAAGACAGCTGAAAAGTTGAGGTAAGTATCTCCTATATGCCCCTCAACAGCTAGCGAAACTGCGGTGAAGTGTAAGTGAAATTGCGCTTATTGAAAGCTTTGTGCTGCAGGTAAGACACAAGAGGTGAAGGTTAAGACGGCCACAAGAGCGGCTTCTCCCCTACTTTTATGTAGTTAATGGGTGAGTGACTATTGATAGTGGCCCCAGTGAAAGGCCTCAGAGCGGTCGGCAGTGCCACATGCTATCACGATGAGTAGTGAGTGGCACATGCGGGATTTTTGCTTGGAGTAGACATCCAGTGGCGGCGGAGAGTTGGTGTGCGTCAGTTGCAAATATCGAGATGAGATCTTGGCGCCCCATTGATGTAAACATGTCTAAATGGCCATCCCAGCAATCCGTGTGTGTCGTGCGGCAGTACATCCAAAGATAGAGCAATGCATGGCAGTCACGAGCATATCAGCTAGATTGCTTGGATGAGCTTCGACGATGCTGGGGAGTGGTATAATAGTGGTTCATACATAAGTTCTTAAGAACTTAACGATGTCTTGTCATGCGCTCATATCCGCGTGACCTCCTTTCCTTGCAATTCCGGCCGCTCGACCTCGAGTTCATCCCTCAACGCGGCGTACATAGAGTCGCCAAGGATGATGGATAGACCTAAGCTCCAGACCAAAGTGATAGCGTAGAAGAAGTTGGCGTTGCCCGAGCCCGCATACACCCACAGGTGGTAGAATGCGGGCCCTAGGACCGATGCATACAAAATGGCAGCCGATGCCATGAAGGTGTATCGCATCACTGCAATGTATTAGTCTCAGATGCGGCAGGACATGTGGTGGGTACTCACAAGGAAACAGATGCCTGAATAAAGGCACAAGGGAAAGGTACAGAGCAGCGTCTGCTATGCTGGGATATGGAGTGAAAATGGCGAATACGCCGGTCAGAGTGCAGGCGACAAATAGTGGCTGCTTGTGAAGACGAATGGTCAGGCCTGGCATGTACGAAGCAGCGTGTAACCAAAAGACGCCCAAGAAGAACTCGCGGAACGAATCAAACATCTCAATGAAAAAGTACCACCACAGACCCACGTTTGGCGTAAGATCCGGAAGCAGAAGCCTGACGCCATAGGTAGCACCCAAAAAGTCCCATGAGCCCGTCACGAAAGCAGATGCTGACAGCAGTGCGCCAATAGCAACAACCAAGCCGACAGCATGCGCAGCTGTGAAAGTCCAAAAATCGGGCGTCGTCTTGGTTTTCATGGCGCGTGCATCATAGAGAAGAAGCAAAAGAGGTGGGAATAAAAGTATTGGGTGCATAGACAGGTATGCAGCAAAGGACAAGGCAAGTATGAAGGTGCTGCTGGCTCCTTGGGAGGCTTTGGCGATGGCAGTCAAGATGAACAGGTTCGAGAAGGCCGAGGTCGAGCGCGCCAGGCACGTGGCAATGGTGAAGGGATTGAAAAGGAAGCTGTCCAGAGTCAGTATAAGGACGTGATGTGGGTGCAGTGCTCCACCTACCCTGCTGTAATGGCTAGGCTGCTCCATCTTAGGTTTTTCCGTGATGATGTGAACAGCCGAGTTGCGACATTCTGGCCACTGTTTGCAATCTGCCCGATGGCATATGCACTCAAGAGGTCTACCACGATATAAAGGACGTCCGTAGCGATGGGATAGTCGGTGGGACTGGGGAGAAGCGCGAAGAGTGGCAGAAGGAGGGGTGCTTGGTGGTATATGCCGCCATCGTACGGAGAGACGTTGTGGGTGTATAGAAAGACGCCTTCTTGTACTGTAGAATTGTCAGTATATATTTCTTCTTCCACATGCATTGGTAATGCGTACATCTCTTGAAGCTGGTGACGGGTGTGGACACTTCAACACGGCCACCTAGAAGGCCGGGCAACGCGGGAAAGACAGTAGAAAGCAGCAGGCGTACTGCTGCGGCAGCTCCAAACAGAAGCAACTCGTCGGACATGATTGGATCCAATGTTATCGAGGCATTGGCGCCATGACGAGCATCGCATCTCTGGCATCGCGGAGCTCTGGTGAACATGGACCCCTGTCTAGCCGGACGCGCTAACGCCGGCAGCTCCTCGGCTGGCGGCCGCCGCATCTCGAACTTTTTTGTGCTGCCAAAAGTTCGCCCAGAACAGCATTTCAGTGTCCTGAAGCTAACCAGCCCTCACAATGGCCGGACGTTCCAAAAAGAAGGGTGCGTGTATATCTGAGCCATGGCAACACACAGTATACTAACACAGCGTTGCAGGCACTTCTGGTGCAGCCAAAAATTACATCACTCGTACTCGCGCGGTGAAGAAGCTTCAGATTTCTCTACCAGACTTCAGACGGCTATGCATCTTCAAGGGTATCTACCCGCGTGAGCCACGCAACAAGAAAAAGGTCTCCAAGGGTTCTACTGCCCAGACCACTTTCTACTACACCAAGGACATCCAATACCTTTTGCACGAGCCGCTCCTCGCAAAGTTCCGCGAGCACAAGTCTGTCGCAAAGAAGATTGGCCGCGCTCTTGGTCGTGGCGAGGCTGGAGATGCTGCGCGCCTGGAAAAGAACCTTATGCCCAAGGTCAAGCTGGACCACATCATCAAGGAACGCTACCCAACTTTTGTCGACGCTCTCCGCGACCTCGACGATGCCCTGTCTATGCTCTTCCTGTTCGCCAACCTCCCATCCAGCGACCACATTCCCGCAAAGACGATCGCCCTCTGCCAGCGACTGACGCGCGAGTTTGAGCACTATGTCATCACCTCGCATGCCCTGCGCAAGTCCTTCCTCTCCATCAAGGGTATCTACTACCAGGCCACCATACAAGGACAGGATATCCTGTGGCTCGTACCCTACCGCTTCGTCCAGCGCACCGGCGGAGATATCGACTTCAGGATCATGGGCACCTTCGTTGAGTTCTACACTACGCTGCTAGGCTTTGTCAACTACCGCCTATACACCTCAGTCGGCCTCGTATACCCTCCCAAGTTCAACGCCAAGAGCGACGAGCAGGGCGGTGAGCTGGCCGCCTTCCAGCTAGAGGGCAAGGCCAACGCTACGAATGGCGCATCCAACGACCACGATGACGACGTCGAGATCAACCCCGAGGCGCAGGCCAAGGCTGATAAGATCGCCGCCATGGCCGATGATGAGGATGAGCAGGAGGTAGAGATGGCAGAGGCCGATGCCGAGGACGATGACGAGGAGGAGAACACCGAGGGTATCGATAAGTTTGAGCCTACAGCACCCGATGCCGACATCCTACCGCAGCCCCAAGCAAGCAGTGCCGAGATTGCTTCTCTGTTTGCGCCTTTCACATTCTACCTTGCTCGTGAGGTACCAAGAGCATCACTTGAATTCATTCTGAAGGCTTTCGGTTGCAAGCGCGTTGGCTGGGACAGCATACTTGGAGATGGTGCATTCACAACGAACGAGTCTGACCCCAACATCACACATCAGATTGTCGACCGACCGCCTCTAGCTAACGGAGCTTCAGCTGCTGGCGCCGAAGACGCTGCTACCCCTCAGGTACAGTGGCCACATTCAACAAAGCCAGGCCGCACCTACGTCCAGCCACAGTGGGTATGGGACTGCATCAACCAGGGCAAGCTATTGCGACCTGACCTGTACGCGCCGGGTGCAGAGCTGCCACCTCACCTGAGCCCATGGGTCAAGCCCAAGAAGGGCGAGTACGACCCCAACCTGCCGCTCGCGGCGCAACAACCAGATGGCGAAGCCGAGGCATTCGAGGACTTGGCAGATGAAGACGAGGACGCGTTCGAGGTTGATGATGATGAAGACATGGACGCTGTCGCTGATCGGGAAGGTTCTGTGGAGGTCGGCGAAGGCATGGACGTTGCGGACAGCGACGATGATGACGAGGACGACAGCGAATCAGATGCCGAGGGCGGTGCTGATGGCTTTGCTGGCTTTGACGACGAGTCTGAAGCTGAGTCCGATATCTCAGAGGGTGAAGCTGCACGTCTCCAGCACCAGCGCGAACTCGAGGCCGAAGCCACCGGCAAGAAGCTCGATGTCAAAGCGCCCACCAAGAAGGAGCAGAATGCAGCGATTCGCAAGAAGTTCGACAAGAAGAAGCGCGCAGAGGAGGAAGAGCGCGACAGGCAGAAGATGATGCTGTCCAACAAGAAGCGCAAGCTCCTTAAGCGCATCGAATACGGCGAGAACAAGCGCGATACTGAGTCTGAGAATCTCCGTAGGAAGCGCACCAGGCTCGAAAAGGCAAAGGCGGCCGCAGAGCGCGCATAAAAAATGGGTAGCATGGCGTTCAGGTTGACTGGCGTTGAGGTAGCTGGACGACTACCGAGGTGTCATGGGCAATTTGTCTGATAGCTTCTAGTTGTGTTATATTTGCTTGTAAAATGGCATTTTCATGGAATTTACCAAAAGATCACACAGTTATGCGCATGTAAAATATGCGCATGTGGGGTTGTGATGGCCAGTTGCTCATCCGATAGCCTAAAGGTATACACAACATCAAGGTGCCAGTCACTTGTCGTCTGATCATGTTTATCATCCAATGCCCTGAAGGCATACACGGTCTCGTATACCTACAATGAACGTGATGGTCGTGTCGCTGCTCCACACGAGAAGGGCGGCAGGTACGAGGGGCGGTCTCGCTTATTGTGGCGCAGGCACGTTCTGACCCATAGGTTCACATACCATGAGTCAATGGGCTACTTGCTGCATGATATATTAGATGTCGATGCCGTAACGAGTCGCTTTCAATTCCACAGTACACAACATCTGAACTAGTAACAGCAAGACCAAATCATACACCTTTCGATCCTCGCGCAACCACATCACAACTGAAATCCTGTCGAATCAGTCTTTCGCAGTCATCAGTATTTCCACATTTTACATCGATGACCTTCTGGTTTCGTTTCCAGTTCTTCCGAACTCGTCCCATGACCTAAGCCTCTTGGTACCATCGTTGGCGACCTATAGTTCCAAGATACATACCAACGACCTAACCACAGTTCCCATCGTCAGAGCGTGGAATGTTAATATACCACAGCACAATAAATCAGCAGAAATGACATAAACGCATTTGCCCCTCATATTCGGGATGCCATCCCTGAACGTCTCACGAACGATGCCCGAACGGTAGCGCGCCGAGCCGATGCCGACCTAGACGACGGTAAAAAAACTGCACACTACGAATTTTTCTGCATCGCAGACTTCACTTTCCGTAGACATACGCACGCCTGAAGGTACTTGATCTTCCATATGAGGTCCAAGGTCATGCTAACGCCCAAACGAGCCCTGTGGCTTACCGCATTGACTTCTGTGTCCGAGGCAGACGGCATCACGTGATCTCGCGTTCACTCGCGCTTCCAAAGTTCTGCTATTGTCCACGAGTGATTGGCAACATCAAGCACCCGCTTATGGTCACCCACCAGCTTTCAAGATCTGGTTTCTGAGAGTGTATAACTTGATCTTCCTCAACTATCGATCCTTTACGCTCCAATCCCGGAACACGACCAGGAGTCAACAATCCTCCCTCTCCGCTTCAATATGACTTCTGCGATGCGCGAACTCCTCCACAGCCTTCCACCCGAGTTGCGAAATGAGATATATAACTACCTGTCTGCTCCTGACGCTAAGACTCCCCCTCTCACTTTTGGCCTTCCACTCAAGCTCAAGACGTTCGAATGCAAGCACACCACAATCCAAATATGCCCAGTGCACTATGGCTCCACCGGGCTCTTATCTCTCCAGCCGTACCGATTTCAAGAAGCTAGCGAATACAACTCCTGGCTGCTCAACAACGCAATAGAGCTCAAGATTGGAGTCGCTTTCAAGGGCCGAGTCAACAACTTCGTACAGCAAGACTGGGACAAAAAATTGGAGTCACATCTTCGCAAGTTAGCAAAGCAGTATCCATGGCTGAAGAAGGTAGCCAGATATGATGTGCAGGTCCTTTGGAATCCGATCGATGGTGTTTTGAAGAGCAGGAAGAGCAGGAGAACAGCTGGGCAGATCGTGAGGAACATGACGGCAACGCTCACGTCACTTCCACATCGAGACGAAAAGACAAAAAGAGGAGAACTGAAGCTGAAGCTATGTCTCGATCATAGCTTCGCAACGTGGAGTGTAACTTCAGCGACGATGTTTGGCTTCGAGCACGTCCTTTCGCCGCCTGCAGATACCTTGGCAGACTTCAAGCGACAGACACGAGAAGTGTGGAAGGAAGCGAAGAAGCCAGCGGAAATGAAGACGAGATCCCGCCTCCTACTGATCCCGTCTGCAAAGCCAGAGCAAAGAGGTGTGATTGAAGCCGGCCGAGATCTTGTGAAGTGGACGGTGGGCACCGAAGGCGTTTTGCTGATGAAGAAGCACTTGTTGAATGGGAGAGTGATTCGATATGAAGCTGGATTTGAGGAGGAGAAGGGTTCGCCTGTAGATCATGTCGCATTGTCGTTGTTGGGAGAGTGCTTGAGCTACCGGTGATGGTGACGAGAGCTCATCAGCCGTAGAGCAATTGCTGTTCCCATCCTGTATATAACCTGACGGCCGACAGAAAACCTAGCCATATATGCAATATTCGAAAGATATGCCCAATATCTTGTTGCTGTGTTTTACCCAATCGTTGGCAGATACTGTGAAAGGACCTAAGGCAACCATGGAAAGACCTATGACATTTCTTCACAAGCGTCGCATTGCTTCATCGCCCCTTCCTATGAAACACTCCCCGTCACTCGCCGCCGACCTGTTCACCACCTTATTCACCCCGTCGCTCTCAACTTCCTGTTTGAATTGGCACCCAATATCTTGTAACGCAACTGTTCGAGTTGACATGGACGCATTCCCCAATTTCGATGTCGACTGGCACTCACAGAATGCCTCTATGCGCGCTGCGGAATCCCCACATTGAGCATATTGCCGCTGGACTCGAAGGTCCGTCCGCCAGAGACAACCAGTCGGCGCCCAAAGAGCTGATAGAGAAGTGTTCTCTTCGTCAACCCAACCGTCTTCCTCATGCCCTATTGTCTCCGACACTGAACTTCTACTATCTACCATCTACGGCAATCGGACCAAATTTGCTCTATCACGCACATCACTATCCCTCGCCGACTGCAGTCGCGTAGGCCACGCTGGTAACTCATTACGAGCATTGCTGTCGCTCTCGTATACACTAGTGACTCCATCTTTCTGAACCCGGTGTACACGCGACCTCTTCTTTCTCATGACGATGAACCAGAGACCAATTGCAACGATGGTAACGAACGCAAGAACTCCTATGGCTATGCCAGCTTTCGCGCCACTGGGAAACATTTGCTGCGCTGAAGGGCTCGACAGTGCCGGCGAAGCAAACGCAGACGTAGACATAGTCGAAGTTGAAGTCGAACTTGCAGTTGAAATTAACTCCATCCCATCCACTTGTCTGAGCATGTCCTCCGTGATCGGGCTACTTTCCGGCTCGCTGCGACGCATCAGATAAATCTCGAAATTATCACTCCCACCACGTGTAGAAGCTTACCCTGGATCGCGACGGTTCACACTCCATATCTCACCGTCCGTGTTGTCCTCGCGCTGCATCACCGGCGTCCTGTCATTCCGCAACGCAAACACCATCTTCTCCACCGCCCCATTTCTCAACTTCCGACCTCCCAGTACCAGATCTATCGTCCACTGCTGACTCACGCTCCCACTGCGCGCATACATTTTCGGGCTCGTCTCTTTGCCCGACTCAAACCCCAGCTGCCAACCTGCACCATAGTCGCGATTGCGTATGTAATACCGCCCAGACTGGAAGAAGAGCTGCCAGTTTTCCGACCCGACTTGTTTGTATCTCGTCATGACGATTGTTTCGTTTCCTGGGACAGAGCTGCCGAAGCTGAGAGCCATGCCTGAGAGATTGGCATTGCTCAATGTGTAATACACTCCCGGCTCGAAATGTGTGGCGTCGGAGCGACGGGACATGGTACGTGTGGATAGTGTGTGGTGGATGCGAGTGCGGCGTAGGTTTTGAGGTGTAATGATTAAAAGGAGGAGTAAGGCCTGCACCTCATTGATGCAAAAAAGGGTTTCTCTCAGCCGCCCCCACAATTCGACACAATACAACTTCGCCCCCATCCTCTTCGTCCTCGCTAGAAAGCGCCCCAGCGGATGACCGCGCATATCAGCACATTCCCTTATGGCTGTGTGCTCATGTGACATGTCCGAGCCACTAAGGCTGATGTTTGTAGTACCCCTACGTCCCCAAATACTCGAACCACAAAGCTTAGCTTCCTGTATTTAGGGTACATCATCCAAGGCTGAAAGTCACTTGGTAAAGATCGATGCAACATCCCTGATTAATATATTTTCGATGCAGGGGCTGTTCTTCTCTACATATAGCTGACTCTACCCATCATCACATCAATGCTTACCACCAGAATTAGTCTCAGCACCTCGCCTCGACCGCATTCTCAGCCTTGTCTCTCTCCCCAACATTCGCCACCTAGGCCCAAGCGCTCGCCTCGACATATTCCCATCATTGTCTCTCTCCAACATCAGCCACCTAAGCCCAAGCGCCCACAAGGCTCATCAAGAACGCTCCAACGAATACCAGAAGACAAGCTACAACTCTCTTCTTGCCCCTCAATACCTGCCAGCTCTGGTCGCTCAAGAAGTCTTCCGACATGAGCTCTACCAGAGAAGCAAATACTAGAAAACCCGCGGACACCGCGTTCATGATACCGACAACGAGAAGCCCAACCTCGGAGTTAGGGCTATACAGCGTATGCGTCGCGATTCCGATTGCCATGCCTCCAGGCGTGGTCAAGCCGTATGCGATGGCCATGAGCCAGGGTTGCAGGGCCCGAGCGGGCCACTTGATGTCAGCGATACGAACTCCGAGCGCGAGGCCTTCAAATGTCTGGTGGAAGACGATCGCGATCAGGAGGACAATGAAGTCGTTTCCAACAGCCACAGCGAGCGACATGCCAATGAAAATACTGTGAAAGAGGATTCCCATCTCGAGCAGAAAACACTGCATGATAGCCTTCTTGTGAATTTGTTCTGGGGTCAAGACATGACTGTGCTTATTGTTCTCAACGTCGTCTTCGATAGCGCTTTCGTGCGACTCGTGCTTGGGATTGTCCCCCGGGGTGTCCGATGTGTCCGATAGAGATTCGATGGCATCAAGGCGCTGGTTTTCTTCACGGTAGCGCGAGAGAGTGCGACTAATGCTGGTATTTCTGCCACGCAGACTTCCAATCTCGCGGACTTGCATGCTGCCTTCCGAGTAGGTTCTACGCATCATTGGTTCCGGAGTGGTGCCAGTGGTTGCTTCAATCGTCTCTAGATCCTGATCTTTCTCGTTCCTGGTCGTCTTCACTGGACGCGATACTGCAGCAACCCCTTCATTACCACCACACACATGCTGCGCTGGCGAGAATACCATTTCGATAATCGTGACGAAGAAAATACTAGCCAGCATAATCGCTCCGGGCATAGCTGGATAGCCATCGGTCCAAAAGTGTGATAGGCATGGGTTGCTGAGCGACAGAAACGCTGTAGGAAGTAGATGTACAAAGGCTGTCGCGATTAGAACTCCAGTACCGAAGTGCTTGGCACCGAACAAGAAAGACGGTGGAATTCGAAGTCGCGGAAATTTAGTAACGAGCAAGGGGAAACCGCAGCCAGTGGAAGAAACAAAGAAAATAATGAAGAGACCAGCAACGTGAAGTCCGAGGTCGTAATTGGGTTGCGCACGGCCAGATTCACAAGTATCTCGTCGGGAAAAGCGGTGAACAGCCGAGTGACCTATACATTATAAGCTCAAGCACGCGGAACTGTCAGACTGCTGTATTGCAGACTCTGATGATATCTTACTCTTGTTGCTAAAGTCGAATGTAGGCATGTTTCTGCCGATGGAAGAAAGCACGACTGAAGATGCCAAGACAGACAATACCCAGATTGCCCAACTCTTAACAGATCCAGTGCGGTGCTCATTACTCACGGGTGTGGTTGTTCGGGTGCAAGGTCCTGGCCAACGTTAGCATGCGGTACTCAGTCGTCGCTTCGCAAATTCGCATCACCTTTTGGGGACCCTTTGACACCCTGCCCAACCACGAGCGGCGCCTTCTCGATCTCTTTGAGGTTCCTGTCATTCAACTCTAGGTGCCGCAAACTTCGTGATCCGTGGCAGAGCCGATCTGCATCGCCCAGCTCCCTGCTATTCGCAATGCCGTTCAGATCTTCGCATGTCGTCAAATCCGCGGCAAACCTTGGAGGGTTCTGGTTCCATCCTGGGTTCTCCAGCACGTCATCGTTCCTTGAAGGGCAGTTCATTGTGGTGGTTTGTCAATGTTTCTGCAGTATCAAAAAGACGTTAGAGAAGGCGGGAGTGGTGTGGAGAAGTGTGAATAAAATGTCAAGAGAGATGACGCGGAGAGTGGTCAAGTCGGATCATCCCGTGTGGATCGAAAGAGCCATGTTCGGCTATGAGGATGCCGGGCGTGCACACATGTGCATGCAGCCAACCGCCGAGCCGCTAGCAAACGCTAACCTCAGAATGTTACGAGAACAAGACGGGTCTGGCCTGGCGCCGCGGTGCGCTTTTCCTACTCCACGAGAACAGCGCCATGATAGTGTTTGACATATACCGCGTTCCGGCGATCGGGTGCCGAACAGGTTGCCAGCTGGCAGTGGCATTACCGTTCTTCGTGGATTGTGCTACGCAGCTCCTGAACCGTCTCGCGCTGAGCACCTGGGCAGATTTACTTCAAACAGTGTACAAATGCAGGAATCTGTATATCGATGGATTCAAATGGATTCAGCGCGTGTTGAAGCGCAAATACTATGGGTATCGTTAAAGATGTTCAATTCTTCGTTTCAGTCTCCAAAACCTCAAGTGCACCGCCAACCAGATGCAGGCTTCCCGTGACCAAGACCATCACTTCCGCGTCAGCACCGGCGTCAGCGGCCCATGCGCGTGCCACGGTTCGCGCAGTTCCGACCGCGTCTTCAATGGTCTTCAGCACGTGCACCTCTGCTAAGCTATCGATATCTGACCATGTGTGTGCCAGCGCTTTTTGCACAGCAAGAGTGTCAACATCTTGCTGATTCGTGTTTATTGAAACAAGATCAGGCTTGTATCCCTCACTGAAGGTCTGGTTGGTGGTGAATATGACGTGTGTAAACGGTGACGTTGAGCCAGACGTGATGCCGCTCTGCAATGCGGTATACAATGCTTTGGCAAGTGCGTTCGCGTCTCTCGTCTGTTGGTTGAATATGAGAATGCGAGGCACGCGGGACTGTGCTGGGGCAATGGCAGTAGCAGATGCGATCTGCTCCGCGAACCATCGCCCGGTGACTTCTATGCTCTCTAGCGTATGACCTCCATCGATGTGCCACGCTACATTCTTCTCGCGCCGGATCTCACATCTTCCTGCCCAGCGCACCTCTTCCAAACCGCGAACAAATTTTGGTGGAAGGTCGATGTGTGCAGAAACGGTAGGGTCAGGTACTGAAGAGTGACCAAGCGCTCGCAAGTGCGCCGCGGCCGCCGCAATAGCGACGGATGCGTTCACTTTTTGGAACTCTGCCGATAAACCAAGTTTGACTTTGTTGTTCGCAAGTGAAGGATGAATGCCGATGGTGTGGAGGCGAACATCCTTCTCGGCTGCACGTTCTTGCAAGACTGTCATTGCCTCCTCTTTTTGTGGCGCGGTGAAGGCAATACTGCCTGTCTTGAAGATTCCAGCTTTGTGCCATGCGATTTCTGGGAGCGTGGACCCTAGCATCGCAGTATGGTCAATGCCCAAGCTGGTCACTGCCGTTACAGTGGGTTTTGTAAGGATGTTCGTGCTATCAAACTCGCCACCAATGCCACACTCAATGACTGCTGAGTCCACGCCCTCCTTTAGGTATGCGTGCAAGGCCATAAGTGTTAAGTATCGGAAGTACACCGGCTTCGTTGGGACGTCTTGTGGAGTATCACCAGACTTTGCTGCCGCTTCCAGCTTGTCCCAGACCTCGAAGAAGTACTTTGCGAATAGTTCTTCTGAGATTGGTTCATTATTGATCTGTATGCGCTCGCGCACGAATCGTAGATGCGGGGACGTATAGAGTCCTATCTTGGAGGGCTGCTGGCGCGTGTCGGTGGATGGGATATATTGCGCGAGTATCGATGAGATGAAGGCGCTTGTTGAACCTTTCCCTTTGGTCCCTGCAATGTGTATGGGCTTCAGCCTGTCGAAATCCGAGGGCTGCGAAGACCGTCAGCTATCGTCCCATTACGAGAACGCTGGCAGCCGCACACCTCGTACCCAATCTTATGACACCATTCGATCATCTCAGGAATCGCCTGCTTATTCATCCCACGTCCAGACTTTCGAATCGCGTCTACAATGGAGAAGTTCGACTGCAGCGTGTTCAACGCAGCCACCGCGGCCTGGACGAGTAAGCTCAGTCATTGCATTTCCTACACCAAAACCTACCGCATAGTCGCGCTTCTCCATATTGGAAGCGCTATGGTATGAGCGGACAGTCGGTGCAGTACGCCAGCAACACCAGCTTCTCCGGGCTACAAACATGAGGGCATCTTGGCTGATGTTTGATGGTTTTCTCGTAAATTTTAATTAGATACTCCGCCGATAGCCGATGACGCACCTGGTGCACGGACGAGCTGACTTGTTACCCACGAAGGGCTCTTTCATCCCTTCGCGCACCAACCCCTCCAGCTCCATCCCACAACGGGATGTCCAGACCCAGCCGTTATCAGCGAGTCATTTGGCCGTTGCGTGCGACTACGGGACCTTGAAGGATACTTCCACAAGCTCGGTTCGTGGTTGTACCGATGCCCTAGTGTTCGCGATAGACAGGCTTCACGCTGCACGGTCTAGCCTTCAATAGCTGACATACTTCTTGTTCGGATGTCGCAGACCGGGCCTACGCTTTTTCTGGGAGGTAAACTTGTTTGATCGACCGCCGCGTAGCAGAGGTGTCCTTCTCTGGCCGCAACCGCTTAGCGCAAAACACTGGGGTTTGAGGTTCCGCCATACAGACATACGCCATACACCCCGGGCTGTCGTTCAATGTCTTCGACACCTGTTGGCAAACGGTTCATGCGTGAGATGTTCCAGAAAACGGATGCACTTTGGAGGCCAAGCGTCCCACTTCTTGCCTTGTTGCCAGGTCGGCTTTAAGGCATACTTCACCCTAAACATGGACCACATGTCAACGCAACTTGCGCTCCCAGCCAGGTTCATTCTGGCAGGTGGTGCGATCTCGCATAGATGCTGCTCGATGCTTGCTAAGTCGCAGTTCTCCGACGCATTGAGTGCTTTCATACTTTCATGGCGGACTTCGACTGTGTGGTTTCTTGGAGACTGGGCAAAGCCGTGTCTGGCATCCCTTGTCACCACAATTCTCTTGCCTATGTCGTATGCGCAACCCTCTGCCGCGGGTCACATCGTATCCGACGCGCAGAACGGCGTACCTGTCGATCTTGAACGGTGCACCCACACTGTGCCCGTCCACATACATGGGGATAGCCCTGCTAAAGACAGCTTGGCAAGATCAGTTACACCATACTGGCTAGAGTGCGTACATAGTTCCGTCCCGGCTGAGCAGAAGTTATGCTACAAGTTACAAAAGGTAAGCTAGTACGCGACCAAAGGGGTTGCACCATCAACCGACCCACTGTTTCAAGACTCGCATCACATCCCTGTCACACGTATCGGACCGCTACTCTGGCCCATATACTCCCGTCTGTCGTGTTGATTGAGAGGTTTGGCCATTCTCCTCGTTTCTACCTCCAGCTACCTTTCACATGGCTGATTGCTTCTGAGAGCCAGGGTGGCTCTCTCTTCCGCTATGGAACTAGCCACCACCGACACGCAGCCCTTTCACAAATGTTTATTCATCACCACAAAGGGAGCGAAAACGGATCATTGTCTCAGCTCCATTGTCATATTGGCCCCAAGAGGTGAGTTAGATGGTCACCAGACCACTTTGTGGAATCCTTTGTTACCAGAGCTGATGATACAAAAGGAAACGCTGCGCGACCATAACTTTCTGGCCTTGTCTATAGAACCTCTTTCATTCACACAAGCTCTGGCAGTTTCAGAAACACGATCTACTGGACACGCTTAATATATAATTTTCGAGCAACGAATCCTACGATGATCTCAACCCTTTACGTCATCATCATTGCGCTTTTGTCTATGGTCGCAGCGCGACCGAACCTTCAACGTCGCGGACTCCCAGGCGCGGTGTACTATTGCGATGGAGAGAACTTCTCGGGAAAACATTGCACATGGCTAGAACCAAACGAAGTCTGCCATCAACTAGAACCCGGATTCATCAAGTCTTTGGGTCCTGATCCTGACGGTACCTGCACTCTCTTTAAGGATGCCAAATGTACTGCTGGCCAAGAACTGATGACTGTGCGCTTTCCGGGCAAGGGTTCTGGACTTCCCGATAGTGTCGCTTTCAAGTGCTCGCCAAACAGTAATTCTAGGCGGGAAGGGACAGTAGAGCTGGCAGCCAAGACGCTGGATCTGGACGACAGACTTGCTGGTGGTGTTGGTAGTATGGAGCGAGTAGAGCATCTTGCGGAGATTGTACGCATGGAGGAAGATGGCTTCAGCGAAGGTCTCATTGGCTTGAAGAAGAAAGTCTACTACTAAAGTCTTTTCTCGTCACCCAGCTTTCTATTCTCCGGTGGGTAGTGCGTATCGCACATTGTACATCTATGGTTTTAGTCGAAGTTATTTTTTTTTACGAATTCAAATTGGTTCTAACATTACAACATTAACGTCTCCTAATAAGCATACCGCTGGAAACAAGAAGAAAACATTACCCTCACACTTCCGCTTAGCTCCTGGTCAGATACACCTCATCGATATACGCCTCCTTTACCCCCAACGACCCAGAAAACGTCGCTTCCATAATCACCACAGCCGCAACTGGCACTTGTCCCGCTGGCACACTTAAACTCGCAACGCTTCCCGCAGCCGCATACGTCAAACCCCCCGTCACCTGCCCTCCCGCCATCTGCACAAGCGCGCCGCTTCCCACCTGAACACTCCCAATCACACTGATCGAGCCTGTGGCAGTCGACTGGCGCGAGTTAAAACTCATAGAATATGTCGAGCCCGGGCACAGTGAGATTGGCTGTACGATGCGCTGGGGCAGATTCGGATTCGCGGAATCGATGGTGAATTTGTACGCAAAGCTTGAGAGCCCGGAACCGCCGTTGATGCGGCCGCTCGTTACAGTGCCCGCTGAGAGTTGGATCCAGGGGGAAAGACTGGAGGGCTCGAAGCTGGGGATGTGGTTAGTTAGGACTGGAATGGAACGGGCTGGGAATGTACGTACCTGGGGTTTCCGACGGCTTGGTTGGTTGGGCAGGTGTATGTGCTTGTTACAGTTGTGGTTGTGGTGGTTGTCAATGTAGTGGCGAGGGCGAGGAGGGCAGGGTTCGTGGTGAACGTCGTTGTAATGGTAGAAGTAATTGGCGCGGGAGTCACAGTGGACGTCACCGGTGCTGGAGTAACGGTAGACGTAACTGACGCAGGCGTAATTGTAGTAACTCCGTTGAGAGTGGAGGTTGTTGTTACGGTTGCTGGGTACTTGGTCAGCGAGTCTTCGATGCGGAGGTACTTGGGCTCTGGGTGGAGCATGCATGAATTGAGGAAATTTACTCACCCGTAAAGGATTGTGTCACTGTGCTTGGCGAGGCTGAAGGAGTCAATGTACTTGTAACGGCGACTGTAACGACAGAGGCGGACAATGTCGTCGTCACGGCGACAGTGACAGTAGGCGCTGCCTGTGCTGATGAGCCGGGGAGAGTAACAGTGGCGGGTGTGAGTGTTGTTGTAACGGTAACTGACTGAGCGGCCATGGTGACCGTCGAGGCGCTGACAGTAGAAATAGAGGTGGTTATTACGAGCGACGTGATTGTACGCGTCGATGCTTCAGGAGTAATAGTTATAAACTCTGCATCGTAGCATGGTGTATCAGGAGAATTCGGAGGTTCATTACTATCGCATGCACCGTATCCAGGCTGGCATTGGTCAGTCCCACAATAGTCAGAACTTTGTCCACACCATCTAAGAAGAAGTAGTAAGTCAGCAGTGTCAGAGCACATCGTCAATGTCAAGCGTACCCATAAACAGAACAGCAAGTCGGTACGTCCTCAGTGAGTCCTTGACATGTCATATCGCCATTTTTGGGACCGCACGAGAAATTTGTTGATCTTGGCTTGGAGGGGGAACTTGTGGTATGAGGTTGTTGAGCACTGACTGTGGCCAGCAATGCGCTGAAGAGAATGAGAAAAGTGGCAACCATTGCGAATACTCCGAGTTGAGACTGCGTCAAGAGTGCTGCAGGGCAAAAGCCACATCAGGTATCCTGCGCGTTCTTGATATATTCACTGAGCGCGCAAGGGGTGCCATTGCATACCACAGGGGCCTTGTTTCGATCCGAAGTGACACTGTGTATTGGCTAATATCGACCTCCCAATCACACAGGCTTTCTCCAATTCCAAATGAACAAATCAAAGAATCAAGCAGAGGCCTTACGCGTGACATCACATCTATAAGTACTACCTTGGTAGTAAAGTAATTGACCTTGTTGTGGCCAACTACAGACAACAACACAGGTCATTGTTGAAACGATTACAATGGTGTCGCGCTTGTACGGCCTATCATACCAAACATGAGGATGTTCGCGTAGTACTCCTTACCCGGGACGCCGTGTAACCTTGGCGTCTGCGGGGAGATCTGGGAGCCTGAAAGGGCAGCACGAAGATTTGATAGGCAGCGACTATCGCGTACCCGTATTGATATTACCGATCGAACTATCTAGCCTATCTAGGTCACTGGAGGTCTATCCCGACGGAATGACCATCCGAAATTGCGACGGAAGGAACCCGCACCAGACATGATTGTATGCCATTTACGTCCTCGAAGAATGTGAGAAATTCTAGTCGCCATGCGTAGGTGGAAGTTATGTCCTTTTGAGGTGACATCTCTGCATGACTTGGACGGCCAGAGAAAGTATAGCACATGAATGGGCAGGCTCAGTGTCGGTGTCCATTCCCTCTAACATTGGCGGTGCGCGGCGAGTCTGTCTAGATGTTAGCAAGATCCTTGCGAAGATTTCACGCATTGGACAACGTACCCTCAGAGGCTTGAAGTTACGACCCTCAATCGCTGGGCGTTTGTTTGGGACCCCCGTCATATCTCCTCGCTTGCGCTTCTCACCCACCACAGTCGGAGCATTCTTGCGAATCTTGAGACGGCCATCGTAGTCGGACGAGAGGCGGCCCTTGGGTCTTGCCTTGGCGAAGCCCCCTTTACCTGTCTTCACCGTTCGCTTCGCCTCAGCCACCGTGCCGATAGCCTGCGCGTCGACAACCTCTTCCATATCAAGTATCACAGTCTTCTTCGTGGCTTGTTCGAGACTGACTGGGACGCGCTTCGTCGGGCGTGAAATCGAAGTTTTCGCTCCAACTCGCTTCGGTGGTACCATCGCACTAGATTTTCGAGCGGGTTTTCGAGCGGGTTTGTCGGTCGGGGAAGGCGGAGGAAGAACATCCTGCTTCGGAGTGGCAGCTGTGGCCTGGCTCACCCGCTGCACCTCTGCCTTTTTCGGAGGAGAAGGCTTCTTGATCTTCTCGTCGATATTGAGCGGCTTATCCTTTGACGCGCCTTTCGAAGCAGTGTTCCCCAGGGGCGCAGCACCCAGCGCGACAGCTCGTGCCGGGACAGCTGCTGTGACAGTGTCAAATCGGGACCGATTAACGGTGGAATCACTCGAATATGACAGTGCAATAAGAGCCTACGAACTGTCAGTAAACGGTCGTGACTTCAGACCAGTAGAGCTTACCTGTGCGTCGATGCGCTTGATCTTGGCAAGGTCAAAGCCCTCCCCAAACGACTTGAGCTTGTTGTGGTCCTTCTCCAGGGCCTCTCGCTGTGCTGCCAGGGTTCTCATGGCTTCTCGAAGAGCGTCTTCGACGGCTTCCTTGACCTTCTTGCCCTTCGTGTTGCTAATGATAGCGACAAATTTGTCGTAGTCAGTGCCGACTGCCATGAGGCGCTCCTTGATAGTCGCCGCAGCATCGGATTTGAGGCGTGCAAGTGACATGAGTGGTTCGTGCATTGAACTCTGCAGTTTTGCTGTACTCGCTGCTGCAGCCTCTCTGCCTGGCGTCGGGCCCTGTCTCGCGGATGTAGCGCTTCTCAGGGGCGTGATGTCTTTCGAGAGTGTAGACACCTCCTTCGCGGACTTGCTGGCATTCGCAGTAGTATCATCCTCCACGGCAGTGATCTGCTTGCTGTTCGTTGTAGATTCTGCTGTGATAATGGTCTCCTTCGCGATGGGGCCACTCTTCGTGACTGCGGCTTTGGCGGGAGTCTCTGAACGAGAGACAGGGGAGGACATGATCGAGGTCACATCCTTCGGTTGTCCAGGGGAAGTGGCTCTCAAAGGAGCGTCGGGCTCTCGAATAGGCGATGCGACTTCTCCAGGCGTGGATGGCTGAGCAGTAAAAGAAACAGCCTCGGACGGTTTATCGTATGCCTGGATGGTAGCTCCGGTGACCGACTTGAAGGAACCTGTAGGCAAAGGCATGTCCGTTTTGAATACAGAGGCAACCTTCGATGTAGTAGTAGCGTTCGGTGTAGTGGCCTGAGAAGTTTTGATCTTCTTGATACTGGCTGGCTTTTCCGGCAGTACTGGTAGTGCTGCGGGCGTATTTTTGTTGTCGTCGCCTAACTTTGCATTGGATAGTAAATTCGCAAAGTCCATGGTGATCGGAAGAGCGTTGAGACAGAGTGTGTGTACGTGCAAAGTAAGGGATTGTGCTACTCGTGACTTCCAAGTGGAGTCACAGTCGAGCGGTAGATTTTGACTGAATTCGCGATGGGTGTTTAGAAAATTTGGTTAGATTTAGACGGGCTGAGGAAACAGAGCCGTTAGGCTGTAAAGCACGTGTGGAGTTCAAGAAGTGAAAGTGAAAGTGAAAAGTGGAGCCCAATTGGGAACTGCTTGAATGCAAGACATTTGCCCTGGGAGTAGCGATCAGTGATAGGACAATAGATGGTGAATAAAGAATTAGCGCGGTCAAGGGAACCTCGTCATCTCTACATGCACAATGTATTGACGGAAGGGATGTTTGGGCACTAGGCCTTTAGAAACCTGACGGAGGATCAGCACAGATTACACGCCATAACATTCACTTCGAATTGATCCAGGTTCCCGTGCATTCATGTCATTCATATGGTGTTGGCCACCTTTTATTGTTCGTGCAATCGTCTATTTGGGTAGGCAAGATGATAGTCCCGTGGCGCAACTCCTTCACGCGCACACTTATAGCTCGTCCTTGCTGACACCGGCGATGGAGACCAATTCGGTCTCGAAGACTGTTGTGCATTAGATATCGATGACGTACGCATTGCGAGACTGTTCACATACTCAAGACGCTGTTGGCGGGAATTGGTCCAGCTCCCCTTGAGCCGTAAGCCCAGTCAGGCTGGATAGTGAGCTTCCTCTTCTCGCCAGGGCACATGTCGAGAAGTCCCTGGTCCCAGCCCTTGATGACCTGGCCCTGACCTACGGTGAAGTCCAAAGGCTGGCCGCGGTTGTATGAAGCGTCGAACTCGCTGCCGTCACTCTCGAGGGTGCCGCGGTAATGAACGCTGATCTGGTCGCCCGCAACGGTCTTGCGGTTGCACTCGACAGGCACGACAACTTCGGTCTTGAGGTGCTACGAGGATGTTAGCTAGTGTCGTATAGCGCTGGACGGGACCTTGCCTCATTGTTGATAACGGCAAACGCAGCCGGAACCAGGGCGAGAATAGTGGCGACCTTCATGTTGTTTTTATAAGCAGGCGATATGTGTTTGAGCTTGAGAGAGTGTATAAGGTACAGTCGAGTGTACAGTCGCCTCTTGAGGTGTCCTTTGTGGGGAAATCGCCAAGACCAAGATGTGGCCTAAATGCCCGCGGGCGATTTAAGTGGATTGCGGGCTGTGATTGGTTGCCATGTAAAAGTAGATTCCGACGTCACACCACGTCTTGACCTCCCTTCATCCCTCACTACGTGTCTTCCACCATGCCTTCGGAGACATGTGGAGGCCTTGTCTAGCTCCCTACGTCTTTTACTACATATCCTCTCTCGAATAGTCAATATATAGATTCGCATCGTCGTGCTTGTCGCAGATGGACTTTTCACAGTCCCTGTCTTTTCTACGTAGTGCATGCGTGGACTAATGTTACTCATTACAGAGAAGACGCAGGCGCAGGTCTACGATAGGCAGGTGAACGACCGTGCCCAATCGTATGTCATTGACGAGCTGGCTGCACAATGCGGATAATAGGAATTCCCTGCTGTGAAAGGCATTGCTCCATTACAATGTAGCTTACTCGCGCTACACCAGCAGCACAAAGGCTTCCGATAATAACTCTCCTCACCTAAACAGCACTCACGTTAAACCCAACATCAACTGCTTGACCCAACCTTTCTACTGATCTAAACTTCCCCGGAACACACCACATCGGTACCTAGATCATTAGCGTACTGAGTAACATCACTCACTATGTCTTTTAATGTTATGAACATGATCGGCGACATCAAAGCTCGAAAGCGGGTTGGCATAGTTCACGCACCCGCTCACACGCCTCGTGAGCAGCGCATGTACGATAGCAAAGACGGTGCCACAATGGGCCAGCACATCGATGAATTCGACAACTACAGGGACGACCTAGGTCGTTCATTCGGTGG